TGAGACCTGATCCAGCTGCCAAAAACAAGTCTCTTGTGATTTGTAGTTGTATCATGAGATAATTCATCCTAATCCAGAAAATTATGAGCAATTCCGATGGGGAAGATTAAAGCACACTAGTGTGGTATCAAAGTTTTCTGACAGTGCAGCTAAGTGATCTATTACATGTTTAGAAAAGCATTAGAGAGCATTCTCAGGGTGTCTCTGCACGCTTCCAGCTGCGTTTGCTATCAACGCTCCCTAACTTTGTTTATCTGGTGTAGGACCCTCTTGTATTCACTTTCCCACTGGGCTTTCCACTAACACTCAGTCACACAAACCAAGATGAGAGGCACAAAGAGAAATTTACTGTCATACAAACAAACACATACACAATCAGGATCCTGAGAAAGTGCAATGAGAGAGCAGGTGTCAGTTTTCACATACAGCTCTCATGGGGGCTCAGAGAGTAAGAATCAGCAGCTACAGTGGCTTTTCCATCCTCCTCTCATCGGTTATTCTCACACAGCCTCTGGTCGCTATTTGACTCCGACCTCAGGCCATCCAGGGGACTGTCACCTGCATGATGAGGTGGGAAAATGCTGGCTTCATAGATCTCACTGACTCAGCACAACACAAGACTCCAGTGAAGGTGTACAAAATATGCAATCACAATGTAGACAACAGCATACCATAGTTACGAGCTTTTCCTACTGTGCAAACCTGCAGTTACTGTACATGGTGGGTCACTCAGAATCACCATTTTAGAGAGGAAGTCCACATTTATTCAGTGTTGCTGCCCAGCTGAGTGAAATACTTGGTCGTGGTTGGTCAAAGCTTCATAACAGTAATTAATTTATCTCAAATCTAGATGTCCTAATATGGTAGAACATTACTTTCCTTCAACTTTATAAACTTGTCAACATTCAGGCAAATGTGTTAGTTTCTGTCTCAGGCTGGTCTTAAGAGTCAGGAAATAATGTCGTTCACTCGGCACAGATGTGAGAGCAGCCGAGGGCCTCTGGGTCCCATCTCTAACAGGGAGGAGAGGAACTGGATCCTGTCCCGCAATCCAGGCAATGGCAGCACAGCTGTTAAGAAAATATCTTATTGTTGATTGCTACAAACTAGGGTGACCATATTCTGAGTCCCCAAAAAGAGGACATGACTACGCGTGTTTTGAGAGTTTTTCGGGTCGGATCTAGTGTCTTTTACACATTTCTAACTCAGTAGGTCCACGTGACACAAACTCGAAACTTCCATCCAACCCCGGACATTTGAAGGATTTTATAAACTCCCCCAGACAAGGCTGGACAGCCTCCCAAAGGGGGGACATGTCCAGGTAAAAGAGGACATATGGTCACCCTATAAAAGCTAACAAACTATGAGCAGCAGTGATTTGGGCACATATATGTTTATATTCATGTCAGCTGCAAAGCTCCAAAAAAAAAAAAAAAAAAGAGAGCAGAATAAGAACAGAAATGTTAACATAAACAAGTCCCCCTCACCTGGTCTAGTGTCACCCTAAATGGAAACGTTCAGTTTGGTGGAAATTATAACATATTAGCAGGCTAGTATTTTCACGTCTAACTTGCCATCTTGATTTAGATGTGTATGTTGTATGATTTTTGTACATCTCTACAAGTCCAACCAGTCACGACTGAGGGCTGTTCACCACTAAGTCTGATTCAGCTCAAGGTCCCTGCCTGTAAAAGTGGGTTTGTTTTCTTGCTAGTTGTGAGTCTCTGTGATCTGTATTACAAAGCCTGCCATTAAACAGATTTTATATTGATTTGACCATACAAAAAAGTCTGTTTGTCTGTTTAAATTGGCTGCAATTGTGGCCTTGATTCAGCTGTCATTTCTATATCATTTCCCATGACTATCCTCTGAATAACTAACTCGGCAAACCATACGACACAGCACAATCCTGTGGCGGGAAAGGCATAGTTTCTGCCTCCCTGAGAGCAGGCTGATAATCAGAGCATGCTCACAAAGTCTTAGATCTCATTACCAGCAGATAGATGACTCTGTGCAGGAAAACAAACAGGAGCGATAGCAGATCAAATGGATTAGCACTGAGGTGCCATGGGAAGCTGCTGGAAAGTCTGGGAACGGTGATGCCTCAACCTCTTAAAGCAGGTCAGGCTGTTTATAGGGACATTATAGATGACAGTGACTTTCTTTGAGACTCTAGACCTGTAACAGTTACACAGATTTAGCCATCCTGGACTCTGCTTCCTCTTTTCAGAGCGGTCTTACCTGCTACGCTCAAAATAACTGATAGAACCAAATTCTTTTGACTGATAGAGACATCATCAAAATCATCAAATAAATATGAAGTGGGTCACACACAGAACTCTGAATATAAAAAGTTTTAGCTACCAGGAGGATTAGCATGTTTGTAAAGATTCCTTGTGTCTGAGACAGCGAGAACAGACAGCAGAAGAAAGACTCCAAACAATGTCAAGGTCCCATAAATACAAGTGACACCACACTGTCACTACATCCTCTCCATGTTTGCAGACACACACACACACACACATAAAAGAATACCCAGCAAATACACTCAGCAGTAACACATGCATGCAAACTCTCGTATGCGTACAGCAGCTCTGTTTGAAGACGCTCTCATTGACGGCACAGTGGGAAGAAAACCGGGAGGTCAAACTCTGCGAGAATCTGATTCAGTGGTTACAGTGTGAAGACAAGCAGACAGAGTTTCAGGACGGTCAAAGATGGTATTGTTCCTGCTGCAGGGTGGAAATCAGCAGGTCTGGAGGTTCACACACTCACACTGACCTTTAATTGTAACTCTGCCCGTGTTTGATGCTACTCTACACTCAGAATGTTTTTTTTTAATTTGATGTTTCTGTTTTAATTCCTGTCATGTGTTAGTTCATCAACACACTTCTGTTTTTACCATTGAGTGAAAAAAGGTGTATTTTTCAAAAAGCCATCAGACAAAGAAACTGATCTGAAATCTGTTTTTACCAACCAACAGGTAACAAGTGGAGTAAATGAATAGATGTTCAGTATCAACAAAGGAGTGAAAAAGACTGAAGAGCAAGAAAGATGGGGCTACTTCCAATTACAATCATCCTTACTTTTCTCACCCATTGGGAATCTTTTCTTTCATTTAATTTAGAGCATGATTAAACTGCAATATCTCTTTGTTTGAACCAGCCGCATAAAAGCATTAAATATTACCAGGACTGGTTGAACCCATACTTCAGGTCACAACAGGGTCACTAGACGTGTGTGCTTTTGTATCATTGGACGTGTATTAATAAATGTCCTGTGTAGAGGGTAAATTTGACTGTCTGTCTAAAACCACTGTGCACACACGGGTGCTGTGACATATTTGTGAAATCAATAACTAACTTTGGGCACTAATGTATTCATTTTTATTCCAACACCTCCACCACCACCACCCTGTCACTCAGCTCTTTAAACTCCGCCGCTTTGAACTGCCCTGAAGAAAACAAAGCTCCGTCCTGCTGCAGACAATAAAGCAGCTGGATTTCTGCACATGTGCCTTTGTGTTGGTCTGAAGGCTTGTCATAACTCCATCGCAGGGGCCTAGGCTTTCATCACACACGCACACACACACACACACGCCATGAAACACAAAAAGAAAGTCAGTGGCTCGGAGAGATGTATGGCGGTATTAATACAAAAGAATATTTGATTTGGTTATAAATACCGTAACATGAAAGGAAAAGCCAGCAGGATAAAGTTCAGGGGGCACATCAGCCGGAGGAGGCAAAATCTTCATCTTCATCATCATCATCATCATCATCATTATCAGATATGTTGTGTCTCAAAAACAGGTTATCATTATTCAGCCGTGACCACCGCTTTATGTCTGCTCTTCCGCCAAATGAATTGATTTAGTCTGTGATGATCTCACATCCATGAATATATGTCAGCACTTGCCGGACCTTTAAAAAAGCAGCTGTTGTTATGATGAAGCACATGCAAAGAAAAGAGGGCCCTGCTAAATCCATTAAAGAAAATTAACAATGAGCAGTTTTATTGGATTTTGGATGCTATATATTTAATGTTCATCTATGCTTTATAAGTTAAAGTGTAAAAGCCAAATGCCCAGTTATGTGAACAGTTCATGAGTGTGGTTGTGTTGCACCGTCACGTTTCATCCTCTCATAAATGAGCATCTTTTTTGTTCCTCAGAACAGGGAAAAATTTGACTTTACTCCTTGTAAATCCTTAGAGAAATTCATGAAGCATGTCCTTTATATATCAGCTCAATTGTGAGGCAATAACACAACTACCCTAGAAGCCACTCCTGGTTTAGAATACAGCTAATGTGAACATGTGTAGTGTGGAAACTTACAGGGAAGCTTCAAGGGTATTTTACAGATTGTTTAACTTTAAAAAGGAGAGTATATGTAGATTTGTGTTGTACAAAAGGGAGGTGTAAGTTACGTACTATTTGACGGCTAATTTACTGAAAACACACATCATGTGAAAATGATTATTCAGTAAACATTATTCTGGCAAAATCCCTGATGCAATGATGCCAAAATACATAAGGCGTATATAGAATTCAGTATACTGATAGTAACTATTGACCTTATGAGTGCCATATGCTACAATAATATGTTCAAATAATGGAACTTTATCACTTGAAACTTTATAAACTAGTAGGGGAGAGTGGGGTAAGTTGAGCGAGTGGCTCAACAAAGAAAGTAAAGAAGTCTGATGAGAGGATCAGAGTTTCAGTTCAGATTGTTGACATGTGTTACTTTTTCTTTTAAAAAATACAGCTGTGAATATTCTGAATCACTTAAAGGTGTTCTCATGTTAAAATGACTTTTTTCAAAACAGCTTTTTAGCAGTTATACACAACAATAATAATAAATATGATTATTGTGCCATTTGAATAGCATAAAATAGAAAAAAATACACATGCATGTGAAGAAGTGACTGTTATTTAGGGAGAGAAAAGGTGAGGGAGGGCTTGGGTGGAGAGTGTGTGTGTGTGTGTGTGTGGGGGGGGGGGGGGGGGTCGACTCAAATTACCATAGAAGACCACTTTTTTTTTCATGCTATATTATCAAGACAGTTATGTTTACACTCATCCTGCTGGTTTGAAGGGATGCACAACATCTTAAAATATATGCAGATACACTTGTTAGAGACAAAACTATGATTGCCTTGCTGTTGTGATCCGAAACATAAAAAATGGCTCATCTTACCCCACTCTCCCCAATAAAGCTATGAGCTGGAGGTCTCTGCAGTTTCAGGCTACTATTATTTAAGTCCAGCATTGTCTCTGCAGACAGACAGACAGGCAGGACACATTGATGAATTGAAGTCCTCCACACTGACACTCACTCTGCAGCTCGCTCGTCCCTCCCCCTCCGCGGTGTGAGTGGTTTAAAGTTTCTCTCCTCGGCCTCTGATTGGTCCATGAAGTTTCTCTTTGGGGGAATAACTTCAGAGCTCAGCGTTCCCCAGACTCACATCAGCCCGGGTTACTCCAGAGGCACGCATAACGATAGATATTCTCTTATCTTATAAAACAGGGTAAGAGGATAGTGAGATATGGAGCTTATCAGAGACAGACTAGGATTTGTTTTATAGAGTTTTACTCAATTTAGAAACACCGCAGCTTTGGAATATATTTTTAGGACTTTTTAATTTTTTTTTTACATTTCCATCATCTACTCTCGAAGATGTCTGCTTTCGGAGTTTGGATTACCGCGACGTGGATTTTACTTTTTGCCATTTTTGATGTGGCTTTCTCAAACTATTCCGAGGACCAGTGCAGCTGGAGGGGAAGGCAAGTGTTGCATGTTTTATCAGCGTTTTTTCTGCATGTGGTTGAATGAAAAGATGGCTGAAAAACGCCACTCAGAGAAGCTTCAGGTGTCTTATTTTTGGGGCGAGTGACCGCTGGTGGAAAACGTGATGTGTGCTTGAATGCAACATGTAGAGACGTGCACTGAGAGCGCAATATAAATGTTTGTAAAGCTCCGCTGCGATTGCGCCTCCGGGCTGCTGTCTGCAGGAGGTGTGGGGGGTCCAGACAGACGGGAGACTGCAGGATTATCTCTGGCAGATTGAGAAATTACGAGCTGTGCATTCGCCTCTTGAAGGACCAGTTATTAATTGATACAATGCAAAAAATACAAGCAGTGGATTTTTTAATTTTTGTAGCCTTTAAGTCCAGCCCGAATGATGATATGACTGACTAATTGGCCCCTACTTGCAGAGAGCTGCCAGTAGGCGGCGCATTCTCTAACTTAAACTTAGATGTCACTTAAACTGCATTTTTAATATCTTGTTTTTTTTTTTCAGCTAAAATCTAATGGTTACTTCGTTTAATTAATTATAAGTAGGTCTCACGTTTCCATAACAAAGTGCAGTTATTCAGGAGGAAATACACTGATGTAATAAGCCCCCCAAACCCCTCTCTTCAGAGCATTAAAAAACAGCAAAACATTACTCAAATGTAACCTTTATTCTGCTTTTTTCTCTTACAGTGGTCTGTCCCAGCAGCAGGGAAGCGTGGAGCAGATTTCCCTCCACTGCTCTGAGGGCACCCTGGACTGGCTGTATCCCAAAGGAGCCCTGCGCCTCACCCTCTCCCCCCGCCTGCCTTCAGTGGCAGTGGGCCCTGGCGGGAGCAGCTCAGGCCTGATCACTGCCTGTGTCAAACCTTCAGAGCAGTTCCATGGAGCCCAGCTGTACCTGGAGAGAGACGGGGTCCTGGAGCTCCTGGTGGGAGACCGCCTTGAGTCCTCACCGCCCCCGAGGGTCCGCTGCTTCAGCCGCCTACCTGGGGAGAAGGTGGCTCTGTTCCTGCAGGCTACACCACATCAGGACATCAGCAGGAGAATCGCTTCCTTCAGATATGAGCTGAGAGGCGACTGGACTGCACGGCTGTCTCTGGACTCAAACCGCATCAGCAATGAAGGTGAGTCAGCCATATTGGATGTAGTGAGTTCAGACATGAGGAGGAAAGTTTTAGGAGACTGTGATGGAGAAATTTAGTCAGCATTTTTCTTTTCCAGGTCCAGCACTGATATCTAAACCAAGGTCTCAGCTGATCTGGCATTTCCCTCCTTCATTAGAAGTTAAAAAATGTATATTTTTATTTAGAAAAAAAAAATCAGGTTTATAACATTTTGGATTTGACCTTTTCTGATCCTGACATCAGTATTGGTACCTGTATCGATATCAGTATCTGTATCGTAGAAACAGTCAATTCTTTCATTGTAGTTTTCTTGGTCTCAAAACTAGTTAAAGATAAATAAGTTTACCAAGCAGTGATGATTACACAACTCAGAATCCTCAATGCACATGATTCATGAAGCAGATACTGATGCTAGTATTGGTACCAGTATCAATACCATGATTGGAGCTATTAGGTCCTTCTTTAGTTTTTAGTCCTTTAACGTTCTTGATTTAAAGTTTCAATGCAAAGTCGTAAGTCAGCACTGGGGATATAAAATCCTCCATGCACATGATTCATAATTTATACCAGGCCTTTGTGGGCTGCCTGGACTTTCCACAGCCCACGCAGGCTGCACAGAGGAGGAAGTGGCCAAACTTTCTCCACATAGGAGTTCTGGTTTGGAGTAGAAGAAGGGGAGCTGTGGAGTGGGCAAGAGAAGGGAGGGGGACAAAAGCACAGTATGTGGGGCTTTTTCCAGAGTCCAGAGCCCCTTTGAATGGCTGCTGCATGAGTATTCTGGGATTACTGCCGTCTCCTAGGCAACAGGGAGGCCTCTGCCCAGCTGAGATGCTCGACTCTTTTGTTGGGCTGCCTCTCTGTGGGGAGATGTGTCTGTAGGAGTAGAACCCCCACTCCTAAAAAGCTCGCTCTCCCACACACACTGATTAGGTTTGGATGGGGGGTTTGCTGTGGACTAGAGAGGAAGGAATCTCATTTATCAAGAGGTTTTCACTAAGGAGGAGAATGTGTAGGGTGGGCAAGGGGGCCCCCAAAGAACCACAAGGAGAAGTTTAAAAAATGCCAGGACTTTTTTTCCCTCTTTACCCACATCACAGCTCAGGCAGAGCAGACTGAAAGAGCTCTTTTTTATTGATTTATTTATTATTTTTTGGTGGCTATCTGCAAATCCAGTTAGGACTCTTAGTAAGGTGCACTATACTAAGAGTTTTTTTTTTTTGGTTTGGAGAAAAGCTACTGTATGTTTGGGAAAGTAAGACTGTGCTCCTTGAGAAAAGACACCTTGAAGTCCTCCCCCACTCACTCTCCTCAGCCCCTGTCTAGCAGGCTTTGATGAGGTGTGACTGTAGACACCCTGGGCGGCTTTAGGAGGGGAAGTTTCATTTGGCCTTTAAATTGTCTGGGGTGGAGGAGCCTCACACCTTAAAACTCCACTGGTCCTCCTCAGCCAACTGTTAAAGTAGCAGCTGTCTGTCAGAGAGCAGAGGCTGGTCTCTCTTTTGTTGCTCAAAGTTTGAGGCACAGATTTACATCTCACATTCCTGTGCATGGGGTCTAAAAAAATGCTCTTTGATTTCCTCTGAATGAGTTTTTGGGAAGAGGTGTTATCTAGCAGTTTAGAGATCATCAACTGACTCTTCCTCTCTCTTCTTTACAGATGCCTGCAGACCCTGCAACAACACTGAGATTCTGATGGCTGTTTGCACCAGTGACTTTGGTAAGTTACAGAAAAAAAATGCTGAAATAACTAGAAATAAATCTTAATGTCACTCAGAACTATCATTCCCACAAACTAACCAGGATTCACAAATAAAACAAGACCACCAAATGAGGATAAGTCCTCTGACAGCAAATCCAAACCCACAGAGTAATTTCTTGTTAGGCTCTACAAATCACTTGTGTCAAATTGGTTTAAAGTCACAGCATCCCAGTGCCTCCAAATCCTCTCCTCTCAAAAGTGCAAAGGTCAAAGGTGAAACAGCAGCTCCCCTGCAACCTCAACACACAGGGGCCTCTAATAGAGGCACTGTAGTGGACTAATCCTAACACCGCCCACCTAGAGAAGGAGCTGCACACTAATCTGAGGGCCTCTGATTAAGCTGTAGTAGCTGGCAACAAAAGTCAGAGGGCTTAAAAAGTCCTAATGTAAAATGCAAGACAGCAAAAATGGCACTGGAGAGTTTAAATTAGAAACACATAAATCAGATCTGGATATTAATTACTTGCTGTAAAAGCCTGAAACTAACCAGAACACCCTGTTTTTCTGCAGTTGTTCGAGGTAACATCCGATCAGTGGTGGAAGACGAGAATCTCCGAGCTGCAGTAATCAAAGTCAGCGCCACCCGAGTGTTTCGTCAAAAGTACGCCTTGTTCGCCGGTAACAGTCGCCTGAGCAGCCGGGGAGAGGTCAGGACTTTGCTCCAATGTGGAGTCAAACCCGGGCCTGGTAGTTTTCTCTTCACCGGTCGGGTTCACTTTGGAGAGGCTTGGTTGGGCTGCGCTCCACGATATAAGGACTTTCAGAAAGCTTATATGATTGCCAAAGCAGCCCAGCAGATCCCCTGTGAACTACCAGTAGACTGAGTCATACACTCTGCAGCAACTTGTCTACCACTCAGAGTCATGGCCAGACCGAAATTTAGGCCCAAGACAGCCCTGTGTCATGTTATGGAAGAAGCCAGCGCCCATCTTTTGGGTGATGTAGCCTTGTGACACCAATGGCAGTCATCTTCCCCAAGGACCACGGAGAGAAATGGACTTTTCCAAACACCATTTCAGTGCAATATGCAGGCGCTGAGTCAGAAGAAGTAGGTGGAGACATGAAGTGATGACTTTACCCATTAGGCACTGAACAGTCTCTACACAGTGATGCCATTTTGCAGGTTCAGAGCTCTTCATTTGGAGTATATTAAGTGGAGCCGTTAGTTCAGGTCTGATAGAAGCTCAGGAAAATGTTTGGGATGTTTAATAGAAATATCACTGCCTGTTGGTTTGCATCCAATGAAAGATACACTTCTGTTCAGAAATGTCAGCTCATGGGAAAGTCATGTGTTGCTGTAAACCTCCCGACCTGGGGTCATCTGCAGTGTTACTTTTGTAAAGGAGAATTAAACAATAGTCCCTTTAAAAAACAAAATGGTAAAAAGAAAATATATTTGCACTGATGATGGAAAGGGAACAAACTGTAGAGTGTGATGCTGCAAGCACTGAAAACCAAATGAAAAGCAACTATATGTAGCATAGCAGAGGGTTTGAGAATTTAATATATGTACAGATGATGTGAGCACGTACAGTAGTGACACCAAGTTAAGGTGACCTGAGAAGCAAACAGCTCAAACCGGTGCTGAGAGCACTTTTACATTTTAGCCAACTCTGAGATTTTTACCCTCTAAAGGAGACGCTCACACAAAAGAAAACTAATTCAGTTATTATCAACATATTATGTTTCATCTTTGTAGCAATGCAATATTTCTACAATCCTTTTCTAATTGGACTGTGGTTGAATTAAATGAGAAATATTTAAAACATATATTTGAATGGACTTGTAGCAATGTTGCCAAAGTGTTGTTTTTGTCAAGTCGTTCACTGCTCTTTGCTGATGTGTTCATAAAAAAACAAGAATCTGTTATCTAATGTTCAATTTGCAATTTTCATACAAGCTATGACAAAGCTGTTCATAAAGGTGAACTCTGCTGTTATTGTTAAACATCAAAACACCAACTGTTGGTGGGGAACAAATCGCCTCATTGGACAAGGCTAGTTCAAATGAAACAAAATATGCATCAAATATATAAAATTCTGTTTTGTAAAATTCCTTCATATCTGATGTGCACTATTTCAACAAGTGGAAGGGTTTATACCAAAATGCCATGATGTGCGGAAGTTGTATACAATGCTTACACTGTCATTTTTATGTTAATTGATGTCTATATTAATGTAAATATGTTAATAAGAAATTCTAGCAAGGAAAAGCCTGTAAGAAAAGAACATGGTGTCTGTTTTGTGGATTATTTTTGTTTGTCTGTGTTATTAAAATCTACTTTAAGAAAAAAACATTTCAAAGCCTTCTCCTGTATTCTCTCTGAACTTTTTTTTCTTTTTCTAATTTCATGCTCCACAAACACAATCCCAGCTGGATTGTTCATTTATCAGCTCTCCTGCCCTCTCACGTAACACATCAATACAGTTCAACCTAAACTTCAGCGTTTGAGGTCCAAAGGTTTCTTACATGGTAAACTTTTCTCAGACATAAGTCTCTTCAAGTGCCCATGAATCACGTCCCTGAAAGATCTGAACAAACACCGTGCCTGAGAGAGCGAGAGGCCTAAAAGGAGGGGAGATTTAGGGAGCCTTAGTGCCTTCGGATGGGGAAGGAGGTAGAAAACAGCGGTTGGAATTCTGTTGTCCTCGGCCTCCCATTTTTAAGGATTCAGGAAGCAATAAATCGCCATTAAGGGAGCGGCGTGGCAGACCCGGCTGAAGTGAGGTGCCACACAGTCGCTCGCTTCATCCTAGATGCATGAACATGAGGACAATCGAACTAAATCTCCTCTCAGCTCTTCTTGAGACGCAAACCTTTACCCAAAGCAAAAGTTTGAGTCATATTTTGGTTTTTTTTCTTACAGACATCCCCACATATTACATCTATCATTGTTTGTAGCTCACCATGGATCAGTCTCTGCTCTAAAAGGTGAGAAGCGACACAAGATTTTACAAAAGAGGATACAATGAGACAGAACTTCATTAGCACTGGAGAAAATTTTGGAGCAATGGGGCTAACTAAGTAGTGGCAACTATCTGACAGCATAAAGGACAAGGCATGAAGACAATGATGACTGATGCCACTGAAAAAGAGCTGCATATAGCAACAGATAAATAAGATAACTATCAGTATTATATGTAGTAACAATATCCCATTGATAGAACCAACCACAATCACTATTTTTAGCCTGTGACCATTTTTGTTGAGCTCAATATGAGGTTAAGATGTTGCGTATGTTGTACGGCTGTTGGTCCATGTCCATCATACTCAACTTACCACCAAATGTGAAGTGTCTACTCCTGGTGCAAACCTAGCTATTATGTCAGCAAGGTGTCATGATATGTTCTGGTTTTTGGTGTTTCCCTGGTTTTGTGTTTCCCTTGAGTGTATTTACTTGGTGATTTGTCCCTCGTGTTTAGTTTCCCCTTGTTCCTGTTCTCCTGTAGTCTTGTCTTGTGAGTTTTCAGTTTGTGTCTGACTCTGGTTCCCTCATGTTCTCAGTGTTTTAATTCCTTGTATCAGTTTTCACTGTTTCCTGCTTTATTTTGTAATAGTTTATTCCCTGTGTTTCTAGTCTTGTTTTACCTCCTCAGTTTTCCCTCCACTGTGATTGTCTGCACCTGTGTCTCAGTGTCTCACCTGCCTCTCGTTGCTCGTTTCCGTGTGTATATATAGTCCTTGTCTCCCCCTGTTTCTTTGTTGGGTCACTGTGTGAATGTGTCTGTATGCCGGGGTGTGATTTTTTTCCTCCCTATGTCTTTTCTTTGGATTTTGGATTTTTGGTTCTCTTGGATTTTTTTGCCTTTGGGAATTTTTCTGTTGGACATGAAAGTAAGTTTTTGTTGCTTTTTATGTAGATTATTTTGAATAAATCACTTTTGGTGCTGCAATTGGGTTCTTTTTCTGTTTTTCCACTTCACCTGTGACACAAGGGGTTTATGATCTATTTCACAATATAATGCTAAACAGAAGTTTAACAAGCCTTAGTGGACAAGTCTCAGCCAATTGGTCTCTGGCGCTCAGCTTCAAAGCCTTTTGACAGCAGCTATTATGTAGAGAGCGACCCAAGCTAACTTGTGCTAACAGCTAAAATGTGTTGGCTAATCACTTGGGTCAGCCCTGCTGCTAATTATACAGGACTAGTTAGTTTTAAATCATCAAAACAAATGACTTGTAACCCCCTTTTCATTTGTGGCCACAGCCATGTTTTATTATCTGTCAAACAAAAAATGCTCAATAGTAAATTTAAGATACCCTGAGTGGGGCTTAGCATCATAACTGCATTTTATCCAGCCACCGTCAGTTGAATATTATAGGGAAACAGTTGCTATACGAATAAAGTGGGTTACTGAACCCTATCTGATGAATTCCCCACCTGTTTTTCTTCCTCACAAAATTCTCTCACACACACCTCAGTAAAATCTCAGATTTACAGCATGCAGTAAATCGGTTTGAAAAAGAGCAGCTGGGGAATTAACATGGTGTTTAGGGTAAGATGGAGGGGGAAAAAAATCACAAAAGCTCAACATGCCTTCCCTGTGCTGCAAACCATCTCCCATAGAAACCCTGAGCGTGCTTTGCCACTGCATCAGTAGTTCATGGGAGCCAACCCCCAGCCTCCCCAGCTATTTACTGTCTCAGTGCTCCTTTAAAACATCACATAGCTGGGGGCCTGAAGCGGCACGGTGCTGCACACACACAAACAAACTCATTCACACACACTCACTCTTTGCCCCCTCCCTTCTCAAGTCCATCTGAGGTTACTGCTGCAACGCTGATAAGCCAAAACAAAGAGCACTCAAATTATACTCCCCCCCCCCAGTTCATACATCATGTGACATTTTGTGACAAAGCTCAACTTCCTGCATTGTTGTCCCTTCAATGTGACCCCTGCCTGAACCCTAAAATTGCAGCATTAACGTCAGGGTAGCCACAATGACACAGTGGCACAGTTTAGTGTTGAACCCACTTAATAAATAATGATGAAAGAAGAATTTACATCCTTGAAAGTTTAGTTTTACCAGCAGTAATGCATCACATTCAGTGAGAAAAGTCTTACACTTGTTGTCTTGTTTTCAAGTAAGAAAATAAACATATAGCAAGTCAACTTTAAAAGTGTGGTCACTTTTAAACCCTGACTGCAGCATTGTGAAAACGAATTTCCTGGCTGGTTATTGCTCTTTTCTTCTTTCTGTTATTAGTTTATTTAACTGAGAACTTGGCAGATTTAGATCACAGCAATGATTTACATGTTTGTTATTGGAAAAACTTTAAGCATGCATATTGTTATTCTGGTTAGTGACTAATGATCTGTTGCCTGTATAGCTGTCATACAAAGTGGGGTCAAAGTACAGTTTTGGTCTCTGAGGTGTATTGTGGCACAATGTTGCATAAAGTGTCATATCAGTGTTGAGGAACTGAAATGAAGATAAATGAAGTTATACTCCACTCAAACAGATCAAACTAAAAATAAAAAGTGTTTTAGCTACTTGGTCTTTTAACCTCAGAGGTACAGTACATTTTACAATCTCTAGAAATACTCTTAAATTAAGAATGCGCACAACTCTATAACACTGAGTAACTGTTGCAAAGAGCTGCAGAGACACAATGAAACCCTCCTCCCCCCATCTATCCAACTCCTCTCTTTCCCCTGTCCTGTTATGTGTTAGAAGTGAGGTATGGACACAACAAAGCGGAAGCACTCAGGAAAGGAGATCCAAGAGAGCTGCTAGGTGTGGACTTCCGTCAGCGCCTGAGGGGGTTTGAGGAAATGGCCGGAGACAAAACTCCAGAGGTGATGGCACAGAAAAAGGTGAAGTGCTCCTGGGTAGTCCCTTGTAGCTGTTCACAACAAAACCGCACCCAGAACACAGGTCTGCTTCTTCTTCCTCCCGGACTAAGCAGTTCTGCACAACCTCTGATACTGGGTTTAATCAGATGTTCAACTTACAACAACAGACTGGTATTTTTTATTATAGTGTAACACAAAATTCCTTTGGATATGCACATTTAATAATTCATTGAATAGTTTGCAGTTGGATTTAGGGTCTACAGAACTGCAAAAGCTTACATTTTTCCCTTAGCTGCAGGACTTTAGGGAATCAACTGCACAAACTGTAAACTGTGCACCTTTTGTTCTTCTTATGTGTTTTCGAGTCTTCCTCACGCTGAAATGTGCCTCACTCCTTTGCAGGTCGTTGTATCACTGCAGAAACATCAGTTTATTTCCGTTTAATGTCTGAAACAAATCTTTTTTTAATCCCCTGAAAGAGTTAAAGATTTTTCTCTATTCTTTTCACCAGTGTTTTATAGCCTGATCGGTCTCGGACGTAACTGAGCTTTTCACCCCCTCCTTCACCTGGATCTCTCTCAACAGTCCTTTCATGGATGAATCGTCCAATCTTTCCCACAGTTTGGTCCACAGCTGCTGGCTGCTGCGCTGTTGTGGATCCAAAACAGTGGTTGCGAAGCTCTGACACACTTGATGCAAATCTCAAATCTCTCTCCTTGTACCAAAGGCACTTGGGCTTTCTAAATGCATGAATGTCTGCTCCTTTCCTTTTCCAACAAATCACTCTTGTTCCATAAAAGCAGGTGAGAAAGAGATCTGTGTTAAATGTGTACTTTGGCTACTTTCCAGCTGTCTTTCAAACACTTTCAGGAGAGACACAACAATCCATCCAACTCAGCACCAACGGCCACAAAAGAAGACAAATGTTGGGAACTTCCTCTCAGCCTCTGCAGAACCTACAAGATTAGTGTGAAATGACTGATCAACAGCTGTTGCTTTATTGTCCACATAAACAGATAGTTTTGCAATGATGCTGACCCAAACCACAGCAACCAAATATCAAATCGATTGGTCAGTCCATCTCCCTGTGTCACAGCGGCTGTGCATCCTGCTGCCTCTCCATCAGCTCAACACCAGCTGAGGTCTGAAGTCGACCACCACACTCCCCAGATTCCCAAGTGACAATTTTCCCACAACACCCTCACACAGCTGGTGGAGACTATTCCCAAATGGAAACTATGAATTTTCCCGTCTGAGGACATGCTAACTTGCTAAGTCTTACCAACAGGCCAAGGGGATCCAAGCTTTAACCAAACAATGAGCAGTCTGCTCTGTTGTGTTAGCAGGATTCTTTTAGCAGTTTATGTACAGTGGCAAGTGTACAGCAAAGGTCCGGAAATGTCTGCTGGGAGACACAGACTTGGTGCATAAAAAAAGCATGCAAAAGGTCAAAACAAATACAACAGAACAAGGGGGAAATGCTGCAAAAACACCAAACCATATATGTGTTTCAAGTATTTGCATCATATTTGTAGCTAATGATTTATTTAATGTCATTTTGCAGCAACATTTCTTATTCATTTGCAGAATGCATCTATTGTTGCTTTTGTTTCACACTTTTGCAAGTATCCAGATGCTCAAGTTTGTGTGCATAAAATGTCATAACATAATTGCCTCATATTTTTTTTTTTGCATTGAGCAATTTGTTAGACTTGATGGCTAAGGTCCATCCATGCTGCAAAGCCCAGGGCTTGACAGAAGAGCATGGTCAGCTTTAAAGTCGAGTGGGCAGTTCAGGGGGGTTGAGAGGTCAAGGCAGAACAGAGAACAAGTGTAGAGTGGTGCAAAGGCATGTTTATCTGGCCATGTTATCCCTCTGAAGTACCGGAGGGAGGAGAGCGAGGAGCCCCTTTGTTCCTCAAGAGCCTGCAGATGGCTGTAATCCTCCCCAAAATGCGCACTGAAAATCAATCAAGACAGGGTGGACATGGTGTATGAGAGAGGAGGTGGGCGACACTTTCCACAGGGAGGGGGTCCCGCAAAGAAACACAAGTTGGGTCAAACAAGCGTCTTTGGTGTTTTCCCGCCAAAAAAGTATTGTGAGGCAAAGACAGAGGGAATGAATTGCAGCTCCCTTCAATGAAGGCCGGCTTGATACCCCACAGTTTGAGCTGAACACAGCTGCCATCTCCTCTCTGAACCCTGTGGCTGACATCGTCTGCAGGGGGGTACAACCACAAAATCCTCCAAACACTGACATCATACTGAAATTAGGCAATGGAGATATTCAAGCAGAACAGAAAATATGGGTAACTAGATCAACATAATCACATAACTAGCTTCTTAGATAGCTTAAAGTTGTGGTTCAGTAGCTAGTTTGATAAACGAATAGCTAGTTTGATAGCTAGCTGGCTATGCTAAACAAAACAGGTGCAGTCTTGCAGATCTCAACCACTATATTTTTTGCATGCTAGAATGCTTATATCTGATGCCTTATAGCCATGAACACAAAAAAATAAGGCTGAGTTTCTCTTTGGAGTATTAGTGTCCGCAACAGAGTTGTTTTAGGACTCGCATAGAAAAAGGGTTAAAGTAGGGTGACCTTACGTCCTTTTTACCCAGACATGTTCTCTTTTTGGGGGGCTGTCCAGGTTTGTCTGGTTTTGTCCAGGGAAGTTTATAAAATCCTTCAAATGTCTGCAGTTTTGTTCGTAAGTTTCGAGTTTGTGTCACGTGGACTTACTGAGTTAGAAGTGCATAAAAGACACTTGATCCAACCCAAAAAACTCTCAAAATTAACTTTGTGCGACTCTGTGACTCCGCCCCCGCTTAACGGCAGATATTTCAGTCCTGAACAAGACATAAATACCTATCATTCACTGGACAGATACTCACTCAGAAACACTAGAGTCACACATTAATTGGAACCATAATCCAAGCTAATAGTGGTGTAAGGAGGAAGTCATAGATTCACCAAAGACAGTCACGCTCTCCACCTTGGAGAGAATTTTACAAACCTCCAAAACACAGAGAAAAAAACACATTGTCAAAAGTATGTATACAACACATGAAAACACGGCCCAGAAAAGAAATATTTGTGACATGAGTGTTGTTTTCTCATATGGCTGACACCAACCTTCTTCATTTCTCTGATAGTTTATCCACTACATTTTTGCACACCTGTCTTTGGGGGAACTCTCCAATCCCTTAAATTAAAGACTAGGATTACAGATTTCTAACAAAACCTGTCTGATTACCTGCACAAAGGAGAGAAACTTTCTGGCTGATCACTTCAGTTCTTCTTGCACTGCCTGCCACCCACCTCTGTGTTTCTCAGCTAATCCTGAAATCCTGCAGTGCATCCAAACCTTCCCCCTTACACCCATGTTTTGGCCTCAGAGAATCGTGTCTGGTTACCTCCTCAGAGACATTTTGCACTATACCTATTGTTTGAATTGTTTATCGAGGAAAGAGGTAGGCAGGAACGAAACTGTCACTCACAGCTGTTTTGTTGTGTTACTAGTATCTCCTTCCATTTTCTCCTGCAAACACAGCTTCAGGGAAAGATTTGTCAACAGATAGGCCTGGTGCACCGTGAAGTAAAAAATCTGAGCCCATGATGTGCAAGTGCTCTGATAATAAAACAGGAGGTGTTTATACAACAACACCCTCTGTTTCTTTCCACTAACTTATCTCCAACTCCCATGTTATATCCTTTAAATCCACTCATATTCATTTCTAACTCCCTTGTGAATCTCTTCTTGCTTTACTACAACTCTTCTAATTTCTATGTTCAACCCCATATTTTCTTACTCCTCTTCAACACTTATTCTCTTCTTTTTACTCTCCAATCTTCCACCCAAGTCCCTTCCTACTCCTCCTGTTACTCCAGTTCCCCTGAAAGGACCCCTGGCAAACTCCTCCTGACTCCTGAATTACTTCCCTCTAACTCTCATTTAAATCTCATCTGACTTCCTTCTAACTCCTTTCTGGCTTTTCTTTCTCAGTAAAATTCCCCCAACTCTTACTTCCAACTCCTCTGTTACTCCCTAATTCCCTCGAAATTGCTCACCCACTCTCCCTACAATCACCTTCCAGCTCTCCCTATACTCCTTTGACTCCCCTTCTGGTTTCCTTCTAACTCATCCTAACTACCTTGTTACACCTGTCAGTCTTTCCTAAATATTTCCTTTCCCTTTACCTCCTCTCTACTTTCTCCAACTTCCTTTTTACTTTCTTGTTTCTGCCGTGAATATCTCCCTCCTAACTCCCCTGTTACTTCCCTTGTTTTCCTCTCCAAAATTTTTGGGCCTCCCCCTCAACTTCCCTTTAATTCCCCTCCAACTCCACTATAACTCCCTCCAGGTTTCCTGTTACTGCCCTCTAACTCCCCTCTTGTTTGGCTTTACTCCCTCATATCTCTTCTTTAGCTCCTACAAACTCAGCCTCTTATAACCTCCCGCTTACCTCCCTCTTTTCCCCAAATGTTCTCACCCCTAAAACTCCACACTAACTCCTCTAAAGCCCCCTGCAATTCCCTCAAATTCTTCTCTAACCTCAACAGACGACTGAATACTGCTGAATACAACTTGCTCACCTTTTTTTGCCCTGGTTTTGGTCTCCACTGCTAGGTAAAAATATTTGGCACAGTAGCTCCTGGATTCTTGGCTATGTTCACAAGCTAGCTGCAGACTTTGTCTATCCGCCAAAAAACACCATGTTTTCAGAGTTTTCAGCTGTATTCACCAACGTTACTGTGACAACTTGTATAGGGGCATGTTTGGATGTATTTTTACACAATAAAAAATGACATGAAAAAAAAATGTAGCAGCTGTCTAACATGAGGCTGGTCCTGCCCAAGGTTTCTGCCTGTTAAAAGGAAGTTTTTCCTTGTCACTGCTACTCATGTTAGTTGAGATGGGCCAAAACCCATCTTAGGTTGGTTCTTGATCATCAAACAATGAGCGTGGTCTAGACCTGCTCTTGTTCTTTGAAAAGCAGCGTGAGATGACGACTGTTGTGAATTGGCGCTATATAAATAAAATTTGATTGATTGAAAAAAAATTTTAACATATATTTGAAAATTCAAGGGGAACACTGTCAGTGGCACTGTAAGGGTAAGACCCCCTCTTAATCATTTTGTTTAAACGCCTCTAGGAGTGTTTTAGCTTTTTTTCCCTTTAACATTCATTCAATAGAGTGTCATACTTCTACAATAGTGCAATGTGACTTAGTAATGCAGAGTGGCTGCTAAGAGCACTTTTCATGTTGGATCAAGTGAAAGGGAAGAGAAAAAGAGAAACTCGTCGAGACGTTTATGCATCAGATGTGCTGACAGTCATCCAGCGTGTTTATATTCTGACAAAGTGCACTCACACATTGTGCATCAGGCCAGCCGCTGTAGCCCGTCTGATGTGTCAAAAACTCTCCCTTCGCTCCACACTCATTCCAGGGGAACATGTGCGCTGGAATTCTCTCCCAATTAAGACAGGGATTAGCCAGGTCCGCTGTGGGAACTGGCCGAGTGTGGGAAAACAGAGAGCATGTCCCTCTCTCCTTCCCTCACTGACACTCAGCCTCATTCTCACTCGCTCCTGTTCACCGAGCTGCCTCCCTCCCTCTGCCTTTCTCACCCTTACAGTAACTCTTCTTCCTCCATTCTCTCACCCTAAATTCTTTTTCTCTAATATTTCTCATTTTAGACTTATCAAGTCTTCCCTTAGGCAGCTCACACCATTTAACACTCATTTCCAAAAATCCATTTTTCAGTTCCTGGTCTCTCATCTTTTTAAATCTTGAACACCAGCCCCATTAATTTTATTCTTCTGTCTCCTTTCTTTGCCACCCAGGATCACCAGAGCTTTTATTCCCAATTCTTCAAGGTTTTCTGAAGTGTGCAGCTCTTCTGTTCCCCCTCCCTCCCTCCCTCCTCCCTCTCTTACATGCCTCTCTAGCCTTCATGCTGAAAGCTTGTCTGGAGGGAAGCTGAGGACTCTTGCTTGAATAGTCTCAGACTGTCAGGGTGAAAGAGGGGGTCGAGAAGACAACTAATCAGAGGAGAAAAGAGAAGAAAAGACAGGTGCTACAGTAAATAGACAGATACATAGTTCCTGTTGGGTTTAATTGATCAAAATCAAGTTTCAGGGTTTTTTTTAAACATAATTGATCCATGCTTTGTCGCATGTGTAAGTTCAGCCCTCAAAATTGAACCAAAAGTCACACATGTCCATGGGAAAGTTCAAGGAGCAACCAATGAGACCTGACTATGCATGAACTAAACATGCATGGGAACATCCCAGTTTGTTTCTCATGATACTGCACAACTCCCACCATCACACCCTATTCCTCTCCCACTGCATCCACATTCCTCCTCCTCATTGTCACCTTTTCTTCCTCATTCCCACTCACCCTCTCCTCTCCTCTCCTTTCCTTGCGTTCCCATAAATCCCTTCCCCGTGCACTCCTCCATACAAGGCTTGTCCGTTCCAATTACTGCAGGGCCGTCCAACCCCCCGGCTCACACACTCTGCGCACTCACACACAGACCGCTCTCATTAAGCCTGTATCAATTAGGCATTAACCTCCTAAAACAAAGGGCCTGTTGACAAGCGGCCCATCGCAGGCCATGTGAGGTACTTCCTCTGCAGCGCTCCACCCTGCTTCCCATCCTCAGAAACACACATTCATGCAACCTCTTTCCCACTGAGCTGGTCACAAAACAAATCTGGATCCCAAGAATCAGGAACAACACAGAGGAGAGAAGGAAAAGTGAATAAGCATCGAATGTGTATGCACAGTGCTGATGTGGTGAGGGTTTGCATTTTAATGATTTCACAGAAAATAGAAAGCTAGCGGTCTTGGTGTTTATTTTTTAGTTTGCAGGATTTCCAAACAACTTGTCAAGAAACTGAGACTGCAGTATCATTTAATTCTGCAATTGAGATTGTGATCTGTTGTGTTTTATGTTTAAATGAGACTTTCCTGGCATGAGTAAGATATATGATCTGCAACAACAGTGTTCAGCTTTGCAATAACCACAGGAAGTGTGGTGCATTAATAAATACTAAAGTGTGCTTATTACTTAAAACTCACACTCAATCTGCTGTTTTTATGTTTTAGACTCTTTCTATGTTCACAACATGTCCCTTCTGATTCAAAAATGAATCCAAAAATCTATTATTTTCAGCCCTACACTGGCACAGCTAATGTAAAGGTAGCTTGTTGCTAGCTTAAACTTTATTTGATAGAATCAAAATGATTTAAAAACATGGTCTTTGTAGCAAGCTCTCATCCAAAAGGTAAAATGTACAGATGCTGAAGAAAAACATCACTTTTTGTGATTAAATAAACAGTCATTTACAACTTATTGGATGTGCTTATTGCTTGTGTTGCAGTGATGATAAAAGTGATTTTCTCTGCAGCCCTGTCATTCGAATCCATCATAGTTTAGCTATCCTCATGATAGAGTTTTTTTTTTACTTCAGCACAGCTGTATTATCAGACAAGCAGCAGAAGGAAGGTGTTTAAAGTTTCAAATGAACAACATCTTAACTGAGTTACATTTTTTCAAAAAAAGTAACTTCCATTAATTTAGTGTCAGATCACAAAAAAGAAAATCACACAGTCTACTTCCAGAAAAACAGGATAAAAAGAGAAAATGGATGTATTTGGGTTGTCAAACCAGTATTTTCTATACTGTGTTTTATCAGGATGAATCTCATTTTTAACTGCATGTTAAAAACTCAGTTGTGCTGCATTTCAAAGACACTTGCCAGTGTCTTGATTTGGAAATCAACTGAATGCATGAAATACTTTTGATTTTAAATGTTACATTCAATGCTCCAATAAATGCCATCCTGTTACACCAGCGTGGTCTGAAACCATGAAACCAGGCACAAGACAGTATTAGAGTTTGAAGGGTGGTCACAACTGTGACAAACTTTGTGGATGTCCCCATTGGACCTGAGACTTACTTTATGTTGACAGGCCTGCTGTCAGTTTTGTTAGCGTCTTCCTTTCAGTTTCATCCACAGGTCTGTGGTTATTCACGCACTCAGAAAAGTGCTCCAGGCTTCTGTGACGGGTTGACTGCTGACAGTCAGGCCAAACTCTGGGCACTTCTGTGATATTTTAATTACTTTTCACAAAAAGCACATGCTACTTTTGGTTTGCCAACTGAGGCCTATAACTACAGAGTGTGATAAGAGAAAAAATAAGACATGATTAAAAGAAAACGCTTTTTTCTTTTAAAGAAGTGCGACTTGGATTCTTCTAATTTCTGATATAAACAATGACCAATTTAAGTTGAACAAAAGTTTTATAAATACAGAACCAACACCTTTATGATACAACAGAAAAAAAATATTGTAGTCATGAAATAAGTGTTTGCTATTTGAAGGTAAAATTATTTGGTTTTGATGAGACATTTGAAATAAAATCCATTTTACTTCATGTTTCCTTTCTTTCTTAAGATTTCAGTGACAAAGTTTGCATATTGTTAAGCATTACATGTCACATTCACCAATTCACACCACATTCATACACTGATGGCACAGGCTGCTATATAGACCATTAGAATTAACTAATCCTATTTAACACACCGCTTGACACAGCCAGCAGGGGCAGGTTGAGGTCAAAACAGCGGGACCTTGGATCAAAATCCTGACCTCCTGATTGAGAGACAACTGACTTTACCACAGCCACAAGACATGAGACCCAAAAGACGTCTTTCCAAACATACAGGACATTGTTACTTTATATATTCAATCTATGATGTGGTTTTGATTAGATAGCTGTATCAGGTTGTGTGAAAGTAAACGCAATAAGTGAGAATAAAGTGAGTGAAGAGTGAGATTATTCCAGATGGATATGGCAGCTCAACTGTATTACTTCAATAGTTATGTAATAATGCTGCCCTGCTTTTACATAGGAATATTTTGGATGTCATACTCTACTTTGCGAAACTGTGATGCAGATTAAATCACAACCTTTTGTGGGACTTTTGGCCTTTTTTCAATACCCTTGATTGATTTTTATTGAATGTGGTGTTTGCATGATAAAAGTGACCGTAAAGATGATAAATAAAAGTGTTTCCATTTCAAGAGGTAACTTGTTGCACAAATATGCAACAAGTCAAAAGAAAACTTTGCCCTTGGCTTCGAGGACCAGCTGTGGTGCACCAGACCTCTTCTTTGTCTACTTGTAATCTTACAATAATTAAAGATTAACTTTTTATTTACTCAGAGTACATTTCATTTGTGCATGTTTGCAGAGGCCTCTGCATCTCTGTCTTTGTTGACAAAAGCAGTAAAGAACAAACCTGGTTTTGATTTTCCCACAGATCTGCCGGTGAGAGGAGTGGTCTCCAGCACCCAGCGCTTTGGCACAGTGACTATGTTGGCACAGAACCAAACTGAACACCCCCCACCCCTTTTCCCAGGGCCCTGAGAGTGTAATACATTACTAACAAAATCCCACTTCCCATTCCTCAAACTTTCACACCCCTGCTCCCCTCCTCTCATTGCTGGCATGCCCCTTGGAAAAGGGGATGACTCTCTCCATCTCCTTTAATTTTCCCATCATTCCCCAGAGAATCTTCCCTTTTTAACATCAAACTTAATGAAATTTTCTTATCAAAACTTTTAACAGTTATAGTAATCTTAAATGGATTTTCCAATTTGAAAGACATGTAGGCTATGGCACTTAAGAAAACTATGAATCCCAGCTACCAAAACACACAGGGAAAAATGCAGACCCTTTCACTGTTAAAGGGATTTAAAGGGAATAGATTCCCATTCACACCCTGGGGTTATAAATATGAACCCTCATTCTGCAAAAAGGCTGGCTTGTTTGCGCCACTGTTCTCAGTCCTGCATTGAGGGGAAGTATTCACAGGCGTGTACGTGTCTGGGTAACATGTAATGACATTATTCTCACCAGGGTGACCCCTCATTGTCACCGCGCTTTCTTCTCCCCAGCTCGTGAAATTGACATAAGCTTTACAAACATTCCAGGCATTTTTTTCTCAAGGCCGGCTTTCTTTGGGGGGCCTTTCATAGAGAGAAACCTCCAGCCCGAGCAGCACCACCTAGTGATGATGGAAATGTGCACCACCATAGATGCGCTCGCTGGACACAACAATGTACCCTCTATGTTTAGTCGTAACCCAAAAGTTTATATGTTTATTTCAATTAAACTGCCTTATAATCACTGGAATGTGTATTTAAATTGACATGAATATCTAAGACTTAAATATTTTAATTTTCAGCTTAATGTGCATGACAGTTACAACATTGCATCATTATATTGAAATACACAAAAAGGTTTTGTTTTCAGACCAAATTCCTCAATGGAGAGTTGAATTAGCACTTTGGGAACATCTCGTCTCCTGTTTTCCACGCAGCCTGCACAGATGTGAGATCTCCTCTTTGAACCTGTGGGTGATATTACAGCTCAGTATAATACCCTACTTACAGTGAAAATCACATTATTTACAAGTTAAGTGACTTCCTGACCTGCCCAGGTGATTGTCAATGTAGTCCTGCAGCTCAGATACCTGCGCCTCTGCAGCTGTTGCCCTGGAGATTAGGAGGGCACGCTCCTTTTCTAAGCCCACCTGTTCAGATGTAAAAATTATCTTTATATCATCTTAATTTGGACAAAATAAATGTTTTACTTTGCAATATTTTTCAGTAATTTGTGGATTCGGATTGTTTGAGGGGCATTTGTTTACCAGTGTGGAGTCTGTCATCTGCTTCAGCTGTTTGCTCATGTCCGACCAGGATTCGCCGCAAATCTGCTGCAGTTTCAACAGCCTGATAAAGTTACATTTTTCATGAGATTTTTTTTTCACGACACAATCCACAGCTGAACACATTTGTCAAAACAAAAATGACACTTACTCCTGACAGCCTTCATTCTGAACAGGCATTTTGAGGACAGATCCCTGGAAGACAAAAAGCCAGAGTGAAAGTTCAGATACCCAGCACACATAAATGGGTGTAAAAAGAAAATAAAAGCATTGAATAAAGATCAGAAGCATAACATGAAAAGAAGTATTTTATTGTTTAAATACCACACCCACAAACTGTTAAGGAAGCTTGAAAAAAGAACAGGATCCACACAGAACAAACACAAGCAAACACCAGACAAAACAAAAGCAGATCAATCCACTTCTTAGAGGGAATCTCTTTCTTGTGTGTTACCTATTCCCCAGTTTCCTGCTGCCTTGATTCCAGTCTCACCTTTTCCTGACAGAGCTGCTGAATCTCTTTCTCTGTTTCATCCCTGGGCTCAGTGAGCTCCAGAATAAAGTGTGTTTCAGGAGGTCCAGGTTCAAGGCCACTCTCTGGTTTGAGGACGATCTGCTCCCGCTGAACCCTGAAGGTAATAGTGTACTAGAGTTGACTTTAATCCATTACTTTCCAGAACTTTATTTTCAAGAATTGTTAAAGAGATGTAGGCCATCTGCTTTCAAACAACAGGGTCAGACCCTCAAAAAGAGACCAAAGAGAAATGGCTGATATGTTGATGTCTGCTCCAGAAGGTCGTGATACTTTTACTTACAGCCAGCTCCTGTTGGACCCTCTACATGTTGACTCATTATGTCACACACTAATATAAATGACAAACAAGTCAGCAAAAGAGGTGGTGTGTCGATAAGTGAAAGCATGGACAACACTAAAATGCTCAGGGAAGTCTCACCTGTAGGCAATGAAGAGAGCATGATGGGCCTTGGTCATCTTCTGAAGTCTTTTCTTATAGGAGCGAGCTGCAGAGGCAAGCTGCTGCTCTCTGACTCTGTGAGAGGAACGAACATCTTGGAGCATGCTGTCCACAAATGTTCTCATCTTAGAGGCCTCTGCAGGGCTTTTACTTTCTCCAAGGTCATCAATATACTCCTGAACATGTGAAGAGTGGACAAATGTTGTATTAGAAACTGCTTTATCTTGTGCTGTGGTAGAACTGGCACCAATTTAAAACCAGTGTGGGGAATACATCCTAAGAATACTTACAGATATATCCTGCAAATACCTTACAAGTCTTCCACGATATTCCTCATTCAGCTCTTTGACTTGGAGCTGCAGCTTTGAATTCTCTTCCTCTACCCCCTTCACCTGGCTGTGACACCACATCAGAGCCTTGAAAGCAAAGATGAAAATTTCATTTAAACATGTTTTTACACATTTATATTGTTGCTGCTCTCATTTTGAACTTTATTTGTATGTTTTATTTAGAGGTTATGACAACATCTGGAAGTAGTTTAGAGGATCAGTAGGGGATTTTTCCTGCTCACCGCACTCTGCTCGGATAGTTTTTGCTGACTGTCACAGATCACTCTCCTGTTTTCCTGCTGCTCTTTACCCATTGCTACCCTGATGACCAAACACAGACGTAACCACAAGAGAGGTGACCAGAACCCACAGTTAGCCACATCACAGGGGGCAACCAAAAGGACCACATCACACACACCACACACAGCCATAGCACAGAAAAAGATTAAAGAAAGGAGCATGAGACAGACATTATGTACATCCTGAACTGGCTTTGGCTGATTGGTGACTGGAAATTGATAATCACGCTTCACTAGTACAGCTTGTGCACAGTAAATAACCCTCACACTTTCATCTCCAGTTTCTTCTGCTGATCCTCGTAGCTGTTTTTCATTTTTGCTAGCATTTCTTTGATCTCGTCTTGGTTTCCAAGAAGCTAAATGAGATGAGATGACAGTGTAGTTAGAGCTTATACATGAACCCCATAACACACATGTCTTACATGTCTACTCTAAAGAAGGAGACATGAATATACTTACATTTTTTTCCATAACTTTCTGCTCCTTATCCAGAGCTGCCAGATCCTCAAGCTGTTAGAGCATTGTTGTTATGAAAATTCAAGGTTTTAGATAGAAAATGTCAGATGAGATGTTTCACATCTTGAACTTTTGTCTACGTTTAAGTTTAAAATGTGAAACTAAGTGGAATATATGAGTTTCATCCAAAGATGAAGTGAATTGTTATCAAATATCTCCTTAGCTTGTTTGGAGAATAGTGAAATCATGTGTATTCTACTATTATTTAATGGAACATGTTGTAATTGTGTTGGAACTTCCAACCATTTGTCAATTTTTCTATATACTATTGCTACAACTATGAAAAAATTCTCAAGAACTCAAGAGTGAAGCCAGGGAGTCTCAATGAGTCTTAATACACCTGCTCCTTTCTCACCTTGACTCTGTTTTGTGACATGCGGCTGATCACGGCTCGCACCCTTTCCAGCTCTCCATGTAGGTCCTGTGTGGTGGTTTTTGCACTTTGCTGCTGCTCCTCAACCTGCCTACGGAGGGTGTCCTGAGCCTGGGCCAGAGCCAGCAGCTCAGCACCAAGCTCTTCACTCTGAGCCAGTTCCTTATTATGGGCCTCAGTCAGAGCGAGGTAGTTCTTTTTCAGAGTGGCATGCTCCTCTGTCAGGTCTAGGCCACTCTTCTCTCCTGCTTTTAGAAGAGCCTCAGCTGACTGGAGATCCCTGGACAATTTGTCCCGCTCTATTTCCAACTCTGTTATAACACCAGCCTGGTTCAGTATCTGACCAGGAGAAAGGAGAGAGCAATATAGAATTTTGGCCTTTTTTTGTTGCACTGTACTTTTGCTTTAATGAATATGCAATGATTAATTAATCATGTCAAGCAAATCTTCACCTTGTTTTTCAGTTCAAAAGTCTCTTCTTCAAACTTCTCTCTTATCTTGTTTGTCTGAAGTTTCTCTTCTACAAGCTCCTTAGACATCTGAAAAGTGTGAAAAGCAAACTAAATCTTGTACTCTATGGACAAACATACCAAACTTAGAGCCAAACTGTCTCTGCATGATTCATACCACAGTTCTATACCTTCAGGTTGTTTTCCTCGCTTTGTACAAGCCTACTGGAGAGGTCTGTGTTTGAGCTCGCCAGGTGGCCCAGTCTGCTTTCCAGGTAGCCCACTTTGATGAGGAGACGCTCATTATTGTCACGCAGCTGCAGCTAAAGTTGGGTAAACAGAAACACTTTACAATGAGGTGGCAAGACACACTCCAAACATTTTCAGTTTTTACTGTCGGCTCTTTTTGAGATTCTACTAAATTTATGAATTTCCTTTTTAACAATAAGCTGTTAAACTTGCTCAAATGCCCACAAGAAGTAAAATCTTTCCTTAAAGAGAAATGGTACTCACATTTTCTTCTGTCAGAGCTTGAACTGGCCCCTTGAGTTCATTTGAAATCTGCTTCTGGCTTTGTGTATCCATCTTTGTTCACTGTCAAACACTGCTTCAATCACATAGCCTGTATCCACAAACAGTGCGATGTTACCATGACTCAAAAGCAAAACAAAAAACGTGGTCAGTTTATAGAGTGCTTCATAATGTACCTCAGATTGTATATTGTGTAAGATCATAATAGCACTGTTACCATTGTGTTGGGGTAAATACTTTTAGCCACTGTCTAGTGTATTTACTTTAAATTCCAAATTTCTTGAAGGTTCGGTTGTCTACGGTTTTCAATAGTCATTTCCTAGATGTGGCAGAAAACATAGTGCTCGAAAACAACAACACAGTTGAATTTCATGACATTCATGCTAATATATAAAAATCCCTCTTTCGAAATAAGCAACTTCGTTTGAACCGTTGGTATGCTTTAGACATCGGCGCCATCTTGTGGCAGTCTATGGGATTACGTTTGTTGTCTGCTGGGGATTATCCATCAATAAATATACAAAAAAGTGCGGAACGTACGTCACTTCCTTTACTAGCCATTTACTGCACCTGTTCACATACAAACATGAGTAGACAAACAATCTCTCTCATCTCTTATCTTGTACTAATCTCTTTTAATGTAAAACGATGAATTTCCTGTGTCTTAAATTTCCTTTTTAGTCGCTGGAATGAGAGGGACAGAGCGGTCATCTTCCCTGAGCTGAAACTCTAAAATAATGATTTTCTTTGTATCACAGCTGTAGTTTCATGTTTCAGCGCTGAGAGCTTACCTGGTTTTTAGGCTCCTTTAATTCTAGTTTAACTGTGGAGAAAATTATCTGACGCTGTTACTCACAGAAACCTCTCTGCAGTCTCAATGAATCACAATGAAGGTTTCAACATGATCTAAAGGAGCCAAGACTCTGTGCTTATGTTTATTAATGTTGAATAAATTCTCTTTAGCTCCACCAGGCTGAAAAAAGACTGTTTGATTGTATTGAAGATGTATTTAGCACAGATTAACAGACATTAAAGTGACATTACTCTGTATTTCAACACAGTAGAGTTAAAAGAGAGAGAAGAGAGAGAAGTTAAAACTAGAAAGCAGTGATTGCTGTCCTTAAGGGTCACTTTAAAGGCCAAATCATTAAATACCTTTCAGATGATGAGGGACAATGGATTATGTTGTTATTAAACACAGATTATTCACAATTTATTTTGGTAAACATTTATGCAACCACTAATAAAAAAGAAAGTGCTAACTTATTTTTGACTATAGAAGATGCAATTAATGGACCGTTGTCAACATTTCCATTAGCTAATATTATCTGGTGTGGGGATTTTCATACAGTTATGAATGATGAAATTGACACCTTACAAAGAATAAAGAAGCAGTGAATGAGCTAGATAATGTATGTAAAAAATTAAACTTAATTAACATATGGAGGCATAAACAACCAACTCCATGTACTGTTACTCCCTGTATACAATTTATGTATACAGGGAGTAACAAAGATAAATCATTACAGTCTCTTACTGACTTCTGGCTGGTCACATCTAGCACAACTGATCATGTGGAGAGAACAGATATTGAGCCCACCATTTTCACGGACCACAAAGCAATTTCAATTAGGATGAACTTGTTAAAAAGACCAAAAATGAACACAGACTACTGGAAATTACATAAAAAACTAATTCAAGATCATGACTTTCAAAACCAAACCAGAAAGCTGATTGAGAAGTACTGGAGGCAAGTAGTGACTACCAACCTGTACGGAGAGTCCTAGGAGTTATTAAAATATGAAATCAGAAGATCAGCTATAGCATTGGGCAAAAAAATATCTAAAAAACAAGAGAAAAAGAACTCCAAACTGTTACAAAAATTATGAACTTAACTGAAAAAGAAAACCCGTCTGAGGATGATGCCAGAGAACTTGCTTCACTGCAATCAGCATTGGATTTAATTTATGAAGAAAAGGCTATAGGTGCTTTCTTTAGATCCAGAAGAAAATGGCTAGATCAAGGTGAGAAGTGCTCTTAGTATTTCTTTAACCTTGCTGAAACGTCTTCTCTGAGCAAACTTAAAATTAATGGTACGATTGGTGGGTTGGGCTACTTGAAGTTGTACTGGGTGTTAGTGCATTATACAGGCATTGTTTATTAATCAAGTGGACAAAACGTAAGAAACACCTTCAGACAAAAGGCCATGTGATGTAATTTAATGTAAGAAATATTTTATTATAGTAAGCTATAGCAATGTGTAGAAATAATGTATTCAAAGGCAGAACACACAAATTCACAAGGTTGTTTCCCAAGTAAAAACTTACTTGAGTTATCAAAAATAGGTGCAAAATGCTGTACACAGGGGTTTTTTGACACAGAACATACTTAATATACTATAATTTGACTGTAAAAATACATTGAACCACGTGTAAACCACATAAACATGGGGATCAACCCAAAACAAACTCCCCAGTGAGAGCCAAAACTAAAGATAATTTTGGCTAAAAGGCAATAACAATATCTGTATTCAGCTATCTGAATCTTTAACTCAATATTTAAGTGCACAGAATTTTTATCAGCTGTTTTAATAGGTTAAAGGTTTAATAGGTTTTAGGTTTAATAGGAATTCCTTGGAAATAGGGTGGAGGTTCACATTTTAATTGATGTGGATGTATTTGAATGTAACGCCTCTGTTTTTGATTCAAATATTGTGTAATTCCAAATAAAAATTATCACAGCTCTACAATAAATTAAATATTTTTCACATTGTCCACAGTCACACTAAAAATTTGTACCCAAAATAGTTTTAATGAGGTAGAAGCCATCCTCTTAGGTTTACTGTCTTTAGAAGTGTTGTCCCTTTCGGTAACACTTTACTTGACGCCTATCTCTATAACACATTATAAATATATGTATAATGCATTATAATCACGTTAAAGCACTGTATAACTTTAGTTATAAACACTCATAAATGATCATAATGCTTCATAGCGATAATCACAACACATAAAGCATTTTATCATGACTTACAAGGTCAGGTATTATAGTGTCTTATGCTTATTGTTATAAAGCCTTATGATAATTAATGAGTGTTTATAATGACAGTTATATGAGTTTATAAGCAAATTATAACACATTATAAATATATTTAAAATGCATTATCTATGTGGTCATTGTCAGTGAGTTGTTAACAGTGATAACTCATTATAATACTTGACCTTGTAAGTCATGATAAAATGCTTTATAATGTGTTGTGATTATTGCTTTAAAGCATTATGATCCTCTATGAGTGTTTATAACTATGGTTATGCACTGCTATAACATGATTATAATGCATTATACATATATTTATAATGTGTTATAGAGATAGACATGAAATAAAATGTTACGTCACTTTCTCTCCAAGAATCTCCTCTGTTGGGGTTTCACAGTGATCATCCAATGTTCATTTTACCAACACAGCTTGTGTTGTTGTTTCTAACAGAACAAACTGCACTTTCACTCCCAGTCTGACAATTTACACACTATTGCTATCCATGTGCTTGAAAACTAAGTTTTCTGACACACATGAATTTGAATAGAAATGTTTACGAAAATATATTGTACTATTCAACAAAAAGAAAGGTTTGGATCATTTAGGATAGATTTAAGTCCTCTTCCACTTCATCCTCCTCCTTCACACTGTAGTCTTTGTCACCTCTATCCAAGGGTACATCCATGTCTCTCTGAAGGGCCTTCAGGCTGGCCTCACTGATATAGTACTTGACATTTTGTGATGGCAAAAGCCTCTGGAGCTCTTCCAGCTTACGGTGGGCCTGGAGAAGATAGAAAAAAAAACACAGTTTGCATTTGATGACTTTGTTAGTTTTGAGAGATACATCTTGAGACATCCACTGAAAAAGCTAGAGGGAGGTAGTCACCATTTGTAAGTTGCCCTGTTGACAGTAGTGTTCCACCATGAAACCAAATACATCTCCTATCCTGACAGCAGGATCCAACTCTGGCTCCTCAAGTAGGGCTTCACATAACCGAACTGCCTCACCAGCATCTTCTGGGTACAACCTGAAAACACCAGACAAAGTTTCAAGCAGAAGCTGACTAGTAACTTCGGAGTAGAGACTTTAAAAGCAACTGAAACAAGAGTGGTTGTTACCTGCGTGCATGGACAAACTTCTTGATAAGAGTGATTTTATGCTGCAGGTCTGTTAGTCTTGCTTCTTGCTGTCCAGTTGAAGAGTCCTTCACTTTTGAAAGGCTCTTGAATGCCTCAGTCAGAGCATCCAGAGCCTTTTCATAGTTCTGGTACTCATCAATCTCCACCTTTATAATTGTCAACATCAGAAAAATTGATTGTCAAGTATTTTAGCTTTTTCCCTTAAAGCATTTTAACTCTGGTAAAAACCTAACACTTAAATGTTTTCCAATTATAATTATTTTATTCATTACTTACTATGATCATGTAACACTTAATTAACAACATAAGTTTGCTTTTTGTCATTTATGACCACTGCCTTCTTTCCTTCGTGTTGTAAACCCATAACCAAACAACCACCAATAACAAACACAGGGGAATTAGCAGGTACTTAAAATAAAGTATTGCTCTACCTGGGCACAGGCTTCATAAAAGCCAGCAAGCAGATCCGGCGCCCTGCCTTTGGTGTAGAAACCAATGATGGTCTTTAAGATCTCTGGCTGTTTTCGCCAGTCCAGAGACTGGAGATAGTTAGCAGCCATGATGAAAAGCTCCTTTTGGCGAGAGAGGTTGGCAAAGAACACAATCTTTTCCGTGTCTCCTGACTTGAGGAGTGCCTTCATGGCCTGTTTGAAAAACATTTAGGTTTAATACAACATGAAACATTCATAAAACAACTGAAACAACAACATGAAACAACTGAAACATTCTGACTTAAATTGTAAACCACATATCTCCGTATGACTTTCACGTATTTCTTAATATACCTTGATCCTGTTTCCTGCATGTGTGTATTTCTTGGTGGCAAGGTGGTAATTGCCCTGACGCATGCAGCAGTCTGCTATCCTCTCCAGCAGCTCCTTTCGAGCCTCTTCAGACAAATCATTAGAATCAATGATAGACATCCTCTCTGCCAGCTCATCTGTGATGGTCAAGTTCTGGTTCACACACACCTCCAGGGCTTGATGGTACTTTGTGCACAAATAAAAGACACACAGTCATTAGTACAGCAAGTACAAGCTAATTCCTCCATGTAAAGGTGATGCAAGAAGTCAGTACCTTCTTGGCTGCTACCAGCAACTCCACAGCCTTGTCATACTGGGAGTGTGTGATGAAGAAGTCAGAGCAGCGTGCAAGGAGGGCTGGGTCAGAGTTTTCATTCAGATCCTCAGCGATCACTTGAAGTGCTGAGAACTGCTGTGTGGAAAAAGCCAACTCCAGCGCTTTGGAGACATAACCAGCCTGCAGTAGAGGAAAAAACAGATTTTAAAAATGTGTTGCAGTGCTTCCCTCTTGTGGCCTTATTTAGAACTCATCTGTCTAAACACTTGTCGACCCTGAACAGCCGATTTTTGGACGTAACCTTGTGGTAGAGGGAGACAGCTCGGTCCATGTGGGTGCCTTTCTCCTCGTAGTAACAGGCAGCCTCCATCATGTCCTCTGGGTTACTGAGCAGAGCTAAGTTCATCAGCTGGTCATCTAAACCATTCTCCTGTTACAACAAAATTGATAGATTAGGTTTGCACACAGCCCAACAGTGATATATAATCATGATGAATTAAAGTCTATCTTCAGACATATGTCTATGTGTGTTTACGGGATGTCATACTGGTAATAAGCAAAACATTTTACCGCCAAAACTTTACCTTACAAAGTCGGATGGCGTTGTTGTAAGCCTGTGCTCGTGTGTAGAAGTGGACAGCCTGTTTGATGTCATCATGGCCTTCGTAGTGTCTGGCCAGGTGGTATGAAGCTGCCCTGTCTCCTGTGTCATTGGCTATCTCAGATGCCTGTTACAATGAACAAAAACATGATCCAAATTAGAAACAACATACTGAATTGTGATCAATATCATTAAGGCTGTATGTTTGTTTCTGTGAGACATAAGGGTAGGTCAACTGGTCCGTAATAAGTCTAAAAAATCTACACCTTTTTGGTATTAAATATGTGCCTTTCAAGATGACTGCCCGAACACAATCTGAGTTACCTTCTCAATGTTTTCCATGTAACAGTAGACTCTAACCAAAGAGAGGTAATCCTGGGCGCGTTCATAGAAACGCAGCGCTGAATCCATGTCCAACTGGCTCTCCAGGTACTGCGCCCACCACTTATAGATGTTCCTGAATGGAATAGAGGACTGGTATGCAGTTTGATAATCATTTGCATGACACTTTTCCATCTGAAGAAATACTAGACTTACTTGTCTTTGATTTTGTTGACATAGATCTCAAGAGATCCTGTGTCATCCTGGAGCATTCTGGGAACTTCAACCCTGTGTGTGTCTGATTTCTCATAACTGTTAAAGAAAGGTTGACAATCACACCGTGTTTCCATAGATGAGACTTCATTGTATTGTATCTTGATGTTGTGTCCATAGACTGTATATAGAATGGACAGAGTCTGCCTCCTCACTGGGTGAAACCACTCTGAGAAAAGCACCCTCTGGCGACGGGCTGCAGTATAGGTCATATTTCCCGTCTCTTCCAGCAAAGCATATGGAGATGTGGACTACAGCCTATTGGCATACGAAGATTGCGCAGCTCACCCGTGGGATACGCTGTTTGAGCCGAGCGTCATCACAGCGACTCTCGGCGACTCCCCTGCCGAATGTGTACAATACTACTGCGCAAGTGGTGAAGTGCATACAACGCTTCTGCGCAATGTTGGTTTCGGGACATGAAAAAAAGATAGCGGAAATCCGTATACGGGTGAAAGGCGGAACCAAGTTGTCCAGTGTATATACAGTCTATGGTTGGGTCTTTTTAAATATAACCAAGAGTATGGTCTAGACCAGCTCTTTCTGTAAAGCATCTTGGGATAACATTTTTTATGAATTGGCACTGTTTGGCTGATTGATTGATGTTTGTTAATGCCTGTTCATGGAAAGACACTGAAACTCCAATTTTGTTGTCAGGACCGCTAAAGACTCAGTCTTACTATGCCAGGGCGAGGGCCTTGTCACCCATGGACTCCAGGTATTTGGCGTAATTGTAGTAGGTTGTGCGTAGATGGATGCGATCTTGGTTTTCTGCTGTTTCCAAAGCGTGCTTCCACTGGCCAGATGCCTGGTAGAAACCGTTTAGCAGGTCATAGCGTTGACAGCTCTTGTACAATTTTTCTGCATCTTCCTATTGGGGGACAGGAAAAGATGATGGAAGGACAAATCTTTTTGGAAAGTCCCTTGTAGAGCAAAGCTTGGAGTGAAGAGGGATGTGTTATTTTTAGTCAGGGTGTGGCGTTATTTTTGACTGTGGTTTGAGATGTGTATATGGGTTATAATTTTAAAATCTTTCTGGGGGGAATTTTATGATAAAGGTGGGAAGGATGATCTTGTTGTTTTTTTATCTTGTGTCTCTTCTGTTAAGATGTTTGCATTGCATCACTTGTGTTTTTGCATTTATGAAAACAGAAAGATTTGCTAATTACATTGGGGGCCACGCATGTGTCATCTACATATGAATATTTGACAATCTTACCAGCATGCCGAGCTGAATGGCCAACATTGCCACTTGTGCCTCTGGCTCAGGCTCAGCCTCCGCCTCCTTTAGTGCTTTTGCTGCCCTGGCATTTCCCATATTCCCCAGGCACACACGTGCCACATCCAGCCGCCGTGTTTTCACACACATCCGTGCCATGTTTTCCCAAACCGCTTTACTGCAGAGAAGAGAGAAAAGTGTAACTTGCAGTGTTAGTTTTGTAAAATTAAACAGCGACATCTTATGTACAAATGTATGTATGTTTGTTTATACTTCAACTTAGGTTTCTGTTGGAAATGCTTCAGCATTAAACAGAGTAATAACTTAATAGATTAAAGCCTCCCTGCGCACAGACATCAATAATGGTGAAGCCTTACAAGAATGTGTGCAGGCCTTTAAATCAAAGTGAAAGTGCGCTCTTCTACCTCTCCAACTTTTCCTTTTGTCTTGCTGACGTAAATCAACCCTCAGCCCTCTTTTCTTCTGCCTCATTTCCAAATTTAAGATTCCACAGCCATCTGGTCTCTATTTGCGTCCCCTCCCTGCTCCGTGCTTTAGCTGATACAGATGTGGGCTGTTTATTAAAGTTAGGCAACAGGAAATACCCCAAATCTTTGGGGGCCCAGCTGTAAGAGGGGAGGATGGCAGCCAAGTCAAAAAAGAAAGCAAGGGCAGAAAGCGTTGGCCAAAATCTTACTGTATATGGTCAGAAAACTAACCCTGACAATGAAGTGAAATACTTCTAAAAGCTGGGACAAGCAGAGCTCTCTGCACACAGGGCGGTAAGATCTAGAGAGCCAGAAAAGGAAAGACAAGAGAAGGAGCTGGTCTACATTTGGCCCCTCTTCCCATCCTCCTTTCCTCTCAGGAAACACATCCTGTTGCTGGCTGGCTGACTACAGCCGCCAATATGTTTGTTGCACACGAGAGAGGGGACTTTAGCGAACGCCCCCTGGGCTCCAGACAAAAGAATACACAACTGTGACGTCCAAGAGGGGGGTCTTTAGGACATTCTCTCACACAAACACACACATTTAAAGTGTTCACAAAAGAGGGAGCTGACTGTTCAAAGCTTGCTACAGTTGTGAATTGATGTCTCGGACTATGACGAAGAGCAGCTCCCCCACATTTCAACTCTGACCTTGAGGATTTGTAGAGTGAGCAAGAGAGAGAGAGGGAAATACGGAAAGAAGCGGAGGGAGGTGGTTTAAAAATCTTCTAATTCCAACCAGGCAGTGGGGGTTGTTTAATTTGAGAGACAGCCTGGGTAAGAAAGGATCTAGTCTTTGCATTCTTGCACCTGGTCTTCTCCAAAGGCAATGTGAAGAGGCTCAAAAGAAAAGAAAAAAGAGACGAAGACACCAATCCTTTGCATCAACAGAACAGTCAACTGCACACATAGCAGTGAGGGGAGTACAGAGTGGTACAAAAGGAGGAGAGGATAACGGGAAAAGGGGATCAAGCAAGAAGGATTGAGATCCAAGAGTCAAGCTGCAGCCAGTCAGAGCCAGTGGAATGGACCCAGGTGCCAGTTGGATTAATCCCAGCGTACCCGCAGTGCTGTCTGAAGAGGAAGGCTAAGGATCTGCTGCAACGACTACCAACACCTGAATGAGGATGAATGGAGATGTTCTTTAGCTAAGCTTCACTAAAACACTCTTGCCATTTCCACCACTGCATGAGCCCGGACAACTCTTGCTAACAGCTGGAGGAGCAGAACGAGGTGGTGGTGGAGGAGGAGGTGGAGAGGAGTCAGGGTGCCCTGAGCACTGTCAGTGCTACTGCCGAGGAACAGGGCTCTGAGAGAGGACACGAGGGAGGGGGAGAGGTGGCTGGCATCGGGCGTCGCATGGCCTTGCAGAGGCTGGTGGCGGCGGCGGTGGCAGTGGCCCTGCTGTCCCTGGTCCTAAACAATGTTGCAGCCTTCACCCCTAGCTGGGTCCTGCAGGCGCTGGAGGACGGACGCAAGAGAAGCGTGGGACTGTGGAAGTTGTGCCCAGCTGGTGGAGAGAAGGGTCGTGATGATCTCCAGGGTGGGAGAAGGGGGCAGGGGACTCAGAAGCAGTGTCAGAGCTTGGGATGGGGCTCTGAATTTGCAGGGTACCAAGAATCCCGCAGCACTGTCAAATGTAAGTTTTAACACTGTTGCGCTCTTGCACACAACTGTTTCTCGTTAAACTGATTTATTGTTATTGTTTAAAAGGGTTTTCTCTACATAATAAGCTTTGTAGTACCCATAAAATCTAAGAAATTTAGAGTGGGTCAGCTACGTAAAAATACATTTATTACATTTTAGGGGATCGGAAAGGATTAACTTTTGTAAAACTCAAAACCAAACTTTTACGCAACCAGACTTAGAATAAAACTAATATGCACCACATCTATAATGTAGAATGTAACCTAAGTTAAATTAAGTGTAGCAGCTAACTCGTGATTAGTAATATGAAACTTTTTTAAAAGCAAATACATCTTTTTGGAGACCAAGTCTGAGTGTAAGCCTTATCTGGACGAGCTTTCAGTCAGAGTCCGTGTTTGATGGATGTGCTTTGTTAAATTAAGCTCCATTGAGGAATTTTCATTCAAGAACAAGTCTGGGAAAAGGTCCAGTGTTCGACTTCAATGGGCACAATGGGCGGCACTGCCTACTTATGTTGGAGAGTCAAGTGCCCCACCATTCATGATAATAAGCAAACTTGGCATAGTATTTTTTTTCAGTTTCAGTGTCAGGGTTCACTCCACCATACAGACGTACTGTATTACAAGATCAAGACCTCATATAGAGAGTTAGCATAACCTGTGTTGCATATCCATGAAATAAATGTGGAGTACTGAGCAGGAAAAATGACATAGCTCCTTTTCTGATCCCTAAAGTGCAGTTTGACATGATGCGGGCGTGTAACCTGATGGCCACAGTGGCTCTAACTGCTGGTCAGCTGATCTTCCTCCTGGGCCTGATGGAGCTGCCCTTCATCACACAGGAATCTCAGTGGTGGGAAGAAGCCATTGCAGCACTCTTCCAGTTGGCCAGTGAGTACCAACATTTATTTGATTGTTTGTTTGTTTGAAGAAAAATGACTGTCTCAGAAAAATAATTTATTAATGGGAGAGAGAGCTTATTAAATGAAATCATCTTGACTCAGAAAAATGGGCCATGGGTACATTTTAATGGAAGGGTGCCAAAAATGGGGAATAAAGTCACTGATTGACAAGTAGATTCATTACTTTAAAACTCTGACGATAAACATCCATGGGCAAATGGTTGGAACACAAGGGTATATTGTTACTACAAGTAAGTCCAAATTCATGGAAAACAGACTTTAAATAGAAGCCTTGAAAGCAGGAGTTGTAGCCATGGAGGAAGAAAATTTCCACACTAAGTATCAATCCATCAACTCGACTATGTCTGGATCCAGAGTGGGCTGCTATGGCCTGACCCTAACCTCCATCTCTCAGCCTAATCCTAGCATGTGTTGTGTTGCAATGCTGGCTGAGCCAGTTGGTATCATTGTGGTAGAGCAGCCTGGAGGGGGTCTGCTAAGGGTCTAAATTTAGTCCTGGTCCAGAATCTATGGACCCAAGCTGCAGCGAGCCAGGGAGCGACTGTCGGGCGCCAGGATATCCCTGCTCAGGACGAGGAAATGTCTGTGACTACCTGTTATGCAAACCCCCGAGCTGAAGAAGGAAAAAGAGGGGAGGGGGGATGGACGGGAAAGACAGTTTTCGACAGAGACTGTGTGTTTGTGTGTGCACAGGCAGGGGGGATATTTGTGTATGTCAGTGTGTGTTGTGACTGTCTATATCTAGATAAAATTGTCTAGCTTTTAAGCCTGTGTTTATCAAATGTCCAAAGTAGCAGCAATGAAAGAATCAGGGATGAGGGCTTTTATCTGATGGCTTTGGTAAAGGGACTGAGACCCACCCTACATTTAAGTACTTTCCAGAACAAGACAACACCACCAACTAGACCTGAATGACCCCACCAAACCCTGATTTTTAAAGACAATCGCAAAGTAAACAGATGTCAAATCCTATGAACTTAATCACCAACAAGGGTAGTGGATGTTTATAGATGTGCTGATAATGTGGTCAGTGATGATCTAAAAGAGTGTCACCGTGACTATTTCTATTGGTAACAAAAGTGACTAAGATTAAAATGTAAAAATAGTACTCTCCTATTTCCTCAGCATCTAACAATAGCAAAGTTCTTTGGAAAATGGGCAACAAAGGAGCTGAGTAATGGGATGACAAGTATCTCAGGATGTTCCCCGTCAAAAATAGAAAATTGAGGAGGCAATAAGCTCTAAAATTAAGACCAGACGACGACGATGAGTAATATTTTTACCTTATACTTCTTACTTTAGGGAAATTGGGATAAAACAGTCTCTTGCAAACCAGCCTATTTGTATACTTGCTTTTTTCAGTTTCTGTGACTCAGTGGTAGAGCGGCTTATCTCTCAACTGAAAGACTGGGGGTTCAGTCCAGCTGTCCAAATGCTGGAGTGCCCTTGGGGAAGACCCCAAAACCGTCCCGGTTGCTGTGCCAGCAATGTGTGATTGAGGTTGATTAATACTAAAGGGCACTTTCCATAGCAGCCTCTGGCATCAGTGTATGAATGTAGCGTGAGAGGGTGAATGTGACATGTGACGTAAAACGTATTCAAGTGCTACATAAACACAGCCTATTTACCATTTACTTAAGTTAGACTGGCCGTTCTAACAAGCAGGTAACTGATTTTTTAAGGAAATAAACATTTTGCAGGCTTGAGAGGTGTGCAATTGTTTTGAGGTCAAATTAAAATCTAAAGTATTGAAGAATGAACTTAGGAATTTCAAATAAGACAATGAGTTGCTTAACAAACTGTTACTATTTTGATATATAACATAAAATTAATCAAATTTGCTAAATTTTGAGAGTTTGTCTAAATTTACAAAAGGGGGGCACATTTCTCCAAAGTGATGAAAAGTTATTCAACATCTACAGGGAAACATATAAATCCGTCTCAGTTTTATCTCCAACAAATATTCAGGATATTTCCTGAAAAACAACAACATATGTATAAATAAGGCTAAGAAGTGTGCTCATGGACAGTTTTTAAACCTAATCCGGTTACCAATATTTTCACATTTTTTTTCCATCCATGAATTAGCTGTTGAGATTTGGGAAGAATTTCAGATATGGTATTGTCTTGAACATTTAATTGAGTGCTGTCCTCTGGAACTGCTAAATTAAACACCAGGATTCCTCTAAACTCCTAACACCCCCTCCAGCTGACAGTGAATGACTTTCAGCTGTGAATGAATGGAGGTATTTTTATCCATCTTCTTTCTCTGGAATGTTTTCGTTTTCAGACGTACTAAAATGCTCAGCCATTGTAAGCAGACGGTGGAATAACAATATCTGGTTTTATTCAGTGATATCTCAGCAGCCTTGGCAGGTCCAGGCTGAGAGTACAGCTGGGATCTCTGGAATGTGTTTTCTGAATGGAGACAGCTTTAACATGTCAAAAGTCATGGCTGCAGGTCATGTCAATCGGAGACAGTGTTGAACTTGTCTTTACATTTTGAAGAGTTCCATCTGGGGGGCCCAGTTATGATCACTTCAATCAGGCTTAGGAAGGAGTTTAACTTTTTCCAGACGTCTTTGTCTAAAGGACTGATGAAAGTTTAGAAAGACATCCAGACGGGTTAGTCCCTAATCATTTCTGTCCTCTGTGAAAATAAACCAAGAACAAGTCGACTAAATGAATTTTCAAGACCTGACCTCAAGATAAGACTTGTTTAGATTTTCTATGCGACAGATCATGTCAAATGTCCAGCAAATATATTAACCTCCATGCGAGGGGTGTGGAGAGCAGGGAAGGAAGGAAGGATGGAAAGAGGAAGAAGGGGAAGGAAGTTTTGAAAGATAAGTGTGTGCCAAAAAAGAGGTTCACACAGCCCACCCAGGCTGGAACCTGGACAGGAGATTATTCATTTTCTTGGGTCAGGAGCCAGACAGGTTCAACACGAAGAGATGGCGCAAACAGTCGCATTCTTATGAGTACAGGCACGCAATGATGCACCACACTACAATTCACATCCTCACTTAAAACAAATACTGCGGAAGTGGAGAAAGAAATTCAGATGAAATCCCTCCTTGGAGCTGCTTACTTCTTTAGGAAATCCACCGATTCATATCCTGAGAACAAACATCTCTATTTCAAGGGACCCTTTTCTGTTCCTGTATTTATGCCATTGTTTTTAGTCAATGTTCAAGAATTTTATATAGTAAATAAAAGATGATCTGCAGGAATCTTGCATTGCATTGATTGTTAGCACCAGTAGTAGCTTTTTACTGCAGATTATGTCGATCAAACAAACCAGAGATCAAACAAACAGCATGAATTTAAAGGCTGGGGCTTTCTACCTTCACATGCAAACAGGAGTTCCTCATTGCGTGAGTTACACTCCTGTGAATCAAAGAAATCAAGAGATAAAACATCTCAAAGGCCTATACTCTTGCTCTGATATTTTTAAGCTATCGAGAACTTTGATCTTAGAACTCTGAAGTCCTTCCTAGGAGGAAACAGATTTTCAATTTCAAAGGCCTCATACGGCGCTCCTGCTGAACTGCTGGGTACAAAGCCTCGGGGATGAACGTCTAAATTTGATCATATGAGAATTCAAAAAGTACGAACACATTATGAAAGATAACTTTATGTTCCTTAACTTTTCAAGAGTGCCTGAAGAATATTTCTTTAAAGTGACCAGTATTGAGCTATAAACATGCTGTATGGAAATGTAAACTCTGTTGTTCACAGGTGATCTACTGATGCTATTGGATGGATATTTATTTAAAAAAAAAGTATCATTAGGAGACAGAGTTCTGATACAAAAAAGTCAATAACAGGTTCTGGTTCATCTGATTCACTTATTTTCTCCCTGTGCTCTCGGCAGGCTTCGTTCTGGTGATTGGACTTGTGACCTTCTACAGAATTGGGCCCTACACACACCTGTCTTACTCCTGCTACTTGGACATAGCTGCTTGCCTGCTAGCCACCTTGGCTGCGGCCATGCTCATCTGGAACATTTTACATCGACGAGATGACTGCCTCGCACCCCCGGTTATTATCATCAGTCGCTCGCTGGCCTCGCCTTTCCGCCCACGACTGGACAATGACTATGTGGAGTCACCATGCTGAGGCGCCTCACTTTGTAAGCAGATGAAGCGTGTTGGACACCATGTGACTCTGACTAGAAAAGGACTGACATTGACCTGCATCTGTAAAACTATATTTCTCTACATAACTTGTTCCACTGTAACAGGATATCAGTTTTGCTGCTTAGTGTACATTTTAACCTTTTTTTTTTTTTAAACAGTCCGTAAAAAACACATATAAAAAACTGAATGATGTTTCAGTTACTCATGCTTGGATGAGCTAACTGTTTGCTAAATATCAAAATGAACTCGGACTGTCCATGTAACACCCTCCGATGAAAAGATCAAGCTGGAACTTGACTTATTTTTTAAATGTGCACTTATTAAATGGCCTCCTGCAAAGTCATAATTGGAAATGATCAAATATTTAAATGTAATACCAGAATACCTCACAAGTGAAAACATGTAACTGTTATAGGTAAAGGCTTCAAGTAAGTAGATAAATGAACAAAGTGAAAGCAAATGAGACAAAGTTTTAGGACTTGGTGTTCAAGATCAGAGGTAAAATTAACAACAGCCAATAAGAGGTGATATTTTAACTGAATAAATCTGTATCAATAATCCATCCTTCTATTATCTTTACTGCTTATAAACCTTTAAGCGGCCTATAACAGCTGTGCGCAAGAGATGTGTACATCCTGAACAGATCATAGGGCTGGGGGATATGGCCTCAAATTAATATCACAATATATTGAGCAGTTCACCTTGATAACGATAAATGGACGATAACTACTCCACAAGCTGCTCACCGCCTCCCACATTATCTTTGTCTACATCAGCCGCTTCTCCAGCCGCTACAACTTTTGAACGGTCCTCCATCTCCTCACCTGTCTTTCCCTCTTTGTTACAGACTGGATGGGGTGGAGTCACGTCTCTGACGTAGGACAGGGACACAAGACCTTAGCCTACCTACACATATCCAAAACCAACATTTATTTCTTCATTTTTTTGACACTGAGTATAAATAGACATGGGCAAAATGATGTTGCTTATTGTAAATTTCGGTATCAGTATATTTTTGGTTTATCGCCCAGCCCTAACAGATCATCAGTCAATCACAAAGCTAACATATAGAGATAAATGACCATTCATGCACACACTCATGCTTAATGATAATATAGAGTGACCAATTCACCTAACAAACATATCACAATAACTGCTAAAGAATACAATAAAATGGCCTGCCAATTCATAAATATGATCAAACGTGTTTGTTCCTTTCTGTGTAATCTGAAGGTAACAAATATTTCAGCAATGTACTGCATTATGAAATTCACATTTCAATATTTACATTCACCATGATGCTTTCCATGGGAAACTCTGCTTGCTTTAGGTACCAAATGTACACTTAAATTAATATTTTTATAAAGAAATGTATTATTATTGGTAGTAATATTATTATGACCATATCAATGCTTTTTTTGGTTGTTCCACGTTGCCAAACATAGGGGCATATTGAAAAGAGAATAATGATGTAACATGAATTCAATAAATTTTTATTGAGCAAATATTCAAACGCAGTGCTTGTTGTTGCTGCTGTTTTGGTGACCAGCGTTACGACAAATTTCAATATGTCGCTTTGCAGCCAAGTGACAGCTATTTGGGTCTTCTTCTGTGGAATAAAAACTTCAAGTTTCAGCAAGCAGCAACCTCCCTTGTTGAAAATGAAGTCAAAAAGGGAGTACAAGTAAAAAAGCTGCAGTGTCCACTTAAGGCTGGCTCCAAGAGTCATGGAAACCCCATGGAGCCATTACTAAAATGCCACTTATTACAGCCTGGTTGTTGTCTATATACCTCATTTCTTCATTTATGAAGACTCTATGGGGAGAGGGGGATTTTAGTGTCCCATCTGAAATGATTATATTCTTTCTTCGCTGGTTTTATTTCTTCAAATATATTTGGGGGCTTTAAACCGCCTTCCCTAGAGAACACCGGACAGTTAACAGAGCAAGACAGGAATCAAATCTGAACCGCTCACCCAAAGCACAACTTCCAGACACAGGGCACGGACCCCTCTCTGCTGGTTTCTAGAGCAGCCAGGAGCAAGATGAGGTCAGCATTTACAACTCTGTAACATCTTTTCAGAAACCAGTGGATATGCCTCTTGGGATGTTTTTTACAGTCTGTGCTGAAGAACTAAAGAGGAACAAGAGGGGCACTCTAAACTTATACACATAGATTTGCAAACACGTGTCATTTGATGCATTAGTTTAGAAAAAAAACAAACATTAAAGAGAAGGTAAAACGTCAAAAATGTGTGTTTTCCACTAATTGTATTTTTCTTTTCTTTATGTTTTTGGAGGTCAATTGGCTATCAGAATTTATTCAAGACCAGGTATGGAGTCTAAATTAAGTCTATGTACCACAGCCAAAACTGATGACTTCAACATGATCCATCAGTCTCTCCTTTACGCTAAAACACTCCCTTGGGTGTACCTGATGGAAAAGGGGGCGTTTGTCTTTGAATTAACAAATGCAGAGGCTCGAGAAGCATTAGAAGACTTGTATTTATGAGGGCAGATAACCCAGCAGCATATAACCTAAAGTCAAGGACAGCATGAATGAGAGGAAGTAGAACAGTGTGGACTGAAGACAGACATTCCAACCTGTATCTGACAGCTTTCAGTGTCACAGGGAGTACCACAGCAAGGATATCTGCTTGAAAAAAGTTAATTCAAAACTACAGAATTTTTCCACTTGATCTACGGCATCCAGGCACATGAACACGCTTTAAACGAGGAGTCATCCCATATATCCGTTTGTACAACCTCAAATTCATGTGCTGAAGGAGTAAGTCCAGGAAAGGTACAGGTTACTGCTGCAGGAAACACATATTCCTGTGGGTGGAGATATGCGGGAATCAAACACAATACATATCTCTTTGAAAAAAGAAGCAGCAGTAAAAATAGCCATCAATGACTAACTTCGTAAAGCTGTCATCATGCCTATTAAACTCTGTGGAATATCCGGCCGGTGGGATACGCTGTTTTCCCATTTGTTTGTTTTTAGTCTATTTTCACATTAGCGTACCGTTTGTACGTGCAAAAAAGCAGCACTAGAGCAGAATTTAGACTGAGCACCCTGAATCATCACGTATTCTGCAGAAGATGATATCAGATCTTCGCTGGAATCACATGTGCATTTCCCCAAGACATACATTCAGGACCGAACACTCACATCCTTCAAGTGACCTGATTCAACGTTCGCAAGAATGGAAAAGACACTCCTCTTGGTCCAAACTGGCAGTGGGACCTTGTGTGTTTAGAAAAGTACATCCCCTCCGAACACACCCACACACTAACAGAAACAGTCACATATATACACATTGAGGAGTTCCTTTCCGGAGCAGAGACACCGAAAAAAGTCCTTAATCATGTCCTGTATGTTTGACTCTAAAAGATGTGCTCTGATTAAATTCTATCCTTTTATTTTAAGCTGTGTCTCTTATATCATTCATCTGTCACATACCCAAGCTTATTCATAATTTGTGTACGATTGGCAGAAGAAAACTATAGCTGTCTTTGTCTTTGTCCTGGATTAAAAGGATGTCATGGCCACTGACAGCTACTCCATTTACTATTGCTTCCTGTATGGAGAGGAAGGCTGGTCAGCTTTAAGGGCTTGAGTCCATTAATGCATGTTCAAATGTGTAGAAACTAAATCTTACTTTTAGGAATGAATAAAATCTGCCTTTTTTGTTTTCATTCTGTATCAACCTCTTCACAGATCGATAAAATGCTGTGGGTTTTCTTTTCTCTGACCTTTCGAGTGTAACCTTCTTGATCTTGCCTAGGGAAAAGAAAATACTTGAAAGTAACAAAATAGGCCATGTTTGTTGCCCGGCTACCTGTCAAACATATCAAAGTTGAGGTAACAAGACTATTGTGGTAGTTTTCCTTTATGTTGACCTCGACAGTCGAAGGTGCTGAATGAAACGTCGGGTGAAAAAGGAGCAACAATGCCTTTTTCTCAGCTTTAGCTAGAAGCAGCTCTCCTACTGCCACCATTGTAGAGTATTCTGAGAAGTCAAGGCTGAGGCAACAAAGCTATCCCTTTGAACCAAAGCCCCCGTGACAAACACTACTGGGAAAAAATGTAAACAGGGGGGCTGTAGGGGGGGGCAAGAACACCATCTCGCACTTCCTCCTCACTTTGCACTTTGGTTTGCACACCTTAGCCTCTTACCTTTTGATGAGCTTGATAGACTTGAAAGCTTCGTCCATGTCACCTATGGTCAAGTAGAAGCTGAAATTGAGCATGGCATCACGAGTGGCCTTCTCACAGTTTTCCAGGCCCACAAAGTCTCTAAGAGCTCGTCTGGACACCATGTTAGGGAACTGGGCAGCAGGCCCTCTTGACGGCTGAGGTTGGTGCGGAGGTGCGGCTGCTTTGGATACAACCTCTGTTAAATCTTGATCTCTCTGGCCAGGCTGAGCAGGGGAAGAACGGGTGGGACAATGTGAGAAAATGTGATTGTGTGGATCACTTAAAGTCAAGTACATAAAAAAAAAAATCAGAGGACTTTAGAAGGATAAGACGCAAAGCAAGCCACACAACAAAGCATGACTTTAACAAAGAGGACGGGACATGGACACAGAAATTTACACTTAAATATTTCAAGGGTGCTCTTGTGCTGCTGTAGCTTGAGACCAAGCAAGTGTTGTTTGCTTGAATGCAGCACAAGGCGTGCATGACCACGACTGTAGGGGGGGAGGAACGCTGAAGCTGTCTGAATGGATTACAGAGGACAGAGACTTACTTCTGGTCGAAAGTCACCCCCCCTCCGAAATAATAGCTGGGGTGTTTGAAACCAACATAAAGTCAAACAGAAAGAGGTGATAGGTACAAACAAAAAGAAGAAGAAATCAAACATTCTGTGCAAAAAAAAAAAAAAAACACTACCCCCCTACAGGCAGAACAGAGTGTTCCCAGTCCTCACCTTGCAGCTGAAATAATAATAAGGAACATCCAGAGCAAGGAGTCCCAGCAGGCCCAGAGGTTTGAGGTAGTAGTCCTGCAGGAGCAGCCCGTGCTCTTGTGTACAGAAGAGCGTCACCACTGACACATCCATCTGTGCAAAAGTGTCAAAACACAGCCAACTTGAAATCATTTTACTTTTTTAAGTGCAGGAATCAGAAGACATCAAAAAGGCCACAGAGCTGAACAAATGTGTTTTTTGGCACTAGTAGCCTTTAGTGGAAATTGGTCAGTTGGCACAAGCTGTATAAAAGTTCAGGAGTTCTCTTTACCGTGTCCATGAAACTGCTTGATGAGGACTCAGAGCTGATCGGCACCGTCTCACACACAAAAAGACGAGGCTCAGACTCATCCCAGAAGTGAGATACGGGGCAGCGGCCACTAAGCTCTGACATCTGAAACTGCTGCCTGAAATACCAAGGAGACAAGCGCTGTGTAAGACAACAAGGGAAGACAACTCTAGAGAGGCAGTGCTTTTGAAGGGGACACTAGTCACCTTTCTCTTTCTTCAGGCTGTGAGATAGAGCTGGACGGTCTGCCGATGAAGAAGTCAAAGTGTGTCACAGTGTCCATCTCGACGTCGTAAAAGTACACTTTGTGATCAGGTCGACCGTTAACCTGAGAGGAGGAGATACATCCACATTAGTCAGGGGAAATAGTCACAAGAAATGAGTGTGGAAAAATCTGTCATTATTCACCTGGGAAATGAGGATGCTAACTTGGCTGCCATTGGCATTACATTTGACTGATCTCAGGGCTCCTAAATTAGAAATCTGCTCAGCTAGGTTTTTAGCGCCGCAGTGAGCTTTAGCATCTCTATGAACACAGAAAGTGAAGATGAGTTATTGGACCCAGACAGTGACAATAAGCACACATCTTAAATGTAAAGGTAAATGTAGGTTAGCTACCATTCCTTTACTAATTAAGTTGATAAAACAAGCACTCATTTTACAATCATACCTTCGTGAGAGGTCAAACACTCGTATATGTGCAGTATCTGTGCCTACCACCAGGTAAGACTGGCACACATTTAGTATCACAGGATTGCCTTCTGTCTTGGAGAAAGTCAAAAGTTGCTTCACAGTGCCCTGAATTAAAGACAGAAAAACAAAGTCAGACAGTGAACTGGATGTACGCTTTTAAAAAGAGCTGCCTGTGTGTTTATGTCTGATCAATTCTTTTAAAAAAGCAATGACAGCTGGTTTGTCTTTGAAGGGAATATTCTCAGGTTGGGCTCTGACCTGTGGTGTGCGGATCTGGACTCTGTTAGGTTCAACAGTGTAGAGATTCTCATCGTATACAGCTACAACATGGGAGTCACAAGGAAAGGATCCTGGGGCAAGAGATGGGATAAAGAGAGTTTAGAGAGAGAGGCAAAGATTTATAAAGAGAAAAAGATTTTGAAAAGTCAAAATTATAAAGGTATGTTTTGTTCGGTAGACTTTCTGTGTTGTACCTGTATTGCGAAGAACTGTCCCTGAGAGCTCGTACACTGTGACCTGTTTGCCGCTCCAGACTGTCACTGAATCCTGTTGTTATTACAGCAAATAGTTACTTTGACCTAATTTTTGTTTTCCACAAGCAAAAACTTTGTTGGGGTTTGGAGTAACTTCATCACTTCTAGTTCCACACTTACCTTGGAAACACACACTCCCTTAATGTGTCTGTCAGACTGCAGTGCCAAGTGCACCCCTGCAGGGAACTGGGTGATGCTAAGCTGGGTTGGGGTGAGCTGCACTGCTGCCACCTGCTGACTGAAGTGGGCTGACATCACATGCTCACACAGAATCAGCACTGTGTTGGAATTGTTGGCTGCCAGCAGATTCAAGCTGGAGCCCCACTGAAAGAGAAGAATCTCTCTATGTTTGTATGTCATCACTTCATTCACCCCATTGTACTGTTTAAATACATAAAGTCCAGATGATACCTGTAGTTGTGTGACGTTTCCCTCTACTTCTGTGGGTGTCTGTAGCTTCCACTGAGCCTTGGCATCACCTCTGCTGTTGTCTGGCTGCACCACCATCCTCCATATTGCTATGCGACCATGGGTGGTACCAGCAGCCAGGATTTCTGTCAATAGAAAAACAATAATAATTAGTTCTCGATTGTGAGCGCATTGAGCACAACTTGACAAACATTTGTGGCTACCTTTTCCTGCACAATATGAAACACAGTTGATCATTTCTCCTTTCTCGAAGCCCAGGGTCTCATCAAGAGGCAAAACATAGTTGTCATCCCGCTCTAGGTCCCACAGCCTAAAAGATGATGACACCAACGTTTAAAATAGAGATGTGCAAAGTGTGTGAACAAGGTGTGTGTTAACTGACCTGATAACAAGCTCCCCTGAAGCTGTAATGAGAAGGCCGTTCTCTGTCCAGACAATGTCTATATTTTGCTCAGTCCTACTGCTGCTCAACTTAACCTGTCATACAAAAAAAAAAAAATCAAAACACAAACCAAAATCTTCAGTTGTTAAACACCTGAGGAAGTAACTGCAGTCATCCATAGAATGAGCCACCTCTTACATTGGGACTATTACAGTTATTACAGACAAATTACAACAAATTAAAATCCTTGATCACTTCAGTTTACCTTCATGAATTCCTGTGCTCCCCCCTCAGGTCCAAGAGTGTACTGTGACAACATCATGGTCTCTGTGATTACAGCAAGCACCTCTCTTTTCTCAAGGTAGAACAGCTTCTTGATTGAGCCCTCCACACTTAGAAGTGTGCTTGTCTTACAGTATTCATCCACACAGTGGACCTTACCTGCAGTACAGGAAAGAAACAAGGTGTAAATAAAGATATTTTCTTGACCGCTTTCTTGTTGTTTACCAGACTGTTAAATATTTGAGTCTGATTCCAAACTCTATAAAAACAACCCGATCACACATGTCAATCAATCTGCTAAAAGGAGTTCCAGGGAGACAAAGCCACAGGTGTCAGGGTCCTGCTTAACCTGTCAGAAACCCAGTTCACATACCTCCTGCTTACATCTGATTAGACCACAGTGAACTCATTTTGCAGAGACTTGGGTTATATTCATTTTGTACAAACACTGAGTTTTGATTTCAATGAACAGAAACCCGCTAAGGTGGGCTTGATGATTTTGCCCACTGAATACTTGTGGTCTCAGACAAAAATGTACCTGAAATAGAGAAGAATGTAAACTCCTACCATCTGCAGTGCTAACATAGAAGGCCAGTCCCTCCTGTGGGCCCATCTTTAGAGGCGCTCCCTTCCAGCTGAACATGTCCAATGCACTTTCATCTCCACTCACTGATGCCCGTGCTAGCTTTGCTACATCACTGTAACGTAAGTTAAATCAGATTATCAACAACACACTATTTAGATCATGAAGGATTAATGATATCCAGTGTTTTCAGGCAGAAGTATTACATCTTGCATACTTACTCCCCTGGTGAAGAAGGTCTGAATATGCAACAGGTCAAAGGTTTGTGATATTCATGCTTCACAAGATGGTTTCCCTGAAGTCTGCCTCTTGCATCTATCTTCCATACTGCCAGGGCACCAGTCTGTCATAAAAAAAAAATAAAAAAACGTGAATAAATGCACTCTGTAAATTGCTCCAGGATGTAAGCGCACAAACATTTATTTGATACCCTGTTATGACACGCCAAATATGCCATGTTGATAACACACCTGGATATAAGCATTCCCAGAAAACAATGTAAATGTACATTTATTCCTGTGCAATGCTATGCATCAGTGCATTGATATGAACGTACTCACCTGATCACCAGTCACTAAGCGGCTGCCAGAGCTACTCCACTCCAGCAGAGTGATCCAGGTTGTGTGTGTGCTTGGAAGAACTGTTTGATCCCCAGATGGGTGTGTCAGCAGCATCACTTCACCACTCTCCCAGCCTAGTGCCAACACTGGTTTTGTGGGATGCCAGCGCAGCGCTGTGGGCTGATGAGGACGCTCCAAATGACAGCTTTCTACATGCTCCCCCTGCAGATAAACAGCGATGTATGGGTATAAAAAATTTGTAATGTCGGCTGTGATGGTGTGAATATCACTGGGTGTGTTTTTTTAATGAGTGAGGGTTTACCTGCTGCAGGTAGATGTCTACATGGCCTCCAGTGCTTGGGCTGTTTGACGCTACAGCCAGCACTGGGAGAGCAGGGTGCCAGGTCAACTGAGAGGGCACTCCACTGCTTTCAGGGGACTCGATACGGTGGTCAAAATACACCGCCATGTCCCCACAACTCCTCTCTGCATTGGAGAAATGACAGGGAGTGAAAACTGGCGTTAAATTGATACTAATGTGTCATGCATGGTTGTTCATGGTGCAGTCTTTGAATTGCCTATTAAATTGTGGAACCTTGTTTGCATAAAGTTAGCTGTTTTTATGAGTAGTAAAAACAGCGAAATCTCGTGTTAATTCGTGAACGTGTCCTTAAATAGCATCCTGTGATTTCGTATAATGTGAATTTGTATAAAACGTTAGTTCTCTACCGACCGCAGAAACACATGGTAGATCAAAATGAGTGAGTGATAAATAAAATTTACTCAGGACTAATAGCTACAATGAAAGTAAGTACCATTATGTGACCAATTATCAAGTTAGTTTGAGTAGCTAACATTAGCTAAGCTCTAAGCTAACCAAAGTTAGCATTCATTGCTGGCTTGCACTTCAGTTAAATGACGTTAACCGTTAAAATCGGAAGACAAACCTCACTCTAGTTTCCTTTGGGATAATGATGATCTAGATGTTTGACCCCGACAACGACAAAATATCGACCGTAACTTCCAGTGTTGTTGAGTAGCCTCCACCGTGAGCAAAAAGCGTCTCTCCCAGTTGCCCCTGACAACCTCGAGACTGGACAGGGGGAGGAGTTACGAAAAATACCGAACTTTAAACGAAGTGTCTGCGAATGTACCGTTACACAGCCGTGTCTATGGAGCAGACGAGCAGGCAGCACTCCAATTTACTGCTGTCTCTTTCCCAGTTAAAGCACTTTTCATAGGTATGCGATTTACAGTTAAGTGGTGTACTTGTAGGGATATCGTAACAGAAACAAAACGGCCCAGAACACATTATATTACAACAAACCACTTCAGTTAAAAACGGCAAATAGGGGAGAGTGGGGTAAGTTGAGCCAAAGGATAAGTTGAGCCACCCACCATTGCTTGGAAATGGTCAAAGAAATTGATCATGTGACCAAATACTTTGGAGATGGGCATCAATTCATGGAGTCTGTGAAGGTTTAATGGGTGAAGGGGTTAGACATTTATTTCCAAAAAAACATTTTGTCAATCTTGAAAGTGGATTTAGTCTGTCATAGGTTTTATTAGAATTGTGTTCAGACCAAAAAAGATCATTTTAAATTTGTTTTATACATCAATTGTGGTATCTAGGAGCTACAATATGAGGTCAAAAAGTATATAACAGCATAAAAGTCCACCATTTTAGCTTAGCGGACTAATAAAGTCATCATAGTAGTTCTGGGGTAAGTTGAGCCCATAGACTGTATATAGAATAGACAGCGAATGACTATAGAATGACTGGCTGCAGTATAGGTCATAAATCTCGCCTCCACCAGCAAAGCTTATGGGGCTGTGGACAAACTTTAGAAATTTATTACACAGAACATAGATTTTTCTCCCCCCTGCTTGGGATGTTGACATGTAGTTACTATCAGACTGGTTTGTGCTCTTTTTTCTGTGAAGCTCAGTTTTTAAAAGTTATTAGGGGGTTCATGTTTTCTATGATTGACACCTAATACAGTCAATCGGCGTTCGGGGATTGCGTAGCTTTCCCGGGGGATACGCTGTTTGAGTCACCACAGCAACTCTCAGCGACCGTGCGCCAGAATGCGCGCATTGCTACTGCGCAGTGCTGGTTTCAGGAAATGAAGAAAAATCCCAGAAATACCAAGAACTATGTGGCTTCAAATCCGTATACAGGCGGTAGGCGAGGGGTAAGTTGGCCAAATGGTTAGTGGGGATACAGCTCAACTTACCCTGTGTATGGGGTAAGTTGATCATAGGAGACCACTTTTTTTGGCATGCTATATTATCAAGACAGTTCTGTTTACACTCATGTTGGTTTGTAGGGATGCACAACATCTTGAAATATATGCAGATACACTAGTTAGACACAAAACTATGATTGCCTTGATGTAGTGATCCGAAATATGAAAAATGGCTCATCAGAACCCACTCTCCCCTACAACCGAGTTGATCTTTGCAGAGAAGCTGTAAATGTTTCAGTACAGACAGTACACTTACAAAACTAAGTATAAAAACAGATTTGACTTTACAATATTATGGAATACGTTTCAACACAATATTATATTATAGTGTATTTTGGGGGATGTGTGCATGTTTTAACAGGAGAAATTGGTGCTTGAAAATAAACAGATAAATGAACTGATGGTTTTTGACAATAACTAATAAATTCTTCCTGAATAATTTGATTGCTGATCCGTTCTGGGTAAATTTAAGTCCACTGATCTACTTGGACAGGATCCCATTTTCAAATAACTTAAAAAAACAATTCAGATGGATATGAGCTAAAATAAACGTATTGACTCCTGAGTCAGTATTTGGGAAAACCACATTCATGGATTGTTCAATCTTGTCAAATCAACTTTGGAGATACGGTTGCAATCAATTTTTTACGTAGTTGGATCCTGCTAAATGAAATTGATCATCATTTTCTTAATTGGTTTTATCCCTGCTTAATAACAGCCCTACTCACTGTGAAAACACTCAATATGAAAATCAAGGTTAGGGGCCCACAGCACAAAATAAATTGTGTTTATGCAAGCCTCCTTTCACACTTACAAATCCAAGGTGATCATGTAAATTCCACTGAGTATAAAAACTATAAACTATACAGCACAATCCAAAATCTGTCGTCATTTGGGAACAAACAGATGAAAAGAAATGTCAGAACAGGAAGTACTTGTAGTACTTCTATTATTTCTGAATGGACACACGCATGTGGGTATTCACAGGATGTCCTTAACAAACAAAAACAGCAGAGTGAGATGTGCCCATACAGGAACAGGATATCCTCATAAAATAAGGTTTATTGGTAGACCAAAATGGCAACATATCCTCCATTTAACCAGCATTTCTTATTCTGCATAAATTAAACACCATCTTAATAACACGCTGTATGGGGATGCATAGTGCAGAAGGGCCTTCACAAACATGTCAATATTTGATTGTATGTTTGATGTTCACAATTTCATTTCAGTCCACCTCAATACTCTGGTCTCCAGGATCTTTGAGGATCTGGCGTAGAACAGTTTCAATATATCAGGATTCTAGACTCAGTGCTTGAGGATCTTGTAACTGTTTTTTCAGGCTCTGGTCCATCAGAACCAGACTCTGTACAGCTAAACTCCGACAATCTGCATCAGGGTCTCCTTCAGCCACATCTGTAGATATTAGAAACAACAACAAAAAATTGTGGTCATAAAATTTGTCTACAAAAATACATCTCTTAGTGCAATTTCAAATGCAGAGTGAAGTATTTTGATCTCTATGCTTGTTCATGATCCTGGCTTCTTCTGTGAAAGTAACATTCCCATTTAAGAGGGAAATAATGTGCTCTTTACTCTGTGTCATTCACCTCCACGTCGCTCTGTTCCATATGCAGCTAATTTTATTCTCTGTGGAATGGAGGAACATCAAACTGTGGAGGATTCAGTCACGTCATGGACAGTCTGTGTAGCACAGGACATCCTGGTTCCTCATCTAATTCCCAGAAATGCTCAGTCCAGCTGTGTGTGTGTGAGTGTGTGTGTGTTTGTGTGTGTGTGAGTGCTCTTCATGTCTGTGTGTCACAGAGTGGACATCCCCGACAGAAATACATCGTACAGGTGCAGCCTCAGAGTATTTACAGGAATCAAACAGTTTACAGTGAATACTACACTGAAAGACGGACATGTGAACAATTTGCTGATTTTCTAAAATTTTGGTGTGAAAAATTGTAGTACTGTTACCATATATATTGAAAACAAATGCAGTTTTTTCTCTTTAACCTTATAAAAATATCATTAAGATATACTACTATGTTATGTTAAATCTAACTGGTCAAAACCTCCTGACATTCATTAATTCTCAGCAGCAATGGAGCAGTAGAGACAACCTGCCTGCACAGACCAGTCCAATCAAATCTGCAGACTGATTTGACTGATCATGGCAAAACCATTAGTTTTTGTCTCAGTCTGTTCTGAAGAGTAGGAAAATATGTAAGGGATTACGAATAGTGACTGGGTGGTCCCTCCACCTGTCAGGGTTCAAATTTGAATTCTAATAATGTATTTAAACTTCTTACACATTGATTTCTCTATACATTTAAACATTCATTCGTGCGAATCCCTACAGATACTCTTTGTATTCATATATGAATTAATTAATATTATAAAATTGTCTTTGCAATTTTTTTTTTCACATAAACTGTCAACACTGTGCAATTTTCTCATGATCAGACAACCTATCCCTATGAGGAAAGATGTACACCAATCAGCCATAACACTGACTACCTGCCTTATATTGTGCAGACCTCCCTCTTATCAGCTTAGGACCAAAGAAGCCCTGACCTGAGCCATGCCCAGCTCGCTTCCCACACCTACCAGTGAGCCTTGAATGCCCATGACCCTGTCACTGCTTCTCCCATTTCCTTTCCTTGGCCCACTCTCTGTAGGTACTTTTTCTAGGTGAGCAGGTGCAACAGCTGCAGTTTTGGGATGCCCTGAACTAGCTGTCCAGACAGTTTTTCAAATTGGTCCTTGACAAAGTTGCAAACAAAAGTTGCAACACATCAACTTTGAGGACTAAAATATTCACATGCTGCTGTTATTTCCATTGACAGGTGCCTTTATAAAGAGGTTGTAAGGAGAATTTTCTTTAGCCAGTCCCATCAGCCTTTAGGGTGGTGGAGCTATGTAACTCAGATACCGTGGATATGTTGATGTGAGATTCCTGGGGCCACGGACCTCCGACAACCATCTTCAACAAGGACCTTGTACACATTTTGACATCACTCAGATTCCCAAAATATGTTATGCTATGGTATTCCCCTATATGGGCTCTCCATATGTTCAACTATGGCTCCTTAAAACATGTTGTCCTTTGTTCTTACCCTCCATGGACTCGTCTTCAGGTCAACCAAATGCCAGTAGAATGCTTGGAAACATGGGCGGCTTTATATACCTGAACAGTCTCAAGCTTTTCAAACTGACCATTCGTGTGGACCTTCCATTCTTTCAAGTGTAAACCTGGGCTAGGCATCTTTACAGAGGTAATAAATGTTAATCACTTAGCCTATCAGTTGTCATAATATCATGGCTGATAGTGTCGAAAGTGCATTTTTTAACTTTCATTTTCATGATTATGTTCATTACCACATTTTCTTACCTGCTAACCAGGTTCTGGTCTCAAACAGCTGATCACTGAGGTCCACCAGCAGGTTCTGACTGTTCACGCTCAGAAACACAGAGCAGACAGCGAAGAGGACGCCTCGTCTCACCGTTCTTTAACAGACAGATAGCAGGTTAAAACTGGCCCTAGGATGACAAATCAAACATCCTATCCAAACCTTACAGACTCTTCGAATCTATATCTTATGTTGACTTTTCCCATTCTAAAGTCACCACACTGATTAAATATATTGCTTTATTCAATTTTTGTCATAAACAGCCTCATAATAAGCAGGTAACCATGTTATCATGCTGTTAGCAACCCCAAAGAGATCTCCCAGACTCCACAGTTTTTAGCACTGATACTATTCATACTCACTGGTCAACATGATAGCGTACCGCCCACACAAAGTCCAGTAATGCACGACCCATCTGTGCAGCTATCTGCATGAAAAACAATAAGCAAACTCTTAGAAGCCCATAGAGATAAAACTTGAGAATATGCTGTAATACTCTCATAGTGTGTAAAGGTCACCGGAGTCGTTCTGATTAGCTCGTAGTAATACTGTGATACAGTTTAAATGTCTTCATGGGCTTTAAAGGCATCATTATCTGCTATCACACATTTATCACACAAAGGCAGATTTGAGCAAAGTACCGGTGCATTCACTGCCAGGTGCATGAGGAGGCCCAAAGTTTGGATTAACCTTCCCAGCACAAGGTGGTCAGTGCCCAGCAGGTCAAAGGTCACTTGAGGCCTGGCAAAAAAAAGGTATTCCATTTAAGATTTAAAGTGTCCTTTTAAACAAGCAAAAAAAAAAAATTCAATCAGTTTATAAGGGATTATACTTGTCAAAGTTCCTGAGCAGAGGGAAAAAGAAGTGTCCGGCTACAGGGGCATAATGGTTTGGGGTGGCTTTAGCTGGAGGCTTTGTGGCACCCTACGCAACAAAAAAATGACTTCAAAGCTTTGTTCTCACATTAAAAGGGCAGATACAAAAAGTTATTCTACATAACCCACCTTTGTGAGACGTCTGGTCTTGCTCTGAATTCGTCTCTCCACTTCTTGTCTCCAGTGAACTGGGTTGTCACCGGGGTATGGGTTTAAATCAGCGCTGGAGGAATTACTTACTGATATGAGTTGGTCTTTTGTCTCTGTGATCGGCTTGGAGAGCTCCTGTGCTGCGAGAGAGAGAACCTGATACAAGAAAGCAACATTAGCTTCATTTACTACTTGTAGCATCAATTCATAATGACTGTGAAAGCTTCTATTTCCCAACCTCCAAGATATCCAGTCGCTGTCGGAGACTGTAGTTCAAGGAGTAAAACTCTGTGGTCAGATATTGAGTCACCTGTTGAGAAAAGCAAACACAGATACATTTCTGTTGTGATTTTGTCATTTTTGATGTAAAAGGGTAAAAAAAAAAAGATAGGTTGAAAAATCATACAGGGATAGTGTCGATGACAGTGAGCGCCACCATGGTTGACTGCCTGAGACTCAAGAAACCACTTAGGTTGTATTTATCCTCCAGGTGAAGAAACACTTTGGTCAGCTGGACACTGATCTGAAAAAAATCCAAAAAATACAGATAATGTGCAAAGAAACTATCTAAAAGAGGGAGTGCTTGGATTTTAGACATTCAGTAACAGAGCTAAAACTGTTCATTGTTTTTTAATCCAAAATATTTTCCAATTATTTCTAAAACTGCTTCAAGTGTAAACCAAGCATGTCACATCCAAAACATCCCTCATTTATATCTGACAGAAAGTATCTGATACTCATACCTAAGCAGCCACACCCCGCAATTGTCAAACATTTTTATTTAAAAAAAATCAAATTTTCAGTAAAAAGTGATCTGAAGTATTTCTGCTTGTTGTTACCTCTTTGGCTGCGAAAGCATTCTTCCTCACCAAACCCTCAGCAGCTCTCAAACTGAGCTCCACACGCACTGGATCGTCAGAGGAAGTTAAAGCTGGAGAGGTCGACAGATTAAAAACATGTCAGAGTCAAGGGAGGAAGAAAACAACAGCGTTTCTCAGAAGGTCAGGTTAGATAAATGCTACTTGTGGAGCCGTACTTTCCAGGCAGTCTCGAAGGTAGCGAGGTGGGGATGCCTTGCTTAATTCCTGATCGGCGGACATATCGTACGGAGTCAGCTCATCATCGCTGCACCGTGGCAAAAAAATAAAAAACAACCACTACTCTTGAACTGATTTTACCAAACATAGTTACACAGAAAGATTCTATGTCCCAGCATAAAAGACTTAGGAACTTTATTTTTACTTACCTGTCCAGGTCAGAGTCTGGGTCCACTTTTGAAGCCTCACTATCAGCATGGGGGGTGGTTTCTGTTGTCTCTTGAGGAGAATCAACTCTGAAGAGAAAAACAGGACAACAAATGCAGAATTTATTCAATTAATAGGTTTTAATCCATTGTATAGTATTAGTCATTAGCAGTAGTGCCCTAAATTTTTAAGATTATGCAGATCAACAATGAAATATCACATTTTCTTTTTTAAGAAACAAGTTAGTCTTTTTATGTTCTTTGACCTGTGTTAGTGTCTAAACATTTACAGGAGTGTTACTCACACATTTACAGGCTCATCTTCTGGTTCATCACCAGTACCAGGAGTCATCAGAGAGAGCAACTCTCGTGTTTCCTCGTCTTGGTCATACTGCAACAACATAATACAACTTCAGACACTGAAGTTAATCAAATATATCAAAGCCTGCATTGCTGTCACAGCAGATGGTTGATGTAAAGGTTTGACTTCACCTCAAATTTGAGGGCAGCTCCACCGATATCCAAGCGAGAGCTCAGGCACTCTCCCACCACCATGCCCATGTGTCTTATCCGTACCACGCTGCTGTCTAGGTGGCTCTGCATGCCATCCAGCATACAGTGAATCAAGTCTGAGAGGAGAGAGGGACTTTAAATGTGCAGTTTTAACGTCCGTTAAGCTTAAAAGAAATTCACACTGTAGGTCAGAGAGCGGGAATGAAAGCTTCAGTAAAGGATGTTGAGATTCAAGGATTTCTACTTTGAATTTTGAGACATCAAACACTGTTCTGTGTACCTGATCGAAGCTCCTGTAGCTCAGAGTCATTTAGCAGACTCACACTCAGCAGTAAGGCCTTACTCACATACAGTTGCTGCTCTAAAGGTGTGTGTTTCACCGCGCTGGGGTTAGCCCAGGCCTGAGACACAGACCGCAACACCTGAGAGCACACATCCAAATGAGTTCAGATCAGAATGATTAATAAATACACGATACACAATACTCTCTGGCCTGCTTAAGGTTTTGAAGCTCTTACTTGGATGAGGAGAGGACGTCTGTCCTTGTCAGCTGCAAGGTAACCCAGGATGATCCTCAAGACTCGAGTCTGGGAATAAAAAAATACTCAATGTGATATTTATAAGACATAAACAGTTTACTGTAGGTCTGCAAAATAACTCCGCACCTCATACTTGTACTGCAGTAACAGCATCTTGTGAGTGATGACAAACTGAGCCTTTTTGTTGGTCAACACCAGATTCCCAATGATCCTGCCCAGAGCTTCAGGACTGGAAAAACAAAACTCTGATGAAAACTGATTTTGAAGTGTGTTAGCTGTTTAAGGAATCCCATTTTGATGGTTAATTACCCATTGACAGCCTGCACCAGACCGGTGAGGACACTCTCCACCCATCGCTGTGGGACATTCTCGAACAGCTTCCAGCTAACTCTTTGCCACACCATGTCTGAGCGGGAGCAGGCCGAGAGCCGAGGAGCCATCACTGCCAGAACCAAACCTGAAGAGGGGCGTATTAGAGAGATCCTGTAACCACACATTTTATAACTGCAACCTAGACAAATAAAATGTCGTACTTTATGAACCAAGAATTGAATTTAGGTGAAATAGAGATGTGCCTATCATATGTAACTAGTCTGTTGATAGCAATTTCAAGCTTCACATGCCCTGAGATGTATTTGATGAGACTATATGACACAGTTTTTGTTTATCTAATAATAATAATGATAATAATAATAACTTTATTTTTGTAGCACCTTAAAAACAGAGGTTTACAAAGTGCTTTGACATGTAGTCATAAAGCACATGGAAAAAGACAGATAAAAACAAAAGCTCAATTAAAAAGGATCTGAAGGCCTTTTTCATAAGTCATAAGGAACCCAGACCATACAAGAGCCCTGCAACATAAAATGAGACCATGACGACCAAAATAAAGACATAAAACAGTTAAGAAAAAGAAAATGCAATTAAAAGGGGGTTGAAAGCAGGAAACAGGATAGTAAAAATAAAAGACAATATCAATAATGATAATAAAATAATAACAAATAATACTGATAATAATAGTGATGATAAAATAGAGCAACAGAAATGAGCAAGAGAAAACAAACAACAAAAAAAGCAACAACAACAAAAAAAAAAACAATAAAATGCCTTAAAGGTTAATTAAGAAAAGAGTATAACAAAAGCTAAAAAGACAGTAAAACCAAAATAAGATAGAGGTAAAAGAGATAAGAGATAAAAGATGCTTAAGGGGTAAATGTTACAAAAATGTTGCCAAAAAAATATTCTTTTTTAATTTAAATGTGTCTTAACTTACCACTGTGGCCCTGGACACAAACTTTCCCAAGCGTCTGAGCCACAAATGTTAAGGAGCAGTCAGTGCCGTCTGTTGAAGATACATGTTAGGTAAATGGTCCGTATAAAGGAAGATTACTTAAATATCATTACAACATAGGTTTGACTTTAGCTGCCTGGTGTCTTCTCACCTTTAAGTGCTTGGCAGGTCTTTTCCAGAGCAGTGAACATCTCTGCGGCCAGTAGAGGGTAGTACTGCTGAGGCAGAAAAAGGGGCTTGTTGTTAAGATGTAACTTATTGGCAGTGAGATCCGGCAGACAAACAATACGTCCAAGCAGAGTCTCTCTGAGCTGGGGGGAGTCAGAGGGACTAGTTTGCTGACAGTAGTACCACAGGAGGTCAGCAAGGCGACATCTCTGGAGAAACTTCTCTGTGATGCTGACCAAGTGGTCCAGACCTGCACTGGCACTGCAGTAGAAAGAAAATAACAGAATAAGATGAGTTAAGATGAAATAAATAACCCCCCTCCCATCCTGTATACAACAGGACAGACCTCTGCTCTCCTATTCCATCCATCAGCACCAGCAGAGCCTGCTCAGGAGGACCTTTAAGGAACAGTCCATCCCATAATTCTGATCTCTGAGTCGCTGTGAGGCTGTGAACCCAGTCCGCCTGGATGTTGCTGACCAAGAACTGCAGGCTGCGAGTGAAGTGAGCCCTCCTGAACTCTGCACGCTGTGATGAAGTGGTTTTATTGCCTGGTCCTTCATCCAGGTAAGAGTTGAGAGTCTGAAGAGCAGGAACGAGGTCTTTGGGATCAGTGGATGTGGTAAGAGTCCGGAAACACTGGGCTACTGTCAGGCGGACCTCAGGACTTGGGGTTAGGATCTCCATGTTATAAATGAAATCCAGCTTAAGTTAAAAATGAAACTTAAAGGGGCATTTCACCCAACCAGAGACACCCAAACTGCCTAAATACACAGTGATCAGCTATTCCGACAAATAATTTGACTGTTCTAAAATTGACTTTCCCTTTAAAAAGCGGGTAAAAGCCATATAGAGGAGGCTTACGGCTATCCTGTTAACTAAATAATTTCAATCATAGCACCTGCAAATGAAAACATCTCTGCAGGAACACCACGAGTGAATAAGAGCCGACTGTTAGCATCTCTACATGCAATAGCAATTACGCATTTTCAAATAAAATACAATGATATGAATGTATCTAATGACTGAAGACAAAAACAGTCAACGATATTGCAAAATCTTTCGTAAAGTTGTATTTTTTTATCTGTTTCTAGTGGCACAGTGTGCATTCACAGGTTCAGCCCACCGTGTTGCCTCCGTGTGCTCTGTCAAAATACATCCGTAGTGAGCATGACAGAGAGGTAAGGTTCCGGCGATAGTTTTGACAGTGTAGCATTCAAGAACCCAGCGATCTTTGTTAACACTATTTCTTCGCTCTAATTGTCCTAGAGTTGAGCGTTTTCGGTGTATATAAAAATGTATACTCCATCGAGTTGATGTTTTTGCTAAATGTGCTTTATTGAAAATTAATTTAAATATTCTTATAAATTGAGAAGGAATGAACGAAAAATGTGATGCAAGGGATGCAAATTTGTTGGGAAGAAACTTTTTTTTTGGCTTCTTTTTTAAAATGTATTTATTTATTTGTTTTTTATCAACATATTCAACAATTTACAAAACTCTCAATGGGAGACAAGTGCAATTCAGATGTACATCTTACTTTTACAGAACAACAGTGATAATATACATGAGAACAACATAATGTAGAAAAGAAAAAAAAAAACTTACAGCAAGGCCTGCCTTTGGAATTCATACAAACAGCAAATGTAAATATTAGACAACTAATGATTCACTGAGTTACAACAGTACATACTTAGAGACATCATCACATAGGTTTTCTAGTGCTAAACTAGAGTCTTTAATCAGTGACAGGGAAGCAAAATAAGATATAAGTTCTGTTTTAAACAATACAAGGGGCAGATTTTTATTTTACCATTTACTTTTATGGAGGGAAGGAACTTCTAGTAGTTATAGCATAGGAATGCAAAAATATTGCAGCGAAAAGTAAAATTACTACGAGAGACATCAGTTACATCACCTTTCCTTTTAACAACACTCAATAAACATTTGGGAACTGAGGAGACTAATTGTTGAAGCTTTAAAAGTGGACTTCTTTCCCATTCTTGCTTGATGTACAGCTTCAGTTGTTCAACAGTCCGGGGTCTCCGTTGTCGTATTTTATGCTTCATAATGCACACATCCACACATTTTCAATGGGAGACAGGTCTGGACCGCAGGCAAGCCAGTCGAGTACCCACACTCTTTTACTATGAAGCCACGCTGTTGTAACACGTGCAGAATGTGGCTTGGCATTGTCTTGCTGAAATAAGCAGGGGCGTCCATGAAAAAGACGTTGCTTGGATGGCAGCATATAATGCTCCAAAACCTGTATGTACCTTTCAGCATTAATGTTGCCTTCACAGATGAGTAAGTTACCCATGCCTTGGGCCCTGATGCACCTCCTTACCATCACAGATGCTGACTTTTGTACTTTGCGTCGATAACAGTCTGGATGGTTCTTTTCCTCTTTGGCCCGGAGGACACGACGTCCACTATTTCCAAAAACAATTTGAAATGTGGACTCGTCAGACCACAGAACACTTTTCCACTTTGCATCAGTCCATCTTAGATGAGCTTGGGCCCAGAGAAGCTGGCGGCGTATATGGATGTTGTTGATAAATGGCTTTTGCTTTGTATAGTAGAGTTTTAACTTGCACTTACAGATGTTGCGACAAACTGTATTTACTGACAGTGGTTTTCTGGAGTGTTCCTGAGCCAGGGTTGCCAACTCCCTAAAAAAGAAATAAGGGACACCTCACTGGCAGGGCCTGATTGCCTTCACCCTTCCCAGTATAGTGAATTTTTCAAGCCCTTTTCTGTGTGTGAAACAATTTAAGTAGATGCATCCCTTTTCAGCTCAATACAGAACGCATACTTTTGTTTCTAAATACGGGATGATTCCATTTTGTTCCATTTTTCACGGGACAGTTGGCAACCCTATCCTGAGCCCATGTGGTGATACCCCTCACACACCTTTCCCAACTTCTTTGTCACGTGTTGCTGCCATCAAATTCTAAATTTAATAATTATTTACAAAAAACCTAAAGTTTATGAGTTTGAACATTAAATATCTTGTCTTTGTAGTGTATTCACTTGAACATGGTTAAAAAGGATTTGCAAATCATTGTAGTCTGTTTTTATGCACGTTTATCGCAATTTCCCATCTTCAATGGAATTGGGTTTTGTATTATGGGCTCTTCATTTATCATCACTCAACCCACTGATTTTACTCAGGTCAGTAAAATGTAAGTTCTCTATTTCGCTTTTTAAGACAGTGAAGATTTATTTGTACAGTAATAGATGTGCAATATATTTGCAGATATTTGATAATGATGCATTTGCTGAGTAGCTACTTGTCACAGATTAATCTTTGTTGATGCTTTGTCAGTGTCTATTGTCACAATCAGCTGTCATGGTTATGTAATTAGACTGGTATCCTTTCAGCCTCTTCACATGCATTTATGAGGGAGGGTTAATAAAGACGTGGTAGGCCTAAGTATATCTCATGTGTCAGATAAATGTGACACCACAGAGGGACGTTGCAATATGTACAAACAACCTGCAGATGGAGCTGTTTGGGGGAAGAAAGCTGTACAGTCTTGCAATATTGACAGCAGTGTGTGGTAAGCATAGACTGTATGTAGATTATATTATTATATAGATTATTATAGTATATACAGTCTATGGAGGTAAGATTATAAATATCAGACTAAGCATATGGATCAAAAATAGTGGGACTGAACGGAGCGAATTTTTTTTAAAGACAGTTAATACAAAAGCTAATACACTGAACTGGCACCTTATGAAAACCTTTGGTATGTCAGATGTAAGGTAAAAAGCATGTGTTCAAATCAAGCCTGTAGGTATATTCAAACACAAAGTACAATATGAAAATTAAAAAAAAAAAAAACACACAACCACGGAGTTAGTTTATTCCATTTATTTTTCTATTCTTACTTTCACTGCTTACCTTTAAATTTTCTCTTTTTACAATGACTGAAATCATATCTCCCCCAGTAACAATTAGGATTAGATCATTTGGGGATCTTCAAAAATAATATACAGCTGTAACCAATACTGTTATAATTTATACATTTATCTTCGAAAATAGGAATAAATTTAAGATTCTCTTTTCTACAATATTCTCTTTTTATCTTCCCATGTCGCATGACGGCAAGCCATGCACTACTACAGTAGTGATGTTTGTGCCTTGAGCAGACTTTCTTTGGACACTGGAAGTGAGAGTGAGAGAGGAAAAAAAATCACAAAAATGACAATTCATATTTACAGTTTAGGTTTCATCATAATAATTTAACAAACTGACAGTCACGTGGTCAGTGCTTTTCCCAGGGCTCATCATCAGGTCAGTTTAGAGGCAAAGTTTGAGACACAGAGGCACAGTGTTTAGACTAGCAGGCCTGGTTTCATTTGCTTTAAGGACGAGAGTCTGTTAATGATTCATTAGAGGAGGAAAAACGTTCCCAGGAGCATGATAACGGACCCTGATAGATAAAATGATCAGTTTTTAGTTGAAGTCTCTCTCTTTGGTCATTTTGAAAGCAGGTGAAATTTGGTTAAAGTGCAATTGTGGGAATGTTTAGTCATCTCTGTGGTCTCATTGTCCAGTTATTGTGTTGCCTGTCCCTGAACCGCCTGTCAAAACCACACACTCAAATACAAAGCAGGGAGAGTTAAGTGTAGTACAGCCTGCAGGGTTCAAGTGTAATCCCATTTCCTCTCTGTAATGCAAAAACTGATTAATCTCTACAAAGTGTTAAATATTAAATCTGTTGGGGCAAACTTCCAGTCGCAGTTAAAGGCAGTACCTTTAAAAACCTACAACTCCACTAATGGAAATTATAGCAAATGGTTTGTCAGTCAAAACATTAAGTCTGAATAAAAGATATACAATAAGAATTTGTTTTCCATGCAGTACCTGACTCCATCTGGGAAGACAACAGTAGAATCTGCAGACTCTGCCGTGTATTTGAAGACAGCGACCTCTAAGAGGTCACAGCAACGTCAGCATCACGGAAGAGTGCAACAACCTCAACAAACGACCGATGAGACTGAGCAGGTCACATTTAAGCTTGTGCGCACGACGGTGACTCCCTCCAAACACAATATAACATTTCCCAGTTCAAAAGTCCTCCCACAGATCCATTCTCCGTGAACTATGAATCCTAAAATGTACATTTGAAGCAGAATAGATCACAGAGTTTGAGTTGTCATTTGTGTCAAATGATGAATAAATAGATCTGCATGTTATTTCAAACAAAAATAAAGAAACCCCACAGATACTGTACACGCTACATGCTAGAGAAGGATACAGGCAGCTGTCTCTCAGCATAGGACAAGAAGAAATGTTCGTTTTCTCCCGACTATAAAAATACCTAGAATCTAGAATGAGTGTAGAAAACTTTACATGTACAAGTCATTTACATCCAAGGCCATTTTTTCCCGTGGAGTGGCAGGTGAAGAAGAGCGGTGAAATCAACGTGAAGAGGGTGATAAATAGGTATTTCTTCGTAGCATATCGGTGCCATGTGGATTGGACAAAAACAACCTCCTCTGGCGACAAGTAAATCCAGCACTTGCGTTCAGTTTCTGAGTCCATATGAACGTCCGAGAGTAGAGTGAGGTGGCTGTGAGGTACCGTTGAGCACAGCTTTAGTCCATAGTCAGTCATTTGAAAAAGCAGGAAATAAAGAGCAGGTTTGTTTGGTCTGCCCTCCACCAATGTCCGCTTTCTTGCCAAGCATTATTGCTACTAAGTCCTCCATGTCATCTGGAAAAAGATCAAACTGGCCAACAGTCAGCAAATTAACTCGAATGAACTCCTGACGGCTGAAAAAATACTGTTAGTGAATGAAAATAATCTTCATAAATGGCTGCAACATTTTTCTTTGAAGTATTTCCCTAAAAATTCCAATTCAACATGGCATCAAAGTGAGTGTGTTGCATCTTTTTTTCTTTTAACCTGAGCAGGATGTCTGCAAAAATCCTGCACAGTCATCTCCACACAGTCTCGAAACCATCTTCATTTACAGTTTGATCCTCCCACAATGAACAAAAATGAAATCAAAACAAAACTTAGTGCAAAGTACGATAATTTGATTCCTCGCGAATGTCAGCATTTTTTAACCACTTGTGCAGAAAAAAATAAAGACGTCAGTTACCTGGATAAGTTTGCTTCCCATCACTTTCACTCAGCAAGAGAACACTGAAACCAGGTGGGCGGCCTCAACATCAAACTACACTACATTTCCCAGAAGCACTCCTCACTCAGTTTCCCTTCATGCTTGGTTCAAGTGTTTGGATTGTTTTGAAGTGAACTTGTGATTAGATTTCATCAGTTACAGTACCCAGTCCACTCTAAGTGAGATATGTTTGAGTTAGCTGACATTTGTGCAAGGGTGTGATGGGAAATGTAGTATATTTTTCCACTTAAGGTTTCCAGCCCACCTGAAATCCAGGACCCTGTTTCATTGTAAAAAAAAAAGAAGGTAAAACAATGATGAGGCAAACTATACACCGCCAAGTTCCTTCATTTGTGATGCCGAAGCTTGTGTTACTCCTTCTCGTGTCTCCAAAGCCTTTTTACGTAACAAAAAGCAAAAAAAAAAGACACCTCACACACAAACACCCTTAAAAAAAACCCTCAGGGCATTTCTCATCCTCAACTCTTAGAAATGTCCCTCACGTGGGTTCACTGAAAAGACAGAGGGTCTTGGTCAAAGGACAGAGCACACTGTAATAAAGGGGCACTGTAAGGTTTTAACACATTGAAGACAAATTTTGAGAGAGAAAATGCTGCTGTGATCTCCTGACCAGAGCTTCATGCGGCTTTCTCACGACTCAGTCTGTCTCAGGAGATTGCAGCCCACCATCCCAGATCTGAGGCATGAGTGGTGTATGGTATAATTGCTGAATGCTTTGAACACCTTTTTTTAAGGCCTTTCGGTGCTCTTGAAGTGTCTGATTTTGTTTTATCTCAATCAAACACTGACACTTCGTCTAATGGGAAGGGGAGATTTCCTGCTCTTTTCTGATGCTAACCTCTTGTGCACATTTACACACTCATTCACCCATCGAGGGAAATTCAGGTTCCTCTAGCCAAATACATGGAAGTCACTAGAACCTGGGTGTACTCAACTCACAGAGAAGCACAGAGTCAAAATAAATATATTTTCACTGACAGAAATCTTAAATGCTGTTTTTTTAAGGGGGGAAAAGGTCGGACTGAGTGCGTTGTTGTAATCCAACCAAACTAATAAAGTTATATTTTCTCTTGGTGGTTTTCTTTGAGCAAAGTCTTCGATAGAATTCGAATAGTCCGAGGAGTCACTGTGTGTGTGAAGACCATCTGGCTGAATGGAGTCTATTTAACCTCAAGGATGGAGGGGTTGGACTCCATGATGGCCACAATGATTTTGTCGATGTAGTCCTGGAGCCTGTAATTGATTTCTTCCTGTTTGTGAACAGCCTCCATCAGCTGAGGACAAAGAAAAATGAGTTAGTGGAGGAGAGGGAGGTGACAGAATAACCAATGTGGTGTGTAATCGTTTCTGTTCGAGTACCTCTGCACGGGACACGGAGCTGATCTCAGCTGCCAGGGAATCGGAGAATGAGGCCGACATCAAGTTCTTTGCTCCCTGGATGCTCAGGTTGATGATCTGGCCGTTCAACTCGTCGTTCTGCTCCTTCAGGCTGCGGTTGTCCTGGAAAGGTCCCATTGAAAGTTACACAGGGTCCGAAAAGCAGAGTGACGGCATAAGAGAAAAAGAGCTGAAATACATTTTCGAATGTAGGTTTTACCTGTTTCAGTCGTTTGATCTCCTGCTCCAACTCAGCTTCACGGGTGCGGGTCTGATATTCCTGTAGACCAGCGCCTGGCGTGCGCCCTCTTTTCGCCTCAGCCTCCAGCTTGTAGAGCTGGAGATGCTCAAGCTGTTTACGCAAGTCCTCAATGAGCTGAGGGTTAGTAAATCCAGAGTCAGTAAAACGCAGACAGGAACATTTGCCACAGGAAAGTGTTGTGGAACTTCACCCTGATTGTAACATTTTGAACACAGAGTCCTGTTTGTTTTGTATACAGTGAAACCGGCCTCACCTCCTGCGTGCTCTCCTTCTCTTTCTGGTTCTGGTGGCGCTCATGGCTCAATTTGTCGGCCATTTTTTGGCGGGACTCCGTCTCATCTTGCAGCCTGTCAGACATGACACATGTCTCGTCCTGCAACTTCCTCTTCTCCTGCAAAATCAAACCAAAACAGACAGTGAGCGTGTTGATTCAAACGGGCGACAGAAAAAACAAGGAGACTGTGTGAGACGTTTAGCTTCACCTCTTCTAGTCTCTCGATGTTCGCACGCAGACAGGGAACACATGACCTCAGCTCACTGTTCTCCTCATCCATTTGCTGCAGCCTGAGAAACAAATACACGAAGTTCAGTGTTAGTTCAGTGTTTTACCATGGAAAATAGCTTATGTGCAGTGCTTATTTAGGACCACAGGGTGGCAGTGTAGAGCCAGAGGTTTCTCAGTAAACAACATGTTAAACACTGGCTTTGCAATAAACAGATCATTTAAAATCCAATACCAATACACCAGAAAGTACAAACTAAAGACTCATCAAACAAGTTTAATGAAAATATGTATCTTGTTTTTAGTGATTAGCAGTTCTTACTCTCCAAAAAGACTACACAGATAAATGTGACTCCATGATAGAATAAAACTAAATGTTGGACATTGAAGTGTTTAACTAATTTTTTTATCTAATCACCTGGCCTGTATGTTTTCCACCTCCAGTCCCCTCTCTCGCTCCAGTTTGACCAGCGCCTCTTTGTGACGCCGGGTCTCCTGCTGCATTTGCTCGTCAGCGTGGAGCTCCTGCTCCTTCAGCTGTTCCTCCAGAGCGTTTGCCCGGTGCACCAGCTGAAGGTTCTCCTGGCGTAGCCTCCCATGCTGCTCCCCCGACGCCTCCGACTCCTTTTCCAGCTCAGCCACTCGACGCTCAAGGAGGAGCACCTGGAAAGAATGTAAGGTTACTTAATGTTAGATCTAACTGTCATGAAATTAACCAGGTACGACAGGGAATTCCTCACAGCTTCCGGGTACTAATGTGTAAAAGATTTAGTTTACTTCCTGGCAGATGAGTTCTCACCTTGTCTGTGATGTCGTTGTCAGCGAGCTCCAGGATGTCTCTCGTCAAGTCACTCATCGTGTCCAGAGTCATGGAGCTGTTCTGGAGGAGATGTCTGCACATGGAAGGAGAGAATTTACCCCAACTGTGCAGTTTGATGGTTTGTAACAAACTGATACCAGGAATAGAAACTCTTTCATGCTCAAACTAAACGACGATTTTCTGCTTACCTTGCTACTTTCTTGCTGGACAGCCTCTTACCAGCACTGAATGAGGGAACAAAACAACAGGAAAAATGGTCAGGAAGAGAGAAGGGATAGCAGAAAGACATCATCTCCTGGTATTTGTCTGACCCACACAAACCCCCTCTTTCTGATAGTAGTTACCAGAGCTTGATAAGGTGGTTTTGTACTAACAAAGTCACACATCACAGCAGTCTAACACAAACACAGCAGCCTATTGAGTCTCGAACAAGTGCTGATCAAGGATCTGTTTCACTTAATGGAGAAACATGGAACACCACAGACAGATTTGTAGTCTTTTGAACATATCACAACCCCAATTCCAAAAAGTTTAGGACACTGTAAAAAAAAACCATTTATTTTGGTGGTTTGAAAATCTCTAAAACTTTATATTTAATTGAAATAAATGCAAAGACCACACATTAAAAATCAAAATTTTATACTTCATAGTCTAGAAATTTGGCATTTGTTTTGAAAATCATGGCTTTGGGACCAAACTCCACACAGTTGAAAAGCCAGCATCTGTGATAATATATGCAAAGGCACCCATTGCATGGGTAGCTTACACATCTGGGAAGGCATCATTAATGAGTCATTATAACGATATAAAGAGGTTTTGGATGCTGATGTCCTAACAATGCCACTTTCAGCAAGAAAGTGCCAAACACATTCTGCACACATTACAAAAGTAATGCTCTGTAGTAGAAGTCAGATGCTAAACTATTGGCATAGCATGAAACAAGAAGCACAGCAAGAGATCCTAAACTGTCAAGCCACTAAAAACCTTCGAACAGGCAAGCCAAGGACAATATTTCCCTTCAGAAACTGGTTTCTGTGGTTCCCAAACATTTACAGAGTGTTGTTAGAAATAGAGGTAATGCAACACAACAGTCAAAATTTTAAAAAGTATATATTTTTCCACACAGAATCAATTAGATTTCACATTTGATATGTTGCTTTTTCTCAAGTTTCAATAAAAAAGGGTTTCAATTTCTTGCAAACCATCAAAATCTTTCTTCATGAACATTTTACAGAGCATCAAGACTTATTTGGAATTGGTGTTTTGATTCATCACAGTTAAATCCAAAATTGAGCCGTTAAGTAGGGTTCAAGTATAACTAGGTTTCTGTAATGCAGCTACTGCTCAGTAATCCTGGATCAGCAGGTCTTTTCTGATAAAAGCGGGTTCTTTGAATGGTTCCTCTTCTCTACCAGCGGTCAGTCATTCCTCAAAACTCAAATGAAGCATGAAGGTAATGGCATGATGGCGTGTCAATATGAATCAAACACTTACCTGTGAGATTTAGAGATTTCATATTTCTGCAACCTTTTTCAGTTAATTTAACATTCGCAATCTATATTCTTATTTTTTTCTGCCAATGAGGAAAATGTTTTTAATGATTTATTTGTGATTCATGATTCTGCTTAAAGCTCTGATAGAGAGGAGAAGAATAAGACCGTTTTATAAACAAATCATACTGTAGAATTTTTTTTTTTTTAAAACAGTAAAGGCTTAAAATTCTTAAATACTTGCACAAAAACTAGGGTGGAAAAAGATGGGTTAAAACACACCTAAAATAAACAAAAAAAAATACTCAGTAATATGAGTTAAAGCTCAGTTTATCACACAATACACACCACAGTGTTGCTCGGCCACAGTGTCATGCATACATTATGAGTACATGCATGATACTGACTCTAATCACTGCAAACATGTTCACACAGCTGAGAGTCGGGGGTGGGTGGTGAATGACGTGTTACCTAGTCATCTCTAGGAAATTGAGGCGGGTGGAGAGGTCTTCGAGACGACTTATTTGTTTGTGACACTGGCTACAGAAAAAGTCCAGCGCCTCCTCCCTGAGGAAGCTCTGAAAGCAGTCAGGGAGAGGAGCGGGTGCGCTGGAGAGAAGAAGGGAAAAAAACAGGAGAGGAAAAAGGAGGAGGAAGTGGTGAGTGATTGAGAAGAAGGGGTGCACTGAGGGTGAGATAGCTCACCTCGGAGGGTGAAAGTGGCGTGTTAGTGAATTTTACAGGAGAATCTGAGGAAAGAAAGTGTGAGGGCTCGAGTGGGAAGGATTTGAAACAGACTGCGGTGTGATTCTGAGCTAGTGTAAGGACAGAAAGGAGAAAGAATGTGTGTTCTGAGGCTTAGAAAACCTACAGAAAGGTCACAATTTAGCTTCATTCATCAAAACACGGTAAGCTGTGGAGCAAATAAATGAAACACACAGCTTATTACTTCATTGTTCGAGTCTGCACCCTCTCCTCACTTCACCTCTGCTAGCTGATTGTTCATTCAGCCAGCCAGTCAGGTCTGAATTATGCAACCAGCTGGCAAACGTTCTTGTTTATGTAGGCAGAAACGTGGCCTGGCAGACTTTGAGCAAGTGTCACTTGATGGTCATAAGCGCTGTCGTACTATTAAGCCCTTTTCCTCAGAGGGGTGTGAAGGACAGCTCTGTTAAACAATGCCTACAGCGGGGTATATGTGTGTGTTTCTCGTACAAAAGAGTCGACCCAACTGTTCGTACATGTAGTCAAAGTGCTGTGATATGTAAAAAAGATAAATGTGTGGGTGTGTGTGTGTAGGCAGCACTGATACATGAGCCGGTGATGAGCGGGACTGGCTCGAAAACACAGTGACGCATTCTCACTGAGTGGGTGAGATATGTGGGATGTGGTTATTTTTTTCTTTGTGTTTTTCTCAGTGCACAACTTGTACACCATGCTATCACATGCATACATACTGTTACTGCACTTAATGTACTGACTGTATTTGACCAGTTCATTATTTCAGTGATATTTGAGGAGGCATCGCTATGGTAACATGTCACACCAGCATGTATATGACAAAGTCGTTAGTCGAGGAAGGAAAGGGTTCAAACTGTCTTCCTGCATGACGACTTCCATTACTTTCTGCACAGTCCAAAACAAGCACTCCTTGTGAAGCTCTTTCTTTCAGGTAGCGTCTGTTTTTACCACGTCAGGTTTGCAGTGCAGCAGCTCAGCTCATACTACTGTAACTTTGATTGGTATTGGCTACTGACCCACTACCTGCAACCAATATGCCTGGAGTTTCCCTCCAGAGGGTGACTCCAGGCATATTGCACAATCAAACAAACCAGCAATACACAAGGTTTAATAACCGTTAAATCATTTGGCCCGTTCACTAGGGGCTACAACTGATTCTGTTGGTCCCTTGCTCTATCTGTGGAAAAAAGGTATCAAAGCCCTCCCCGAATCATGAAGACCTAATAACAAAGGAAACATTTTCAGTAATGTGTATTTGTTTGACCCCTCAGTGCTTTAATTTTCAGGTTTCTATTACCTCAATGCCACAATAACAGACTGCATTACTTTTGAGTATCTTAAGCTTCTTTATATAGCTAAAAAAAATCATCATAAACCGAAAAGCATCAAATCTATTTTACTTAGGGGTGTCCTGGTACAACTTTTTCACTTCAAATACAATACCCATATTGTTGCCTTCAATATTGACTGATACTGATATTGATCCGATATTGGCACAAAATTATGCATGACAAGTTTTTCACTCAGCTGCAACGTCTTTTTTTGGCCTGAAACAAAAAATACTGCCACAAGGCCGACATCACTCCTACTCCTTGCTACTTTGTTAGTACCTTAGTACACACTGTTGTTGTGATTACATGGACTCTGCATGCTGGATCGAGGTGCCGGAGAGGAGTCTGGAATGGACAGCTTGTATCGGAGTGCTGATATCAGAGATTTAAGATGCAGGCTGATATAATCCGATATTCATTTTTTTGCTAATATCAGACCAATAACCAACATAAATACCGTATCAGGACACCTCTAATTTTAACAATTAAAGCCCCTCCAGTTTGACTAACTTTTTCAGTATTATCACTGCGATATGAATAATTACAGTTAGCTTTGTTCCTACTGGGAATGTTGCATTATCCAACAATGTGTCTCTGATAAAAACACAGAGGAAAGAGGGGGACAAACATGACTAGGAAAAGGCGACAATAAACACAAAGAAATGCTACTATGGGGAATGTGTTTCAGTGTAACTGTATCCTTGTGTTTGACACCTCACATGGCTACAGTCAGTCTGTATTATACAACAGCATGCTGGGGGCAGAGCTTGAGATACTCCCTAAGATGACTTCAGTGCAGTAAATGATCGGTTTTCTGTCCCTCCCTTGGCAACAAATACCAGTTTTCAGATCTCAGTACAGATTAAAACAATTTAAACCACTAATGTAACCATTTTAGAAAAGAATTAAACTCAAGAAAAAAACACATTTTTGTTAACTTAGTAACAGAGAGCGTAAGTCTGATGGAATGAACTTTGTATTCATATTATGTATCTCGGCCTTCACAGGAACAAAAGGCAGATAAGGGCAGGAAGGACGTCGCCAGATATTTCTTATCAAAGTTTGTCCTCAGAGTCTTTCTTGAAACAGAAATATTTTCTCTGAAGGCTTTAAAGTAGTAAAATACAGCTGAGAGATTAACAGTGTCACACCTCTTATCAGGAGGGACAGATAACTAGAATGATGACAGCAATTTGAGATGTCATTTGCACAGTTGAATAACTTAGGCCGCCCTTATTTATGTTATGCAACTTTTTGGTTTAGTCGTGTGGGTGAAGACTTGTTCGTACCTCGGAGACAGCAGTGAGGAGCCATTGACCTTCTCGGATGGCTGCTCCAGCGAGGAGTCAGCCTCCCTCTCCGTCCCCTCCACGCTGCTCTCTAGCAGCAACTCAGATGTGTTGCTCTCCCCAAAGTCTTCAAAGTGCTCCTCCTCTCCGCCGATGACGGTCACCAGTGAGTGGTTGTGGAGCTCCGAGTTCAGGGAAAACCTGTGGGTCATGTAAGAATGGATTAGTGTGTTAGTGTTTGTATGAGCTTACTTGTGTAAACAACAACAGTGTAGTTAATTTAAGGTCTGGAGCAAAAATAGAGGAAGGCGCCAGGTTTAGGTTGGATAAAAATGGACTTTAGCTTGGAATAAACAGCCACACAAATCTACATTTAAGACACCACAACCTGAGTTTACGTAAATTCTCTTTATGTAAAGAAAATAAACCTGCCCAGAATTTAAGCAGGAGTATCTTTACAACCGTGCGTAAGAAAAGAAAAAAGCTGGCGACAGATTGCGTGTGTTGTACCCAGGAAACTAGTCTTTTGTAAATCCCCAACAGGCACAATTAATCTACCCAAATAGCTGCAATCTGGACAAGTTGGAAGATCACTTCTTGCCAAAGTTAATCTGTTCAATGTCATTAATCCCAAAGGTTGCTTCTGTTCACACTCAGCATATAACACCATTGTTAGAAAGAATCATTCGAGACCTGTGAGAGGAACTTTCCTATATCTCTATATGGCCCAAACATTTAAGACTGATAATCTTAGAAAAGTGGACAAAACCTGATCTGGATCTGGAAGTCTTTGATGTGAATTAGACAGAGTTACAAGGGCTAAAGTGAATGATCTGTGGCTACCAGGAAAGCTGGAAAGCCAGTCTTTCCTGTCGTCCGAAAGGAAGTGTTGGATATTCTTGAGCGCACACAGGAGGAGGATGTCCAAATCAGCAGAAAAGTTTGCTTTCTCAGCACACCATCATAGATCCCATTAAGATCTCTGTCAATTCAAAACCCAAACATCACCACAGCTTTGAAAAGATGTGAAGATCTAGATCTTATCATGACTCTAATTTCAATTTCTACTTCTTTAAACCTGACAAAAATGTAGTTTCAGGAGCAAAACTTCCACAACACTGGGTCGAAAGAAGCACTGTCAACTTCTGTGTCACTCACCCCTTATTGTTTGGCCCCATGCTGAGATCCCTAACGCAGAGGGATGGCGAAGAGAGAGATCGCATCTTTAAACGCCCTCCACTGCCCTGGCGTGAAAGCCGTGGAGCAACTGGAGTCAAAACCCCGGACAACCAGAGTGGAATCCTGAAGTTTCACAGGTTACACCACTTTGCAAAGGAAAAAAAAAGGACCCTCCGGTTGGGAGAAAGAAACAATACTCGGAAAACTTGCTGCTCTAACAAGCTGCTAATCTTCAACTCCACATGACTGATATTCCCTCATCTGTGCCACTCGGCTGACTTGTCGTCGAACCAAAGAGGGTTGACTGTGAGTGGGTTAATCAGATTTTAAGCTAAGCAACAGCCAACAGACAGTACTGCTGACCATCTGAAGGCCAAATGTGTGTGGGGACATGGGTAGGATAGAAGAGGGCGGGGGAGGCTAATCCTGTTAAATTCTTAATCCCTAGTCCAGTGCATATACTGCTACCCTAAACAGGGCCAGAGCTAGCAAGGCTAACCAGGCAGCACTTCAAAATCTCTGATTACTTACTGACCTTTTTGTTGCCGTTGCTCAAAGTCAGTGTTGATTCACTGTAATAGTTTCTGACTGGGTTAATCCCTTAAACGCTTTATTTATTTTTTTATACGAGCAGATGTTTTGCTTATCCGCACCAACTAACTGACAGGCTTTTGACGGGCATGGAAAGGTCTCTGATAAGTCAGAAGCGCTACTGCGGAGGAGGAGGAGGAACAAGTGATGAGTGTTCGATTTTTGGTAAACAGGCAGAAATGAGAGAATCTTAAGTCTGTACAGTCATACATAAAGCGTCAAAGCTTTTTCCCAGTCAGCAGCAGCAGCTTTGGTGGCACGATGGTATGAGTAAGTGGAGAGAATCAGATTAGCCCATACAACGGAAAGGGAAAAAGGGAAAACAACAACAAAAAAAAAGTGCTGACTCAATGCTTCCTGGAATTCAAGGCTCAATCATGGAATGGGAAGTCCAAACACATCCATGTCAGGCAGAGCACCCCAATCCGTCATGGAGCCGGACAGCCAGGTCACACAGTCAGCAAAAGAGGCCTCACTTCTCTGCACTTCCTCCCTTGTGTTTGCCTCAAATACTACCCAACAGGAACGTTTTTGTGGAGACAAAGCAGCAGCTGGCCTTTTATGTAAAAAAAAAGAGGACGAATGCAACTTGAATCAGAAGGCAAACTTCTCAAACACTCCACAATAAAAACTATATGTTCATGAAAGACCAGCACCTTTAAATATATAAATGTTCAACTTAGTCCTTACTGATCACTATGTGAAGATGTAACGTTTATGTTAAACACTGATGGGAAAATGACCTTGCATGGTAAAACTAGGATATCATAGGTCTTCAAATATAGAAAGAGAGAGACAGGCTGCAAAAGTGGGTGGATAATTCGAATAATCATTGAATAGTGTCCAGTTACTTTCCAATAATGTTTTTCCTTTATCCGCTACAATAACGACGCCAACTCATTTTAATACAGAACATTTTATTTAAAAAGACACAAATTCTATGCTCCTCTTGATTCTCTCATTCACTCAATCCATGGTGAGAACATCTGAGGGTAATTCAAGCCAATCCCAGCACACAGGTTGAATATCATCAACCCGGATTTTCAACAAGGACATATCATAAATCCATTACTCTACCATAAATATCAATAAATATCACGATATACTGGGCAGTTCACCTCGATAACGATAAATGGACGATAACTACTCCACAAGCTGCTCACCCCCTCCCACATTAACTTTGTCTACTTCAGCCGCCGCTCCAGCTGCTACAACTTCTGAACTGTCCTCCATCTCCTTACCCGTCTTTCTCTCTTTGGTACGGACTGGATGGGGTAGAGTCACGTCTCTGATGTGGGACAGCGTCTTAAAGGGACATGAGACTATAGCCTACCTACACATCCAAAACCAACTTTTATTTATTTATTTTTTAGACACCTAATGTATTGACATGGGCAAAATGACGTCGGTTATTGTCATAAATTCCGGTATCGGTAAATTTTTGGTTTATCACCCAACCCTAGACTCTACCATGAGTTCAGCTTTTCACTGGTAGACAAACTTGAATGTAGTGCACGCACAGCTGTGAGCCAGTATGAGAAACTCTTCGCAATAACAGGACCATTACTGTTTGGGCTACAACCATGATCGAACAGTTCAACACATCTATGTATAAACACAACAATTCCAGGAAAAAGGAACAAACTTTTCAGATGGAAAAGCATCACAAATAGTTAACCTACTGTTCCCAATAAAAGGCGCTGTCAGTAAGTGACAACTCAGTCTCTTTCCAGCCGATACAGATGATGACCTACTCAAACAACTTTGCCAAAGAATGGTGAAGGTGCTTTCTGTGTTCAAGGTCTCTGGCACTCATACTGCGTGCATTTCAAGTTATCTCTGAAGGAGCTTTCCTGCTCAGCAGAAAACATTTACAGTCAGTGTCCCAGCAGACTATGTGGAGTGCTGCCGCTGACTAAAAATGGTGTGCAGTTACGTGAGGAGCTACATTTAACCAGTACATACAAAAAAAAAGAGGGAAAAAAACTGAACATGGCTCTTATCCTGCTGGTAGATATTAGGGAACTAAAAGCACTGCCCTGATCAAGTGGTGGCTGTCTAATGCCTGTCTGGTGACCCAAATAGACCCAAGTGATCCAGCGCTGAGTATGCAAGACTCAGATGCACGTGATCTGTGTGAAAGGTTAGTGTGGGGCAAGTCCAGTACGAACCCTGGGCTGAGGATTTGACACACATTTAAAGTAAATTTAGCAGCATTATGACGTAGATGTTCTCATGATAAGTGGATTACCGTTTATTGCTGGGAATTATTTAGGGACGCAGGGCCAAACAAAAAGCTCAAGTTGCTAGAAAACATGAGTGATCAACACTACGTTTGTTGCTGAAGCTGAAATTTTACCAACCTATTTCCACCGTCTTCAGGATCATGCAGAGTGGCCTCGATGCCGCTGTCCGTCTCAACATCCTCGTGCATCTCAGGGGGTACGAGGGCCCCCGTGTCCTCATCAGTGAAGGTCTCACACTCACTGTACGTGCTCTCAGAGCCCAGGTATGCACTGTCTGTCACCTCATTGTGCTGCAGGAACAGAGAGAAAACAAGGATAAGCATATCACATATTTGCTACCAAGCAGTAAACAGATACAAAGACTCTAATCTGAACATGAATGACTAACTAATCTGGATGCTGGACTCACAAAGTGTTCCGGTTTTGATAATAAGAACTCTTAAGAACATATACAGGATTCCTACGCATTTGGAATTTCCATACTTTTCCATATCCCAATTTATAAGGATGGGAGAAAAAATCAATTTGCATAAGTATTGCAATTTTCTATTTTACAATTTTAAATCGATTTTTTATGTTCAAAAATAGATTTTTTTTTTTTTCAAATTTAGAATCAAATCTTAAAAACTGACTTACATGTGAGGTGTATTTTTTGGGGAAATATGGTTCCTGGAATAGTCAGTAGACAATCATAATCATTCAACGGTTTCACTGGTGTTAAAAATGCAGACTAAAAATCGAGGAAATTGACAATGTCTTGGAATCGGAATTTAAATCAAATTGGCATCCAAAAAATCGTAGAAAAATCGAACTGGGAGAAAAGCATATTGTCCCAGCCCTACTAATTTTTAGATTTATTTTTGGAAATACCTACTTTTCTATTTTAGAAAACAGTATTTGAGAACTTTGGTAATAATCTGGAAACATATATATTTTTCCATACTTTATTTTTCATCTTCCATACTTTTTAAGACCTGGAAATTGATCAAATTTATTTCCATACTTTTCATACTTTTCCATACTTTCCATACTTGTGTAGGAACCCTGCATATAAAATCTGAGAGTAAAGCACCGGGTTACCATCACAACTCAGACAAAAGTACTCAATAGCTAAAAAAAACAAAAACAGATTTTTAAATATGGCATCAAATCAGGATTACATAGATGCAAAAAGCAAACAACAAATCTAAATGTAAGAAATAAGCAGCCTTTCTAAAATGCCCAAGTCTAGTCAGCAGGCACTGACAACAACAATGCCAGCAACCAAACAAATCATAGAGCACAAACAGACTCCACAGACAGACTGCTGAGATTCAGATGGCTCTTCCAGAACCTGCTGCATCAACACCTCTTAGCAACAAGTTCAATCAAATGGAGCGAGCTTTAAGGCTTTCCAAGTGACAAAAACAAAACGCTGATTACAAAGCTCACAGCCAAAAAACAACATCTGAAGTGATTAGCAACCAGAGAAATGTTAACAGGTATCAGAGCTGTGAAGCAAGAGTGAAGGCGAGACAGGTGAGTCATGTTTGAAGGGCTGACATACCATTACAAAAGAAGCGTCAGGAGGAGCAGGGCCCAGAGGGCTATCCACCATGCCCAGAACCATTCTCTCCACCAAAGCTCACACACAGAGTAACTGGCCTTCCATCAGAGCCTCCTGATAACTCATACTTATGCTCCCTCTCCTTCACTCTCTGAGAGGGAGTGTGTGAGGGCGCGTTCAAAAAAATGGAAAATACTGTGACACCTCGTTCAGCTCCACTGGGTGGTCAGAGGGGAGGAGACAAAGTCCAAAAAGTAGCCGAAGACAGCTATAATGATCAATCGCCCAGCATTCTGCGAGAGAGGCTCGAGTTAAAGAGCAACACCGATCAGCTGAAGGATTGTTTAATCTTTCCTGGCTCCTGGGAGCTTCACTTCCTGGCACAGAGGGACTGAATAAATCATTAAGCCATGTTCTACATGTCGCAGACCAGACAGCGAAGGAGGGCTGTACATCACAACAGCTTGTCATAACTGACTGACAGTGTGCCAAAAGAAAGCTAACACACTGTTACAGCTCTAAATATGAAAAAACAAAATTCAAGTATTAATGTTTATAAGCGTTTCTATTTCTAATCAAAGTTTGAGATGGAAACGTAGAAGTAAGCAACGGAAGAAAACATTTAGTTAAGGAAAAAAGGGGCGGATGGGGCGTTACTTTTCTCTTCTGCCAGGCCTCAGCTGAACAACCTCACCTTCCCTGTTTTGAGAGCAAACAGGGCGAGAACAGCGCAGCCATTGAGAGAGAGGAACCCTTTTCTGCCAGAAACTGGAGGGGGAAAAAACAAGGCCATGGGCACAGGTGTGGCGAGTGCTTCAAACATAAACACAAACTTCCCCAAAACTTTGCAGAGGGCTTCCAGTAAACAGCAAAGAGACTTCATAAATCATCAGATATTAAAGGTTGTTTGCTCAGAGTCATAGCAGCTCTGCTAAAATAAATCCATCAGTAGCATTTCTGAAAAGATTGCGTAACTCTAAAGATCAAACAGCTGTTAAAACCTGGAGATTGATGAATCATTTCAGCAATTTCAGGTACTGATACAAGACAGTAGAGAGTCTTTACAGGGTTTCTGCAGGTTTCAAAAGGTCAAATTAAAGACTTTATTCAGACCATAATGAGTACAATTTAAGATCCATTTTATATCCATACCAACAAAAAAAAGTACAAAAGTCATAAAGGAAAATCACAACATTTTAAACCAACTTCAAATCAATCTTTCTTTGTAAGTAACATCAATAAACTTTTAAGACCTTTTAAATTTGTGTTTAAGACATTTTATGAGGTTTTAAGAGAATTTTAGACATTTTAAGGCCTTTAATTCTAATTTTTTGGATTTTAGACATTTTTAGACTTTTTAAGACCCAGCAGAAACCCTGCTTTAATATTTATTTTATTATGTGCATTTCAATGTTTGTAGCAAATCCAGTTATGATTTCTTGACTCTGTGGTGCTACACGGACTTTACACAAGAGTCTTTGATCTGTTAATGAAATTTTTATGTTGAAATGTCATGTCATATTATTTCAGGATATATTGTTCTTAACAAAAACCCACAAAAATGCAGTTTTTATATGCTTTTCTCACAAAAGACTTGATCTGAATGGTTGATTTTACAATCAGCACCGGAGCCCTTTGAGATCAGGTAAGAGGAATCCATTGGCTCTTCAGTGTATAATACAGGGGCCTGCACTTCTGAACCCTGCCAAAGGAGGGCGCTGAAACCGCGCTCAGCCACTAAAACAACAGTCACAGTCAGGCAGCGCCAGAAGTGCACACAATAGCAGAAACACTTCAATTTTGCGAAGCAAGCAACAATGATGGTTAAATATACAAGTTCTGCGCACAAGAGGACCCAGGAATTTTGGATATGCTGACCACAACTGTAAAAACACACGTCCGCACAGATGTAAAAAACTCAGCGCGCATTCCAGCTAATTCAATATTTGTCAAAGAATACTCAAAAGCATAGCCTGCCAGATGCTATTTAGTGTCAGCCAAACCAGGGGGTTCAGTCTGTGGAATGTTCACAGAGAGGTAATGATAGATCTGCGAGCCACTTTGTGAATTACAGAGGGAAGAGTGAGAGTGCACACTGAGTTCAGAATGTGACCCCACAATATCGAAACGTACCACACACACACACACACACACACACACACACACACACACACACACACACACACACACACACACACACACACACAGAGGGAAAGTCTGAGCTTCTCGTGTTGTACCTCACCTCATCATACTCCTCTGGACAGCCTACAGCTCCATCCCCTGGACTGTAGTTTACATTATAAAGCTGTGGCTCCGGACCTGCAGATATATGAGGAAGAAGACAGGTTCAGTGTGTGCAGAATAAACACTGGAAAGTCAAACAGTGGAGCAGGATCAACAAACAAAAGGCTGGTGTGCATAAAGTGGGAATGTCTGTATGCAAACAAACTATCTTTTTATGGCAACAGAGGGTCAAAGTGGTTTAAGTTTGGGTATAAAATATACAGGATATGATCATCAAATTTAAAACGTTTTTTGCATTCTGAGTACATTTTTGTGTTCTAAAGATTTTAACTTTTAAAGGTATAAAAAGATTTCCAGATTGATGTTGAATGTGTTTGATGACCTTGTGTTTCTGTCCATAATGCATGCTCTCATTAACACATTAGCACATTTGAGAGCTCATGTCCTACCTGCCCTACTTTGGTATATTTATAGTCAGCAACCTGAGTGTGATGTGACCGTAAACATTATGTAACTTTTACATGTTGATTTAAAGGGCAGTAGAATGTCTTTCATAAGGTTGTGAGCTAAATAAAACAATAAAAAGGGACAAGAAGTGACCCAGTCAGATTTGTCAACACAGGCTGCTTTTAGAGCACCTACAATGAAACCTGAGATGTGCAAACAAGTCCCATCAGCCACTGCAGCTCCTGTATCTAGTAAACAGAGCTGTGGCTAGCACCCTACTCAGAGTACAACACAAACAGTGCTCTCCAGTAGACACCAGGGGGCTTTTGTGCCCTCTGGTCTTACATAACCCCGCTGTTCTTGGTGACTTATACACATTGCAGACTGTTCAAAAGAAATGAGTCTGCACCCAAAGGGGCTTTGGAGAAGCTGGCTTCTGTTTGAGCAACACACCTGCAGTCTTTTGGCCTATTGTCAAAATATTAGAGGACGCTGATATTTTCTTGTTGTTCCAGACATGCCAAAGAAACTACAGGGGGTGAAGGCATTTCCATGGCCTGCAGGTCTGTCTTTATTAAAAAGGGAGTTACGAGTAGTGCTGAAATTAAGTGGGAAAGAAGGTTGAGTACAATAAAGCTTATATGGGATCATGTCAGGAGCTGGTGTAGCAGGTTTTGCATGTCTACAGCAAAGGTAGTGGCAACTGTGACAAATAACATAACATGGATGGAGTTGATCTAAAGGTCAATAGTTTCTTTGCAAAAAAAAAAAAAAGTTGTTATTCAGCTTTACAAGCAGAGTGGGATTCTGTCAGCAATGTGTGAGTAACTGGGGAAGTTACATCAGAGGTTGGATGTTCACACTCTAATGGGAAACTTTCTCCCAGCCTGAAATATCTGATTCATTTCCCAGATTCATTCCACAGAAACTACTTAAGAGAGGAAGGAAAACAGAGGAACAAAAACATAAGATGATGATTGAGAGTCATGACATCATTATAACCTAACGTGTGTATTGGGAAATATTAAAAAGAGTTTATCCAACTGAGGACAGCAAAACATGCGCACATGCAAGTGGACTGTCATGTCAATCAGGACGCAGACAGAAAATGTAGTCCTGGTGACAATAGTAACCATGAAGCAAAACAATAGATTGATAAAGGGTCAATCAAACTACTACAATGTAAGTGACAAGGAGACGAGTTGAACACAAACTGTGACCACAATAGATGTTCCAGATAGATAAGCAGCCAGCAACAATAAGCTGCAGTTGTGAGTGAATGGAACCTCTTAATGCGTGGTCTGCTGTGTTTTTAACCGTATTGCTGCACTCCACATACATAAAGAGCCAAACTGTGAAATGTGTCATTATTCGTCATCATTATGTGTGAGGTATTTAACATTTTATCTGGTAAGATATATATAAAATATAAAAAATCATAGTAGCTAAATGGAAATCTAAAACATATTTTTCACTTGAAAACATGACACGGTCAGTTAAAAAGCAACAGTATCATATTGATTTGTGTGATCTTAGGTTAAAATGAACAGATACCTAGGACACAGAAGTGCTACATTAAAAAACTCATTTGTTCTGTTCTAAGAAATTGTCAGTTCATATCAATCTGGCTTCCAACTACTGACAAGGAGCAAAGAAACAAAGGAGAAAGAGAGAGAACAGTGGCTAAGAGAAAAGACGGTGAATTATTTAGATGAACAGGACTCTCCGCTCAACCTCATCTCGCTGCCACTCCCGCTCTGAAACCTTGCCAGTAAGCCCATGTGTGTATCTCATGCTTTCCAGTGCATGACTTATTAATGCTGCGAGTAACCCAAGCTGCGCAACCTCACGGGCTAAAGGAAAAGAGTACTACAGATCAATAGGCTGGATGGACTATGGCCTATGTAATGATGCCATTATGACCTGTACAGGAAATCAACATGACTATCATTTGCTGTCAAAGTTGCTTAGGAGTTAAAACTCTTCATAAAGATAAGAATTTTGTTGTATCCATCATGTACACTCATGACTGTAGGTAAAATCCTTCACACTATGTCCCCATTTTCAGAGCGACACAGAATATGTGTCACTTCAAACTGAACAGGTTTTCAAAGTGGATCAGAGAGCCAGGAAAATGGTTATAAACAGAACAGCAGCATTTTGAGTCCACTTACAGAGAATGTGGGTCAGTCTCCAGGCTGTCCCTCACCTCAGCTGGGCGATAAGTATGAACATACTGTGTTGACAACAATATTTGGCACCATGGGGAATTCTCACTGATAGAGCCAGATGCTCAGGATTAGATGTAGGTGCAAGAATTTGCTGCAGAGGCAATTAGTTTGTTGTTGCTGCAATCTTTTATTTTTTTATTTTTAGCATAACAACGTTAAATGTAGGTTAGCCAAAATAACAAAGGAAAGACATAAACAGCTATGGGAAGACAAATTAACAGTGGAAACTGAACATAGAATTTACAAAGGATACATTTTTGTTCCTTCTGGCATATTTGAGCTGAACTGTGGACACCTTATTCCTGTCTTTCATCACCTTTTTTTATTAGGAGGTGTTGCTCTTTAAACTTTCCCCCTATGTCACTCGACCGCTGTTGCTCTCTCTCTTGTTCACAGCATTTGAAGGCTCAAGAGGCCACATGCTGAACTTGGACAGAAGTGGTGGTTGGTTGTGATCACAAGAATTTAAGAAAAGGGCATTTTTAATCCATTTCATGTATCAATGTGTGGGGTGGAACATTTGGCATGCTGTTGTGAAAACAAATTTACTCTCACAATATTTGATATTACTGTATCACTAATTCTGCACAACCCTTTAAATCAATATGACCCAAAAACTGTTCTGTATTAATAATCTATTTGACATCAAGACTGTTTTATGCCGGGATATTTTTACAGAGGGAGGTTTCATGTAGAATCCCTCCATTTCTTTGACAACTGTCAAGTTGAGTTTGCAGAAAGAGGACACAACAGTAAGAAAAGGGTTTCACATTGAACAGCTGGTCTTGAGTGTAAGAGTGAAACATCCTTGAAAACACAGACAGTATAAAAATAGTGCATCTGATGACTCACCTCCATTACTGATTGCAGAGATCCCACGGTGAAAGTCTTCAAAGCTGATCACTCCGAGACCACTGGGGTCCAAAAACTTGGTAAAATCCTTCACCTGAGAGACAAAAGAAACACAACATTCAAATATAATTCCATCATGGCAGCACAAGAAAACATCCCTCCTCCATAACCTTATATTATTTATTCTGCCTGGATGTTTAATGCTGATGTCCTAAATGATGTAAGGGGAAGTTTTTCACACATGGTTGCAAACAGCTTCAGTGTGATGTTTGCATATTGGATTCAATGAAAAAAGAATCCCATGCAGTGGGAAAGGCCAATTTGTCTGGATCAAACTTAAAAAAAGAAGCCTATCTTAAGGTCAGTGTACTCACATGATGAGTTTACAGCAGAATTATGTAAAGATACTTTGATTACAGGAGCAGAAAGTCACCAATAAAGACAACCTATAAACTCCAGAGTGAAATCCTGCAGACAAGGCAAGTGCACGTTTACAAGTGTACAAAGGGTACTTTTTTTTTTTTCACTTCACATATGACAAGAATAAAATGCTACTTTTGGCTTTGTGGTTGCAAACTGAGTGTTCTCACAACTCAGACATATTGTCATGTAAGACACACTAGATGTTAAATTAGAAGAAGTCTTCAGATTGCAATGAGTAATCCTACAACAGTGTTTAATAAAATGCATGCATTTAAAAAACATAAAACTATATATCTCCCTGTGCACAGAAATGCTGCTGCACTTAGGCCTTAAACTGGTTACATAAGTGCAGCTACACACTGTATATTCCTACAGCTAGTAACCTGGCAACAGGGGGATGTGAGTTCTGTAACAACCGGATCTCAGAGCGTAAAAACGACAGTGCACATTGGATTAGCCATCTCGTCTGGCTTAAAACTGACTGATTTGTGGTGTTTGTTCAAATGTTGTCGAATCTGTACTGTCAGTCTCCATGTACACACATTTCTTAACACGCTGCCCTGGCTAGCGTTAACAATCTATGTAATTGGCCCTTCAAGATTTGTGAACTTTACATGCAAGATTATCAGGAGCACCACGCAATTAAAATCTATTTACATAAATAATAGACTAAGTCAAATGTCAACCATCACACAAATTGCCCTAACCCATTATTACAGTGTAATTTCAGGCCTGTGTCGCTGACTAAATTAACTGGGAGGGATCCTTGGCGTATGTTGGCTGGGGTTTTTGTGGTCTCGGTTCACTTATCCCCCAAGAAAGTGAACACACAATGTGAACATGGTCATTTCAGAAACTTTCATGCCATGTGTGGCTTTTTGGTTACACATGAAAACAAGCTGATCTGCTTAGCAACGCTGAGCTGTGACTCAAGAGGGTTGAAAAGGCTGAAACGGCTAATAAACCCGGGTGGCTTACGATCTACATTTGGTGAATTAAAGCCAGCTGTGCTTGGTAAGAGCAGAGGTGGAGGCTCATCTGCCTGAATGGTGGTTAACAACACAGCAATGCTAAGTTTGGGCTCAACCCACTCCCACCTCCTCTTCTTTGCTGTCTATTTATTGTAACGGTTAGGGTTTTCTTTTCCAGAGGTCAGTGAGATGTGTGTTGTTCATACTGTGCTTTCAGGTTTCTGTTTCATAATGGAGCGTCACAGCTCATATGTTCCATGCAGCTATGCAGAAACACCTCTGCTGCTGAATGAGGTGAGAAACCTGTGGGGATTTAACTCTGGGTGTCTGTGGTCTTGATGACATTTTTACATAACTATCACACCGAGCATTCAATCAGTCTACATTTGTGCATGTAGCTCGAGCCTGGTGAGTCATACAACAATAATGACACACCACTGCACAGGTTTGATTAAGAACTTTGACAGCCAGAGCAACATGAAGAATATAAATCTACTACAAAGTGGAAGCTATCCATGGCCTACATCAGTGCTGTTAAGCCTCTGCTGGAGTGCCAAGCCCCTCAGGTCTTGTGAGCAGAGCCTGCTGGCTATTTCGAGGTCTAACCTAAAAACTGGAAGGTGAATAGGATTGCAGTTCAGTTTTTTTGGCCATAAAACAATGTAACAATCTCTCCATAGCTGTTGAACTTTCCCAACTAAACCTACTTATTTCACCTGAAGTAATAACATTGAAAGCACCTAGTTTTTTTCTTTGGGTACTTAAGTATTTGGTCTTTATTTTTGAAGTTCAGTGCCACACTTAACCAGACAAAACGCATGTTTATTCCTTTAAATGTTCAGTAAGTAGTATTTGGCAGCATTCAACTAGAAAGACTTGGTAGGAAAGTCTAGGAGTAGGAATCACTAGCGGCCCCATGACACGAAATCATCACAATACTTGGGCCACGATACGATATTATTGCAATTCATAACTTTTTGCAATACAGTCAGTTTTGCAATACTATATATTGTAAATTATAATTTTTTTCAACTGTTTAGCTGATTTAGCATTTGTCTTTCCTTTACGTTTGTCTTATTTACGCTGTATTTTATTTTGATGTAGCACATCTTGCAAACCTTATATATGATGCACTAACTTTCTCCTGCTCTATGATGTAACCTCTGCAAACCTCACTGACAAACAGTTGATTTAATTCTTCCATTATTATAGATTTGACTTCACAATAGTAATTAATTTGAGAAATCGATACTTGGTAAATGAGACGATACGATATATCACCAGACAAATTATCATGATACTATGCTGTATCGATTTTTTCTTCCACCCCGAGTAGAGTCATGATACTTTCCCTGTTGCAGCTTAAAAAGAAAGAGTTACATCCAACAAAAGGCACTTTGTGTGTTTGTCATCACTGATTTTCTGAATGGTGGACAGGAAGACCTTTTTTAATCATTTTTTAAATAATTATCTATTTGAGATTTTTCTGTTTTTGCACTTAAATGTCGACTTTCTATGACGATGTCTTTATTTTCAAAAAGCAGCTCTCAGTATTATCTTTTGTGTGTGTTACGTAGTAATTTGCATTGATAAATTTCATAAGCACAGCCTTGGGAGACAGCAACAAGACAGATAACCAAATTCAAACGAAACTCTGTCAGGCTCTGTGGTTTTTCTGTTTCCTCTATTTGTGTTTAATCAGTGCCGGGGCACGCCTGGCTGCCTCCACACAGACCACTGCTGTGCGTAACCCCATGGAGAAGAATACCCTTTGGAGAAAAAAAGTTTTTCCTGGAGGGGATTTCACAATAGCTTCTAAACAAAACTCTGATCATATGCCTAGCGGGCTGGCAAAAGATGATTTCAAAAAGGCAGAATGATCTTTGGATATCAAACATTAGCACACACAAAAGTGGACTCAAGAGAGGGGATGTTTTAGGGCATGGGACATTCCATTGTGGATTAGAGGGGCAGCACATAAAAGCAGTGGGTAAGGGGGGGGACACCGGCCAAAGTAGGGTTGGGACTGCCGACAGATGAGAGAAACGCGGCCACAATGCAGTTCAGTGAGGCTTTTGTGTGAAATCAGGGTCAAAACCAGGGAGTGGAACCAGTAAGTGGTGGTTAGCGTGATCTCTGGAATCAAATCCCCAGAACTGGCAATGCCTACAGGACACATCATTTAGACCTCTTATTATTCATTCAGAAATGTATAGTAGTACCTGCACAGTGCTTGAATAGAGGTGGGTCAAAATTAGAGTTTATCAACCTTCTTCTCCTAATCCTATCTTGCATGATAACCTGGATCTAAAAACCATGTCTCATCCAAGAAATGGTAGTGGTGGCCCCTTGAATTCAAATCATGAAAGAGCAAGTGGTGGGTCTTCAAAGCGGAACATCTTTGATTTGACTTAAAATGACAGAGCATATGTTTGCCCTTTAAACAAGACTAGGAGTCGACAGCCTAGCTTTTTAAAATTCAACATTACATGCCATCTCACATAACATTATGATGACAGTAGTCACACAACACACAATGCAGTGTGTGTGTCTGAACGCTGTCACTATCATATCCTGGAATAATTCGGGAGGAAAAATTTGCATGCTAAGCATACAAGCGCCAGCTGATCATGCATGCAAATACCTCATGAATACCTTCCTGCTGTCTCTTGATAGGTTGCCAGGATGTTTGCAAAGCGGTACAGGATAATACACATGAATGGCCTGCTTAAAACCCTCGATTTTAAAGTCTATCGTTTATATGAAAGTACTAAATCCTGTATTTGTAATAAAGCAGATAGAGTAATAATGTTGTATGTTGGCTAGGGGAACACAACAAGAAGACAAATTTTATACATAAAACTTGTAGAAGCACAAAGAAGGACAAAGAAACCAAATGCTTGTCTTATTTATGAATGTTCTTTTGAATTGGCAGCGGTTGATGGCTGTTTTTCTTTTAACCACACTACTTGTGTTACTGCTGTGGTCCACAGTAAATTACACTAATCTAAGCCACTCTGGCGTGGTGGTTATTCAGACCACTTTTATCTTCAGAAACACAAGGACATATCAAGGCAGAGCGTATTCAAATACAAGAAGTGCACATAATCGAGTCTCATATAAGAAGAGTGGACTATTTGCTACCTCAGCCGTGAGACAATCAGCACTTGAACAGCTGCCTTTAGACCTTCAAAGATCAGCCCTGACTTTCCCACAGATCACTGAGTTAAGCCAATGAATGCAAAATCCCCTGAAAGGTTATATGAATTATGTAACATTCTCCAAATTCTGACGATAAGTCACTCTGCTCCCGTCTTACCTGTTGTAAATGTGAAAGGAAAACTCTCCTTCTCTCTGATCATTAAAAAAAAAACCAACAGAAATCTAAGAGGAGTTTCCCGTACGCGCACAAATTAGCTCCTGCGGCTTGGAAACCAGATGTTTGAAGGCCAAACACAAAGTCGGACTCACGAGTACTTAAGCTGCACAATCTGGTTAAAACAGTCCAAGAAACCTTATATAGGACAGAACATCCAACATCCACTCCTTGAAGGTGAAGCAGTGTAAATCCACCAGATACCGCAGAGACTTGAGTGACATTTAAACAGACCACACCTTTAAGATAAATTCACTTTCAGTGTCATGTAAATGTGTCACCTTTAGCTCGACCTTGTAAAGCAGCAGGTGACAATATGATTTGAATTAGACTATCGGGGCAACTTTCTGTCTTCAAACACAAGGTCATGGGCCGTTGACGGGAGGCCCCTAACTCATTGGAGTCCCTCTGACTCAGGACAATGCATTTTACTCTTAATCCTGCACTGTTCCCTGCCTGGGGATCCACAGATACTAACAGCCTTACAGAGGACAGATTGGGGGCAATAGAGGCACTTTGAAGTGGGCGCAGAGGGATTAGATAGCATTAGTAAAACAGCATCACTCTGTGTGTATGCTGAGGACCAACAGATTGAGACAGATGATACTATGCTGTATAAATTTTTTCTTCCACCCCTACTGTCCATAACAATATCATAAAAATGAATACTGACCAGTATATGAGTTGAAAGATATCTCATGCTTGCTCATAGGGGTGCATTTCACAGCAAACTTCTAATACTGTTCTAATTAAGTTACATCATGGTTTGTATCCACCCTTTTACAATTATTTGCAAACGGTGCGATCACTCACTGAAGCTCAATTTGATACTTGTAAACATTATGAAGGAGAGCCAACAGACAAGCACATCTGACAGGAAATGAAACTGATGTCATATTCACTCTTGAGACCAAACTCTGAGAGAACCAAAACCTTAAGCGTAAGAAAGCACTGAACCTGAGAATCGTGTGGATGAAGCTGTTAAATGAGAAAGTTCTCTCAAGAGAAAAGGATTGACAAATTATAATGGGCTGCTAGGAAACAAACTTGTCTGCCACTGCTCATTTAGGCCTTAACATTGCTGATTCGCAAGACTATTGATTAAACTTTAACCAATTTGAGTCATTTTTATGAGCTATTCACATCAATTTCTTGCTCGTAATGTTGAGGACTGTCACAAAATGTGCAGAGCCTGCAGCTAGAGGTGCAACAAATGGGTGGGGGTCATGGGTGGAGTGAGACAGACGCATGAGCCATTTCACAGGAGATTATCCCTAAACCACGGGATATGCAAATGATGAGGATGCGTGTTTGTCGTTTGACATATGGAGGACTGCCAGGCCTGACAGAATTCATTACAGCCAATATGCTACACAGACTTATCTCCAAATCCCGGCTCAAGCACACTCACCAATTGCAGGCGACTAACTAATCCCAGCATAGTTTTAATATGTTGGGGAATTAGCCAATTCCACTGTACTCAATGTTTGGAGCAGCTTGGTAGGAGACACATTCGATCCAGCAGTCCAGCAGCTACGTTTCCTTTAACACTAATGAGTTTCAAATGATATCCTAAACGACCAGACTTAGAAGTAGCTAAGTGCTGTCAGCCGGATGGATCCCAGCTGATTGAATAAAGTAGTTTTTTTGCAGGGAAGCTCTCAGAGGTTCAGCAGAAAATCAATAATAAATCATTCAGATTTATGGAGCTTTATATAGTTATACATAGAGCATGCATTTTCAAGAAGTCTGAAACGGGGCAATAAAAAAGCAAAGTGAGGCATCTCACCTGATCGGCACCGTAGGCAGCAGCAAACTCCATAAACTCCTCAATTCGTACAAATCCATCTCCATCTTGGTCTAAAGCATCGAACACAGCTTTAAGCGGAGAGGCATCTTCCTCCCTCGAGTTCACCGCTGAGACCATTGGCAGTGAGTCATCTCCCCCCATCTTAGAGAGGGAAATTGTCTCCATGGTTTGTTCTCTAGTCCATTCTGGCTCTGAAGATGGAGTGTGCAAGTCCTGATCTGGAAAATCCAAAGAAGCCACACCACAGTAGTCTTGTCCTTCCAGGTTGTTGGTGTCCGTTGACCGTTCCTGTTCTTTTGGCTCTGGTGTAAGACCAGGAATGCTCTCCTCCTGTACCCCCTCCTGGGGTTTCAAGTCCAAGGTTTCCTTATTGTGAACCTCATCAGCAGTTAAGCACAGATCCAAAGCCATTGCCTCATTCCCCTGAGTACAAATCTTGTCCTCCATCAAATCCTCGGACTCATTTTTCACCAATAAACTCTCACCTTTGAAATCACCTTGTGTGAAGGCATCTTCAGCCCAAGGCACAGTGAGTGTTGAATCTTCACCTGATGAACTTTTCGTAGATGAGTCATTCTCACCTGGCTGCTCTGAAGTCAGATCTCTAATTTCAGTAGTTTCCTTATGTTCCACCTGTAACTCCTCAGTTGAAAAACTTAAAGGCTCACCTGTGCAGACAACAGAGGGAGGACTGACGGGGCAAAGGCTCAGACTGCTTTCACAATCTGGCACCTCTAAATCCAACAAAGGCACAGATCCCTGTAAAGACTCCTGTAACGTGCTGATGTGGTCATGAGGGGGGGAGTTCTCTGGTAAATCTTGCAGAGTGGTGCTACAGGCTACAGGCAGATCAGTCACTTGATCAGGGCATAAACCTTTGTCTCCAGTTTCAGGTGACAAAGTCTCTCTGCTCTGCAAGGGAGGGGGACCTGCCTGCTCCTCTTGTAACAGGTCTATCAGCTCTTCACTGACACCCCGTGGGTTCAACTCACCTGAGGACTCTAAGGGGGGACAGGAGAATTCATTAGAGAAAAGGTCTACCAACAAAAGAGGATCCCCCTTGTTTATGCTGGAAGTCTTTGATGGGGGAACCAGATCTTCATGTGTAAGACTCTGTTCCTTAGAAGTTTCTCCAACTACATTTGTGAGATTAGGAGAAAAAAGCCATTTTAAAGTTTCAGTGGGTCCAGTAGTTTTATCTGTAAAGGAAAACTCCTCTAAATGTGCACCGTGGAGAGAGGTTTGTGAAATAATGGACTTCTCTCCATCCAACTGAAAAGCTCCACAAGAAAAATCTGCGATATTTATCAGGTTGTCCAACTCCAGTGGCTTCTCTTCTTCATTTGGCTTAGATGTCTGATCCTGGACATCATCTCGGAAATCCAAACCTGCCTGACCACTCTTGTTTGGGCAGAGCACATCTCCATTGTCTGAACTATCCAGCCTGTTAAATCCAAGAGGAAATGGCTGTTCTGACTCCCACTGTGTGTGCCCCAGAGGGCCAGACACAACTGTTGGTTCCATTGAAACTGGTTGTTCCACTTTGCAGGCTTGAGAAAGCTGGTGAAATTTTATCTCACAGCTGTTGTCAAAATGTAGTTACTCAGTTTTAATGCCATGTTTTTAGCTGGCACTGTACGTCCTTGATGAAGACTTGACATGAGTATGTGGACTCCCCACAAGCATTTTCTACCTCTGACACCTATAACATATTAGCATATCTTGTTAATTTTATCATAATTTTGGAGACAAATGGTTTTTAGATAGTATATCAATATAAAATCGAACAGACAACTGAAAATAAACAGTTTTCTAGTTGAAACTTTATTTGCTACCTTTCATTTTTCGACAAAAATGTTACCTTAACCCAAAATTCATATTAATATTCTAGCCTACCTGACATAGATGTTAATTTAAAGGTGTTTTCACTCAGTAAGCCTGGTTTTGTAACGACAGGTCCACTCCTAGTTGTTGCCAATACATTCAACATCCTCTTGTTTAGTCTGAAAGCTTAAAAATCACCGGAACCGACCCGAGACTCAACAGGCATTAACGACTGACAAGAACCGCACGTGAGCGACTTTTAAACGGCAAAAATGATCGCGTTATGTCACGGGTGTTTGTCAACATTAGCTTTCTTAGCCGATTATCTGATCTGATCCATAGCAAGCAGATTTGTACATGGACCAAAAGAAAGCAGCGAGGAAGCGATGTAGTTAACGACCCTTAAACCCTAGTTTAAACGTTAAACCTCTCATTACGACGCGGTTTGCTAAATATAACACCGGTTGTCAAACCCTCCTAATGATTTTATGCTAGCAGCTAACTCCTCCTCTGAGCATCCCGGGGAATCTGCTCACTGACCAGCTAGCGAAATTAGCCTATTAGCTTGCTAACACGCCAAACAGCGCAGCCTCTTCCTCCTTAAATTGAATTAAACCAGACAAAACCTACGATGTTGAACTGTCTACGTAGTGACTCCTTAAATCGCTGCGTCTGAGAAAGTCCAAGATTACGTCTTCATTCCGATGCCGTTTTCCAGCAGAAATCCACCTGTGTCACTAACAAGCCAGGCCAGACGAGTGACGAGACGAAACCCGTCCTATCCTCCTTAAAATCCTTTAATTCATGCTTCAAAAACACATCCGCCACGGCGTCCCTCATCGGAGCCCACGACCAAACGACAGGGGGGACAAACAGCGTCAAAAAGCTTCATCATTTGACTGCCAGTCCGCCGATGTTGATCACAGACACCGAAAGCTCTCGCATCAGCATCAGCAGTGTCCCATCCTCCTCCTCCTCCGCCTCCACCTCCTCCTCCAGCCGCATACACACCACTGACGTTTCACGCAAGCGTACAAAACACCCCGCAGTATCATACGCTCTATAGCAGCCATCACTTGGTACCTCATGGTATGTTTGTGCTCAGAAAGACGGTTTATATTTAGGACTTATTTCGCATTCACCCTTTAGAGAGCGTCAGTATGTTTAAGTAGGCTCGTATCCATTCATACAGAAATTAAAAAACCAGGGCCAGTCAAAGAAACTGGACACTGACAGGGGTATCCTGCCTATTTACACTTCATGATACCGTTAGAACTGGATTAATTTCGGGTTGAAGGTCTCTTTAGTATAAAACAATTAATTAGCTGTTGAATCAAACGATACTCTACACATAACTTCAAGCAGAAGAAGGAGGATTTTAATTAGTAATAGTTGAATTGTTTGCAAAATTTGATGTTGTGGCGCCCCCGCCTGCCTTGCATTGGTATCTACTTACTCGTGGTTTGCCAGATGGAGTTTCTCCCTGAAATAAAGTCGTGTGTCCCAGGGAAAACAACATTTCGGATTAAGTCAAGTTTAAGCTTAAAGAATTTATTGCTGTGAACACAAAACAAAAAGGGAGAGAAAAATAAAATAAATAAAAATAAACAAGTGTTTTATTTAGCTGCTTTCCCTGATGTGAAGCCTAAATATTCTGTCTGGCTGTATTTTTTTTAAGTTAAAAAAAGGTTTAAATGCACAAAAATATACTTTCTATATGTAGTATCTCTCTCATATATGTAGTCACTTCAACTTTTCAAAAATCATGTCTTATTTGTAATTATTCTGAACTTCAGAGTGTCAAAATATCATGTGGTGCGACCAATAATAACATTAGTTGTATTGAATACAAACTAAAATATCTAATTTCTGTAACTGAAACATTTTAATACCTGATACAATATGCTTAAGTGAAAGGTAGTTTTAAACATTTTTATTAGTACTATACAATTTAAAGAAAAAATTAGTCAGTTAACTACATTTAATTTAGTGACTGTGACATTATAGAGGGAAAATGTGAGATCATTATTTACAAAAACTCAAATGAAATGCAAACATTTTGTTTCTATCTACTTGATATTACTGACAATTTGTAACAAAAATATTAAGTATGTTGAAAAAATGTAATAATTTTAAGATAAATTATGGTCGCACCACAATACATTTTTTAAGGCCACAGGCAATTCATCTTTATGAAAAAACACTAAAATTGCATAATTAAAAAATATAACATTAATTTTTGTATACACAACATCCTTAGTGTTTGAACTTTTGCAAAATAAATTCTTATTTTTGCTATTTTAAAATTGTCATCTTTAAAAACCCTATACTTCATTGACCCATGTGTGTCCTTCCGTGAAATAGTCACCTCTTTCCAACAGAAACAATTCATAGGAGTTTTGCCAACAAACTAGTCGACTAGTCAAAGAGTCAATACCACAGGGGACAGGGCTGACCTTGGCTCTGACATGTGGCTAAAGGTGTGTTATGTTTTAAAAAAGATGATTTTTTTCCCTTCTTTTTGTTTCGTAGATAGGATGCAATTTTTGATAGTTTGGCATCTCACTGAAGAATGCTTGAAATTTTTTTACAGAATACAATTTTCTCGTGCACTAGAACCATTCTTTCTATTTTACTTGAACAACTTGTGAATAAGTAAACTATTATTTAGAAGCTAGTAAAAATAAGTAGTCGCAAAACCCCAAATCCGTAGTCAGAAAAAGGCAAATGACTGAAAAATAAATGCAGTCAGTGGTTAAGAAACCATATGTATTTGGCTGTAATATACACATTTTATCTAAATATGAGAGGATCTGAAAAATCACACTGAATGGCATTTGAAAAACATGACTGTACATGAAATACATGATAATACACAGAGCTGTAATGGTTGGAATACAAACCCTATATTGATATAAATTTAATGCATTGCTTTGAGTGTAAAAACATACATTATAATGCAGTAAGGTGTTAGGTAATGAACTGTACATGTAGTGTATTATTACTTCATATTCTTTTGTTTCCAGAATTTACTTGTCTCTTTTCTTTTCAGCTGACCAATAACCTGAAAGAAAATAAAAGAAACACATGAATTACTATGGTTTATTTTGTTCCCCTGACATTCAAACAGTCAGATTAACTTTAACTGTACAGCTTAGAGAAGAGATAATGCAACAATGGACCTCAAACTGGACCTCCTCCTACACACCTTGGTCAGGAGGAGGACAGGAGAGCCCCTGTTCAGAGTTTAGATTTAGAGGAGGCAATACCCAACAGCATGGAGACGTCATTGGCTGAGGTCAGCCATGACCCGCCATCAGCTACCAGGATGGCTCCAGTCACGTAGGAGGAGGCTCTGCTGACCAAGAAAAGGACGCAGTGGGCCATCTCTGTCTTATTGCCTGCTCGCTGCAAAGGAATGGACTGGAAAGCACCAGCAGCTTCCCCTCTGGGACCACCTTAGAAAAGGAAAACAACAACATTTCTCTAGAGATAGTTTTGTATTTTGTTAATACCTTTAAGATATTACAAATCTGGTCTTCCACTTTTACTTAAAGCTCCTCTGAGGACTTTTTAACTGATCATGAAACAAGGTGAAATTTTAACTCAGTCCTCTTTGTGACCTACAAAAGCAAATGAGAGCACCAGGGTCAAGATTGGATATTAAAATAATGCTGAGTGAGCTTCGAAAGAAAAACACTTCTACATGTACTAATGTTAAAGGGAAGTGTTTCCCCAGCCTTCTTATAACTTTTACCCTACTGTTTCTCATGCTAATTCAACACTGTGCTGCACACACATTTTTTCCCCATTACTTCATGCTTACATATGCTGACATTGGCCCCGCTGTGCATTATCAAGCTAAAACATATTCCTTAGAAATACGATAATTTGTCAAATTAGTGTTCAAACTTACCCAGCCTACGGAAACCCTCAGTGCCAGAGATAGGACCTGGAGCCACAGTGTTGACTCTCACTCTACTGGGCCCCCACTCCACAGCAAGGTGTTTTGTCATTGCATCTAAGAATGGAAATAGACAAAAATGAATAGGAACATACTTTTTTTATTATTGGGACTACATTTAGAAAAAACAAAACAACAAACTCTTACCGTTTGCAGCCTTGGCGGAGCCAGCATGCACCTGGAGAGCCTGCCCCTTGTAACCAAGTGTTGCAGATATGTTGACTATGTTACCGCCGTGATTCTGCACAAGAAAAATGACAGAGACTCAAAATCAAAGCAATCAGAAAATAAGGCACAAGAAGACATAGCTTTTTCAAACAAAACATTAGGTAATTCTGTAATGTTTACTGTCCTCCAGTGGTAATAAGAGCAAACTGCAAATAATGAATGTTAATTAGACACACTGATGGATATTCAACATTTCATCATCAGTATTAGTTTTGTGACACGTTGTTAAAAGCATCATTCTTATGTAATAAAAGGATAAACGACAAAATGTACCTGGAACCACTTCTCATAAACCACTTTGCTAGTGTTGAATGTACCCATGGTGTCTATCTCCATTACTGTCTTGAAGGCGTTGAAGGAGAGTGAGGTTGCCGGGCAGAGAAAGTTTCCAGCAGCATCTGTTAAAAAACCACTCAGACTTAATCAAAGGCAAAATGTTGGATCTATGATGAAGACTTAAAGAGTCTGAAAAAGCATCACAAAGCCTACAAATGAATTCATAATCTGCATGAAATCTGATAACTACAGTAATGATGTTGTAATTATGCAACAGTCTCGAAAACAGACTTGGGTGCAAAGATAAAAGATAAAAAACAATGCTGTAGTTAAAAATTAAACCAAAACCAATCACACATGACCTTTGTTTTTAAGTGCATTTGTGCGTATTCACCTGCCAAAGGTACATACATGCATACATGCATACATGACAATGTTAGTTGGATGTCTCGTGTAATAAAACAGTTTAAAAGTGAAAGACTGTGCTCATCTTAGCTCCACTCAAAAACTTAGCAAAGATGAGCACAAACACATGTTAAATAGGCTTGTTTTTAATTGGACACATACTGTTGATAAGTATGTCTATGCGGCCCAGCTCTTTCAGCGTCTCCTCTACAGCTGCTGTAATGCTCTCAGGCTGTCTCACATCTATACACAAAGGAAGGCAACGGCGTCCTGTTGCAACAGATAGCTTATTCGCTGCCTAGGAAGGACAAAAAACATTGTAAATAATGCAGAAATATTGTGTTTGTTATGTAAGGGCTGACTGTAAATATGACAGATTATGAGAAAAACAACCTCTTTCAGCTTGTCTAAATTCCTGCTTGCAATCACTGTGTCACAGCCATGTCTGAAAGAAAGGAGTAAGAAAAATGTTAGTAAATACAACTCTTGTTTAAATAAGAATGATAGGGATACAGAGAGAGTCATTTGTGATGAAAATCACAGAGCAGAGGAGCAGAAATAAGAGAAAGTGAACAAGGGGTTTCACATTTTAAGATAACTATGGGGAATTGACTGCAAAATTGGATTTAAAAAAATGCCAAATTAGTAAATTATTGAACTTTTTCAACTTTGTCACCCAAGCAATGTGATGAAAGTGACTGTGAGATAACACAAGAGAGTTTAAAGTTCACCTCCATACTATCTCTCTTGCAAATATAGCACTAACATTGTGATAACATAGCACTGAGTTCTGTATTTTACAGATATATCATTTAAAAATGTATTTAATAATGATGTCTGTGAATGTAAGACTGGAATAACTATGACAGCAGGTCATACTCTCACCTCATAAGGATTTCAGTTATCCTGAGTCCAATCCCAGATCCACCGCCTGTGACAAAAGCAACCTGATCTCTGAAAATAAGATGCAAACCGTCAAAGTTTACCTCATGGTAGCGACTTTGCCAACTAGCATGGCAACAGTTAAGCAATACAATCACAACAGGACATGGGAGAGTCAGAAACTTTCATGCCTACTTCAGTAAATCTGGACTGTAGGTGTACGTGTAGGAAGATAGGCAGTCATCTGAACCAACATCTTCAGGCAGCAGCTCTCCTTTTTGCTTCAGTTCGGACATGCTGACATAAAACATGTGTCAAAGAAATGCAACACCTGTGATCACAACTAAATGAATGACTGGCACAGTTGTAAATAATAAAACAATAAGTCTTCCAACATTAAAGACCACTCTGTCAAAGTGACGAAGTTGGTCATATTGTTTCTGTCAGGTATATTTGTTATTTTAAACCAACTTAAAGGTAGTTTTTCTGACTCAGAGTCTGACTGTTGATACCTGCCAACATTTGAACACATCAAACTGGAGAGATAATATGATTTTGCATCAGCTACAAGAGTAAAACCTTTGTATTGGCACATTCAGACACATTAGCTATAGGCATGAAAAACGCTATCAACATTAAAGCCCTACGCTGAAACTTATTCATAACGAAATGATTTGCCCCTGAACGCCTCACATAGTTCATTCTGGGCCTGAACACGTAGCGTACTTCTATCATGCTGCAGGCGAAAAGTTACTGTGGGCTGTTACTCATATTTTAGTCCATCAGTGCCAACATATTCCAAGTACAACACAGTTATCCGCAGATAATGGAGTATCCACAGGAAATATGGAGTGGACTTCAAGCAGCTGTTGTATTACCTGCTGACAGAAACGAGCTAGTTCTCTAGTGCGGTGAGTATCCTCTTTGCAGAATCTCGACCAACAAGATAAGCTCTTCTCCAAGTCTGTTGAAAGGTACTTCAACCTCAGCTACACAGCTTTTTTCTTCTCTCTCTATGCGTGAACTTGTACTTTGGACAAGTTTTTCGCCCTCAGTGATGCCTTATGGGCCATGTAGTGCAATCCGTGCGGGGTGTGTTCAAGAGCACAAATATCTCACAGGTCGAACCTATACTCGGTTGTATTGACAGAATTCGACTGTAAATTAAGTCTGTACAAAATTGCAATAAACCCGTGAAGAAATTGAAGACTGTAGAGGCCTAGACAATTTTTTTTCCCTTTCCTCCATCTTTCTTTTTTGCCAAAACGGAAACTTTACAGGGCGCCATAGCTCAAGGGAGTTTCGGGTTTGGAGAGCAAAGGGAAATCCAGTTTGCTTATCTCCTATTACTTTCATCCTCTAGGATGGCACCAGTAAGGGTCTCCACCCGTAAACCAACACTGAACTAAACGATCCAGGGTTTACAGTTTCAGGGCTGATGCAGATGGGGGTGCATTAGTGCAGAGAGTGGTCCTTATCGATCTGAACTTTGGGATTTACTGAGTTGGAAAATGCCCTGTGCAATGGATCTCTCTCATACTTATGGGATGGGCTTTCCTCCTCACACTGAGAGGTCTGATGAGATGAGAAATATGAGAGTAGCGCTTTAGTAATTTGATTTGTTTCCCAAGAAGCATGTGTACACAAGTGCAAAAACAGACATGTACACCAAAGTTAACCAAATACGTCTGTGCAAAAGCCCTGCTATACTACTTTCATTTTATACACTTTCATTTTAATGTCTTTCGTCAGCTATTTTTCAACTCTTAATTTTGATTAAAAAAACTTTATGAAAAAAAAAAAAAAGTCTTAGTGATAAGTCATAGTGGAATATGACTTAAGTGTTACTTTAAACATGTTTGCCGTCACATAAAATGCGAAGAAATAAATGAAAACAACCCTTAATACCCTCTGTGATAAAAAAAAAGACCTCCAAATAACCATTGGGGTGACTAAAAAGGAAAACAAAGTTTACAAGTTCCTTAGTATTATTTATGTCAGCCTCACCCCGCTGTACTTTGGGTGGAGAAATCAATTTCTCCGGGTAGTGCACAATAAGTGCAAGTGCAACAAACCACCACTTAAGAAAAAGTCAGATGTCATGTTGCCTGGTGGGCATCGTTCTTCTACTTGCCCGTTGTGGCTTCCTGTGGTATTGTCCTCTCTCAAGGCCCCTTCTCATTTACTAGATTGTCACATTCCACTCCCACCTTGCCTAACATAAGGTGGAGGGGGCCTGGATTTTGCCCTTACATTTGATAAATCATTTTTAATGTCACTTTAACAACAAATGTCTCATATCACCCTGTGATCTAAAGTGCTCACCGCTGTGTTTTCGAGGATCTTGCAGTGGAATGAGGAACCATAGTCATGGTGAAGGTGGTCCTTGTGGTCTTCCTGAATAGTTGATGGTGTCTGCATGGACAGACTGAGGTGCCACAGTTTTTTCATGTCCCTTCTTCACCATCCATCCTCCATACAGCCTGTCCCTCTTCAGTGAGTCCTGATCAGAAACCTCCATGTTGATCCCCAGCTCTGTTAGTAGTGGTTGGGCCTCCCCTATGGAGCGAAAGGTCCTTGTCCCAGAGTCCAAAAAAAGTTTCAGCTGAGCTGGGTAAAGGCAATGTGCCTTAATGTCTCTCTTCTTCAGCACTTTGATCACCTCTCTGACTGCTTTTCTTTTCCTTTGGACTTCCACAGAGTAGTGATGATCAAAATACACATTCTGATCATGAAACTGGATGGTTCGCTGCTTCCAAGCCTGTTTTAGTATAGTTTGTTTTACCCTGTAGTCAGCAAAACATACGATAATTGATCGTGGTGGGGCATTAGCCCCTCTGAAAAAAAAAATATGTAAGCAGCCATTTAAACAATTCAGTGCCTTTATAAATCAATAAAGGTTCCCTCAACATACTGTTACTCATCTCATCTGTCGCAGTGATTACAACCTTTAGAAAGTACCACATTGAAATTGTCAGTCTGGTTTTTAGTGGTCTTGCTTACTTGAGGCATCAATTTTAATTTCCGTCTAACCAGTCAAAAACTCCTCACAGTAGCTTTAAAAAATCTCTGTTTAATGGACATTTTCAGTTTTCCCAGCTTTAGTGAGACAATCAATGGCTTCAACCCCTTAAAATCAGACAAAGTTAATCCTTAAATGCAACTGCATGCCCGTATCAGGGGCCAACAGTAATGTCACATCATCTTTGTAATGAGAAGTGAAAATTCCGCTTTCTGTACTTGCAGCCAGGTGGTGCTATCCGCCCGCATTTCCTGCTTCAATGTACAATGACGAACTTATTTGCAGTGCTCTGAATATCAATTGCTTTCTTTTTTTCTAAAGCATTTTTTTTTTTTGAGTGACCCTTTGTTTTTTATGATTTTGGTGTAACTGTATGAAAGGCAAGTGTCTATACCTGTGATTTAAGGCTAACATGTTACAGTTGTCGTGAAAACAATAACAGTTAGGTTTCCAAATGACATCCTTTTTTTTTTTTTTTTAAAGATATTTTTTTCCCCTGAGCCTTTTTCTGGTTTTAACTCTTAGTACTTTTTGAATATCAATATATTTTTGTTCTCCAAATTGTTGTATTTCACCATTTTGTACTATTTTTTCTGATTTTTTTGTGAGAATTCACACTTTGATCACCACAGTGTAACAGAGAAAAGAAACATGAGCTTGATTTTCATGTGTGAGGACACAAACAAAAGTCTTTAATAATTTGACTTCCTGTTCCGCTGAAAAAATTCTGTCTGTCTGCTCTTGTCTGGCTTTAAGCATCCTGATGCAGGAACCTAAAACCTTTTCCAAAATTGCCATCAAATGGACAGCAGCTCTCACAGACAGTTAACTGTTCCACTGAGCTTAGCTCATAAAGGTCCATGATCCTCTGCAGCGCCAGGGAGCAGAAGCAGACTTAAAGCCCCACAGCACTGACAGCTGCTCCTGCGCTCTGTCTCTGTATCTGTGCTGGGTCAGTCTGTGCTGTTTTGTTCTGGACCTCTGCAGGGGGCTTTGACTTGTCAGACTGTCCCCCTTCCTCTTCCAGACCCACCAGCCTGCTGCTGACCTCCCACAGCCTCCGGGCTACATCCTCATCCAGAGCCTGTGGAGCCGGTTCCTTTTCTGTCATCACATCATAGTACTGTCCAGTCACTCCCTCCATCTCCTCAGACACAGCCAGGTAGATGCTGGGCTGAGCCCCCAGCTCTGGGCTCTTTACCAACATGGAGAAGAAGGGGCCTAGAGGGGGTGAAGTGAACAGATTTATAAGTATTAGGTATGACAGCTGTTTTGATTGGCTAGAGTTAAAAGCAATTCAAGATATCCAGGATCCATGCTGTTTCGTTTTGTTCATGATGAAAGGAAATATTAACAATGGCAGGAGATTGATTGTATTTTTTCATATTCAGATGTTGCAGATTTCTAAGATCGTATTCAGATGACAGGATTTCATTACTCACCTTCGAACAAAAATCTAAATCTGGAATGAAAAACCTGTTTCAGTGACTTCATTGATTGCAGTGTGAAACTTTATTTTCACATTTTAAAGGCCTGATGTAAACTGTAATTTGATTGAAGAGTTACAATAACAAATGTAACTCAGAGCTCATACAAACTTTACCAATGAATGTCATCACTTCTCCACAACTTTGTGGCAATTTTTCATGACAAAACATTTTCTAAAATATCTGTGTTGACCAGAAAAATAAGAATTAAAAATCTGCAGTATAAATTGATGAGAAGAAGTGCGATTTGAAGCAAAATTGGTATTTCAGTAACACTGATAAACCAGTAAAATTTTTAGAGAATGACCATATATCTTCCTCTACTGTACAGGTAATTGTAAGGCAAATTTCTATACTTTCCCAAAACTCTCTGGCTTTATTTAAAAGAAAAAAATACATGGCTATTTTTAAAATTGATCATTTTTAAGTATTTTAATGACTGCATGAGCCATAAATGTTTTTTTTTTTTGTTGTTGTTGTTGTTTTTCCAGGGAGTTGTGACTTGTGCAGGTGGAAGTTCGTTGCAGAATTCTCTAGATTCTTTTATTAACTCTTATCAGTTGAGATATCATATGTTGTAAAATATTCCAGACATTAACTATGTCTTTTGAGGTGCTCTTAATTTAGGTTTATGGCCTCTTTACTCCACAAGAATACACCATATTTTCTGAAGGAAACTACAAAATAGTACATGAAATAGTTAAAATTAATCACTTTCATGCGCCATGGTGATTTATCATCCTCGCTCCCTATTTCAGATGCTGCTTTCTTCCTCTCTGCAGCAGGTGATCGGTACAGGTGATGTGGCACAGACGAGCTCAATCAGCAATCAGGGTGGTGTATAAAGTGCAGGAGAGGGAAAACTGCAGTCCAAGTGAAGCCTTTGGCTGAGTTCGGTGGATGGAGAGGTTTGAACTGCTGCAAACCCAAACAGAAACGAAGAGCTTGCTGCCTACTCACCCACATTCAACAGAAAACTTTTGCCCACTCATTATACATCATGAATAAAAATGCTTTCAATGAATACCTTTACTTTTGATACTTCAAAGGCCCTGAGAGGATTTCTTGACGAGTTATAAAACAGACTGAAATAAAAACAGTGATGCCTCATTACAGCTTTCAAAAGCAAACAAAACCATGTACAACAAGACTGACGGAGTTTGAGCACAGCTGGCTGAGTAGTATAGGCTTGCCCCATATACACAGGAGGCCGGGGATTCGATTCCCTGTGGATGTCACTCCTTGCTCTCTCTTGTTTCCTGCTCTGTCCTCTGTCAATTTAGGCCAACAAACCCACTGTTAAATCTTTAAAATTAAGACTGGCAACATTAAAATTGTATTTTTTCAAAGCTTGCAGCCACAAGCAAGAAGAGATAATTTACATGAGCCTGAAGAAACAGACTTCTTTTGCTTTTCCACAGCAAACATTCACAGAGGATAATATACATTACTGTGAAAAGACAGCAGGATGAGATTTTTTGTGCTTTGTGAGGTGCAGCTGGCCCAGGCGTCTACACAAGCTGTATGTGCAGGGGTTATGAACCTCACACACACAGTCTGGATTCAAGCCTCCTTTCCTGCATGTCACTCTCCCCCTGATTCCTTCTCTATTCATTGTCCTGTCCTCCAAAAAGTAAAGGCAAAAATCCCACAGGAGCTTTTAAATAATAATAATACATGCTACCTAATTAGATTAACATTGTTATCCTGTATATGTATGTTGCAGAATAACACACAATAATGTTTTAATTTTGAGACATTTTAAGGATGAAATTCACTCATAGGCTGGCATTTTCATTTGACCTCAAACATCAAGTAGTTGCTTTGCTATGATTGCTCTGTTCCTCTCTGCTGTACCTCCCTTGCCTGAGAGAGGTCCATTTAGCCTTTTTAATTTTAATGGAGGTGCAATGGGAGAAAGTGAAGTGGACAAGAATGAATAGGTTGCTCTCAATGTGGACCAAAAATGAACAATCTGAGAGGTAAAGAGGCAAGTGTGGAGCTAAAATGATGGTATTCTGTACTGGGCTGTCCTCATATGGACAGATCATGGCTCTTCAAATGTGTCTGCACTGATCACACACAGATCTACAGTATGAAACCTCTATTTGGGAGTCACATTTACTGCTAATGTTATTCACAGCATGTGGAGATGTAGCTTATATCTGATGTAGTTTACGTTTATTATGATACAGATGTAAGTGTTTTATGACTATAAGAGGAGAAGAGCTGATACAAAGCTGATCCATCTGTTTTTCACGCTCTGCTTTGCTTTCTGTCCTTTCTGCTTAAACACCACCTCCCTCCCTCTCTTCTTTTCACATATGGCATTTAGGAGCAGGTAACTTCTTTATTCCTCATTATTGTCCTCTCTTCTACACTTGCGGTCAAATTAAAAAGGTTAAATGGACACTGCAGGGCAAGGAGAAGAACAGAACAACCATAGTGAAGGAACTACTTTAGGTCACAGGGTGAAAAAAATGGCTGTTCTAGTGTGAATTTACTCCTAAATTTGTCAAAATGAAGAAATCAGTTGTGTATTTTTATAACATTATTATACATAACAACATGTCAATCCAGTAAGGTCAAGCATGTGGGGGTGCCTTCTGAGTTCCTTTTCCTAAAAACACTGAAGATACTTACACACTATCTCCGAAGTGTTTGATACGAAAGTACCTTTACAATCTTATTTTGGTTGAGGTTTAAAATAGTTACCATAAACACCAGGAGGACTAACTTCAGTCAAACACTGGAGTGAGGAAGTTGTAGTAGTAAAATTATAGAGTTTATATTCAGTTACAGGAGCGTCGGTCAGCTGCAGTTTAGGCTTGTGTGTTCAGAAAAAAAAGTTAAGAATGGAATATTTAATATTAGCATCCACTAATATTAGCGCATGCATTGGATAATCATTCATTGATTTGAGAGTCAAATAAGGAAGCAGGTTACTCACTGAGCACAGAGCTTGAGAACTGTGATTGGTGCAGACCTGTGTGCCTCCCAAGCTCCGTGGCAACAACGCCTGGGTGTATAGCATTCACTGTAACTCCTGTGCCTGTTTTACACACACACATACACACACACACCTTTAAAAATACATACCCAATGACCAATTACAAACAAGAACATAGGGCGTGCTCCCTCCCACACATGCCCACATATTCAGCAGCCAGAAGACTTGCCTTGTAATCGCTTGGCGAGCTCTCTAGTGAACAGAACGTTGGCAAGCTTGCTCTGACAGTACGCCCGCTTAGTATCAAACTTCTTCTTCTCCCAGTTCAAGTCCTTAAAGTCAATCTCTCCAACGATGTGGGCGAGCGAGGCCAGGTTGATCACTCTGCTGGGGGCGGACTCTTTCAACTTATCCAGCAGGAGATTTGTCAACAAGAAGTGGCCTGGAGTAAAAAAAAAAAAAAAAAAAAAAACAGGTAGTGATGGAAGTTAGGAGAATTTATTCCCTTGTAAAGAGAATTAAAATACTTTTCCTTACAGCGTCTGCAGACAGACTTCTGAAGAGTTTCTTTTTCTAACTTAAATTAAGGACATACCTAAGTGATTCACACCAAACTGCATGTCAAAGCCATCTTCTGTCTTCCACGCTGGACATCTCATGACCCCTGCATTGTTTATCAGGACATCCACTCGCTGCTCCTCTGCAAGACAATAAAATTATTATTTAAAAATCCAGCACTGGGTGTTGTTTATATCTTTGGATATAGTGATAGTTCCATGTGTTTGTTGCCTCACGTTCTTTTATTTTCTCTGCAAACTCTCTGATGGACTTCATGGATGCCAGATCAAGTCGACAAGCGTAAACATGAGGGTTCAGCGTCTTCCCTCGTATCTCCTTCGCAGCTGCCTCACACTTCTCCATGTCCCGACATCCCATAATAATCCGACCCCCTGATGATGTGGAAATGAGAAAAGGGATTGGCTTTAAAGAGCATCAAACTGCTAGAGATGTCTATATCGAGTGAGTCTGTATCACCAGATAAGAGTGACTTCATGTGTTCTTCACACCTCTCTGTGCCAGCTCTCGGGCAGTTGCCTTCCCAATGCCTGCGTTCGCTCCTGTTATAACTACAGTCTTCCCAGTTATCTTAGCCTTACTAGGACAGCGGCCTCCAGTCACATGGTTCCTATCAGAGAATAAAAAGCAAAGTTAAGATCCTAATTTAAGTGTTTCAATTAAGACACCTTACTTGTAAGCATTAAAGGAATCTCTCTCTATCTAGGCTTAACCTAACTTTTTATTTTGTGTCTACCTTGTCCAACCAACCTTCAACCCTTGAGCTCTCAAACCTCAAAATAACAATTATTCTGCCAGTGTTTATTCACAAGGAATTTAGCAGGATGCTAGAGAGCTAAAGGCACAAAGATGTAGCTCCTAAAAAGTACATTTCAACCTAAATGAAGCGCACACTTGCAGCTCCAGGCTCAAATAGCTCCAGGCTCAGTAGGTTAGTTGCATTTTTTTTTTTTTAACAGCAAATCAAAGTATAAACATATGCCTGAAATTTCCCTGCTGGTAATCATTGTTGAACAAGCTTAATGCTTGAGGAGGTTGTGAGGAACTCTGAACAAAATAATCGAGTCTTGAAACTACACAATGCAAATTTTAGTGCCTGGTTGGGTGAATAACAGTCATGTAGGGTCTCTGGTTGTGTTATATTGCATTGCCTGACCAATAGTGTCAAAAGTGGTTTTCAGACATTTACTCTTTAAGATCTGTATTCAAATGTGCGCATGTTTTCATAAAATTCAAGATTTATCAAGTTACCACACCCTAAGCTGATGGAGATATAAGATTCCTTGATGAGAGTGGTAATCTGCTGATAAACCCAGGACTTTCTATTTCAATTAAAAAACCACCATGACAAATGGAAAATAAACAAAAAATCCCTTTACACCAAATGTCTTAGCTGTGCATGAGAGAACAGGATATCACTTAGATATGTTGACAATATGGTTACTGAGCCCAACACGACTACGTTTGTGGAGTATAAACAACGACTACAAAACACAATAAAACTTTTCAGGAAACTTAATGGTTTTATATAGCAGAAGCAGAAATGTGGCTATAATATTTTTAAACAAGATAATTAATAATCATTACTATGTTCAGCACTAATGTCTGAATTCAACAGCCTATTGAAATCAGCAACTGACTCAATCTCTGTGACTGAACAATATGACAGTTACATCATGTCACAGACACACATCATAGTTACTCACTTCAGTAAAACAGCGCATCCAAACACTGTCCCGAAAACAGAGACTGGTAAAATATATTTGCTCATTACTCCTAAATACTGACGGCGACACAGTGGAGAATTAAACCTTTAAACACAGTTTCTCACAGCTGGCTTGACAGCATTACTGCAACACAAGGTTATGTGCGCGTGTTGATGGCGTCATTGCCTGTTACCAAAGTTCAATGGCATTATGGGAAATGAAGTTTTGATTTTAAGTATGAGCCATAGACAGTATATAGATCGTATATATATAGTACAGTCTCTGGTATTAGCTAAGTGGTCTCTAATGCAGACGTTTTTTGTACTTTTTTTTGATAGGATATTGTGGGTGGACACTGATAAAAGAAAATTAAGTAACATGGTCGTTTACTTTAAGAGTTTTTTAAACATCAGTCCAATCACATTTGATGAGCGAATTGACTTTTGAAACATATGTAATGGAATTTGATTTAATCATATTAAAAAATTATAATTTTTCTTAATTTATCAGACAAATATTTTGGAATTACAAGATATTTTTTTCTGGCTCTCTTTTTCTGAATTTATGTGGAAATTATCTTGCAAAGTCTTAAAACTGAGCAACATTTTTATATTTATAAAATTTCCTCAAAATTTTGAGATAAATATCTAATTATTCAGGGAAACAGAGAGGATTTTTTTCCTCCTTTTAAGGTGAAAACATAACAACAATACAACTTTGAATGGAAAAAATACAAACTACACAACGAAAAAATAGCTAAACCTAACCTGTATCTGCATTTATTACTTTTGGCTTGATAAGAAGAATCTAAGTGAGATGATCAATAAAATGAAGATGCAAAGAAAGGAAAATGAAATCAAAGTTACAATAAAGAAGTTATGCATGCTTTATATGGGGTATCTACAGTAGTATCTAAGTATTTATACCTTTTTTATGAAAAAGAAAAATGTGGAGAGATAAATTGTTTAATATTGAGCTGAGACTAAACAGAAAATTACTGTGTGTAATGTGTTTTATACAGAACTAAATGAGACACCGTAGTGTGAGAGTCTGACCAATGAATGCAGGTGTGAGGGTGTGATACTCTCCTTAACAGTGGCAGCATATCTCTCACTTCAATTAACTTTTATTTTTATGGCAATCTTTCTGCACACATTCTCTGAAGTACCGGCTGTTCAAGACAAATGTATTTAATTCAAAGTATTCAGAGAAAATACTGCTACATGTGGGTTACGTAATCAATTTCACCTATAGACAGAGCATAGCTGAGATTTATGTGTGCATTTGCCAGGACTCACTGTTCCCATATCTCCTTTACTTTTCTTTAACATATTCATACATTATGCCACAGTGTATGATTGCTAAAGCAGGCTTTTATGGCTGTCATTTGGAATGAGGATTTCATTTCATTTCCAAAAACAGAAGGGCAAAATTTCTTTCCCCCAGTTACACTCTTGAAGGATGTTTTCTTTTTTTAAAATTGACCTTCTGTCATTGATTTTATTCCTACCCAACCTTTAAACTGTGAATCAAATGAAAGATTAATCAACAAATTCTGTCTTCATATAGAAAAAAAACAAGAGACAAGCCCTCAGCTGCCATGTGTCAAAACCCCTCACTGCAGTTTGTAACACATCCAGGCCACAAAGTAACAAAGTGAACCCAGCATGAAGATAAATCTGAGAACATTGTGAAAACAAGGCCACCTCCCCCATGCAACAAGATTCAGAAAACTTTAGGTGACACATAAAAAGTAAAAACTAGGACGTGAATCTGGTGTCTGAACACAGAGTGAGGAGGAGGAGGAGTAGAGGGAAGGTGCAGCCAAGCTCTATTTGTTCACAGCTCAGAGGTGCGTGTGTCCCCCTGGTGTGTTTGACCCTCAGTGCCCTCTGCTGTCGGCCTGCAGTGCTTGACCTTCACTATGATTAACGACAACTCTGTTCTCGTGGCAAACTAGAGGAAAGTTTCAGCTGCTTGTTTGGCTCGACTCTGAGACATTGGAAGCCTCATAGAGATGAAGAAGAAGCAGCAATTTAACATCCAAACTTACCAGGTCAGTTTGTTCTGAGGCAAAAATGAAAATCATCAATTATGAATAAAATCTAATTTCTTCTACTTCTACTTCACCTCAGTTCATTAAAAGCACTGTGAGGAGTTTTGAACTGGTTGACTGTGATACGGATGCTTCTTTATAACATTCAAAAGCTAATGAGACCATCAGCAACATAACAAAAATTGTTATCAGTTGTTATTTTTGATACCTGAAATGGCTGTGAGGGAGAAAGTGTCAGACTAGATGACTGATAGCAGGCTACATTAACAGCTTTAATTTGTCTTTTTCAGAGGCAAATATTTGCAGTGAGTGGTACATTTCACTGTTAAAGGACAACAGGGTAAGGTATTGGTCTGAAAATTCTACTTTTACACATACAAGGCAGGATATAAGAGGTATGACTTTGTCCTCTGGGGGCACCAAAACCAACACAGACCAAAAGTTGCTCTCCACGGCTTTAAATAGGCTGTAGCCCTGAGAAGTCCTCAGCATGTCTAGTTCCCTCTTTGCAAGCATAAATATGTGCTCCAGTTGTGCCGCCTCAGTGCAGAAAGGTCTGGATTGGCCCGGATGTTTCAGTCCTGCTCCTGGTCTTGAGAGATGACTTTCTAAGATGTCAATATTGAGAATCTCTCATTGTTAGTCAGAAATGATCCACAATAAAGTGCCAAGAGTGAAAGGTATTTGATTTTAATTCCTAGTATGAGTGGCTAAAAGGAAGAGTATGGATTCCTAAACTCAATTTTAAGCGCTTTGCAAACAGGAACATTTAAAAGAAGAAAAAAAAAGACTTATACAATGAAAATGAAGCAGATCAAGCTGGTTGGAGGCAACAAAAAACAACAAAACACTGACTTCATCTTTATTTATTAGCTTCCAGTCATTTCACCTTCACTCATGCTCTGATTATCTCATCGGATGATCAAGGGACTTCAGTGATGATGCATTCAAGGTCCCCCTGTTATGTCCACGCTGTTTTCTCAGTCCAATCTGCTCTTGTTGGCACTTAAGACTGGCACGAGTCCTGTGGTTAAACATGTACAGTAAAAGGGGTTCTGCCAGGGCCCGGAATTAATTGAAAGTCCTGCCTCGCTGTTACCTAATAAGGACAGTTGGCAAAGTCAGCGCGTGAAGGACTCGAGGCCATAAGCTGTTGAATTATGCAAGAGTGGAGCAGCTTGTTCCTTCAAAGCATGAATCAAAAGTTTGGGAAAAAAAATCACGGAGGTTGTGTGGTTACCGTATTTGTATGAGAGCATGCAGGCGCTAGGACCTGGGACACGTGCGCGTATTAGGTAGCCAGAGGGTGGAGACGGTGAACAATGAGGGAGCTGACTGGGAGAACCAGCACAGGAACAACATCTGAGACCAAACCTCCCCCCTCTTCCCCCCCTAACTCATCCCCCGAGTCCCGCTGGACAGACAGACGAAACACCTAGACGGGATTGACAGCGCGCAAGACGCGGAACTGGCGAGATATTTTGGAGATTCGTCCACGCGCGCCGCAGAGATTGAAGGTTTACTAAGCCCCCCGCGTGGATGTGAATGAATGGGTTCGCCTGTGTGTGTGTGTGGTACCGAAGTGGGTCATGCGGACCACTGGAGGAGCGAAAGATAAACACGCTGCACCCTCCTCCTCCTCCTCCTCCCGCTGCTGCTGCTGCTGCCTGGCAGGTTGAGATGGTGGGCGCTCAGAGGAGGGATCCCAGTCTGTGTCCTCATCCCAGCACCACTCAGCATCAGATGATGCTTTGATTTAATCCGCCTCCGAAAAAAGTCACTAACTGAAAAAAGCATCTCCAGACTCAAGGCTGGAACCATCCTCAGAAGAAGGCAAGAAAGCACAACGCAAAGACCTCATCCAAGCTCTGTCTGCCGTTTTTCCATCTCTCTCTGAAGAACCTGCACGGTTTTCCGAACACCTACTGTAACTGATCGATAATTCCCTTCAAAACGAGGAGATCCATCCATTACTTTCACAGCAAATCAAATCGGAACCGAGCAGAGCGCAGCGGCTCTGCGCGCCGAGCGGATGCAGGACCATGGAGGAGAGAGACAGGTCGCCAGCAGGTGAGTGAGTAACACCTAGATGCACCCTGAAACCAGGTCAGACTACATCAGATGTTGTCTGCAAAGAAAAAGGTCAAAAGTCTGTGTTTTCATGTTCAGATCTATATATCACAGCCTTGGAGATCTCGAGCCATAGCCTATGTGGAAAGCTTTTCCAAGACTTGATGCTCTGATTACAAGTGACTAAACTTTGACTCACTCTTTAGACAGTATCCATGAATTCATCATAAAGTCGTCCTTGAAAGCCTGCTGTGTAATAAAGCATAAATGTCAGCACTTATTATACAGAACCACAGCTTAAATTGCATTAGGATATGATTAACTCTAACTAGGTTTAATACTTGAGCTTTGATTTAATTTCTAATTTCACCCATATCAAATCACCATACCCACACCTTTATGTGTGTTTCCTCTCTGCATCTCTGATTCCGTATGATGGATGTGAGGGCATATGGGGCACTCCACTTCTAATGGTCCTCCTCCACTTCATCAAGAGTAGATAGGCAATATCTCATCCTTAATGCTGTCTAATGCATTTAAATGAGCAGCTGACTTGACAGAGGGAACCCTATAAATGCAAAGACCAGAGGCTGATAATGGGCCCTGCAGAAAATGCACATGAATTTGCCACCGCCACACACATTGTGTTGGTTAGAGGGAGCATGGCGTAATGGGAGGGCTATATTCTCTAAAGGGGGAGTTCACCCCGAAATACAACAAAACTAAGCAGCTGTATTTGTAGAGGCTATGTGCATTACTGGCCAAAATAGCATGAAAACCTTTCAAGGTAAGGACTGGATATACTTTCAAATGGCAGCAAAGTCTCTATTTTAACATAGCTGAACTGAAATGCACTTTGAAATCAAAGATGTGAATATGCATGCAATCTTCAAAAGAGTTAACACACGTTACATAATTATATTTGAAGCCAAACTTTCTTATCATTCTGCTAGAGAGAAAATGCCTAGAATGTGACCTACTGGACTGAAACATTATCCCAAATAGAAAAAGCTAGGGTAAAACTGTGGCTTCGTATAACTAGACAATGACTTAATCCAACATCTGGCTTATGTACTCATGCCAGCAGAATGCATCGCTCCCCCTCACACAGTCAAACAACACAAAGAAAAGCTGTTTGCAAACATGTCTGACTCAAATCATTGAATTACTGTTATAAAGGCAAATCCGGCCCAGCAGCTTGTCTTTTGTTAGAAAAATATGGCTGCTCAGAGGACAGACAGGACAGAAACATTGGGAGTTATAGGACACGTAGAGGACAAGAAGTCTTTTTTTTTTCACTCACTTGTTCAGGTTTCATAATGAAATATCTTTAGATTACATCCTAACCTGCTGCCATGTGAGTGAGAAAACAGCTGCCTAATGGATAGACCTGTCAATCATCATATATGCATGTGGGCGTATGTGATCATAGCTTATATTCAAGCGTATATTAAGCATCATTGGATTTAATGAATCTCATTACTGCGCTATATACTGTCAGTTTTCCCTGATACAGTTATTATTTCATCATTGAATTAATAAATAAGCGATTCATGTACAGTATGCGCTTGTTTTTAGTTGACTTCTATTTCGTATTTGACCCCCTATATTGCCTTTCCCCTGCAGCAAATGCCAATAACCAGTCATGCAATCATAGCATGGATTTGAATTTAAGACCAGGAGATAGAAAAAGAGAGGGAGAGAAAGGGAAAAGGGATAAAGAGAGGGATAGAGAGGGGGGTGAGTGGGGGGGGGTTAAATGCACCCTCAGCAATCAACATTAGTGCACTGATTGTGTTTAGAGGCTATTGTGTACAAGCCTGATCCCTGTGTGCTGTTGGTTTGCCTTAAAGTAGAGGACAAACATGAAAAAAAAACTGCCCTCCTTAGCACTGCTGTTACATCATTAAGCCACCCCTCTTTTAGACCCCATTTTCTGAGCTCATATTAGAGTCCCATTTCCTCATGCATTTGACATCAAAGGGATGCAGTCTATAGCATGTGGTACAAAGGGAGGGATGCTTCAATTCAGTCTCACTGGATTCCTCCAACCTCCCCTCTGTGATCACATGGAGGCTCCCTGTTAGAACTTGAGGCTACTGGATTGTAATAGTGTGGGGGTTAGGTACAGCACACTATGTTCCCTGGGTAGCTTATTGCAGTGATGTTTCACCGCTAAATGATGTTATTTTCAGGACATGATTAAAGTGGGGGTGATGATGACATGGCGCTCTATAGTTTTTCTAATCCCAAAGCCTTAATCCTGGATAACAATATTGATGGTTTCTGGGGTGGGATGTTTTGTTGTTGGTATTATACTACAGTGTTTTGTCCACTCGGAGTCCAATTAATTTGTTTTCCAATGAAAGACATTACGCTTTAGCCACAAGTGGATGCATCTTTGTACTAATTCTCACTCTCAGGCATTGTTTGGGTCCATTTGACCTTGGGTCTCCTCATCATGAGAATTAGGTCGTCTAAGTAGAAGGCCTTTCTAAGAATGAGAGTGTTTTAGTGTATCATCAAACAGTGGCCATTTTTCTTTGACTAGCAGGAAGATCAAATACTGCCAAATGTGCTGAGTTTTGATGTTTTAATTGGATAATACAAAGGATTGGACAAAATGTCATCCTTACAACTACTACAAATGAATATGAAAATACGAAGACATTTGGTCATTGTACAGGTTGGACACTTACAGTTTTGGTTAATCCATTAGCCACCTTTTTAAGATCACTAGTTTCAGAATTATCCTACTTAGCTATTGTAACCTAACTCTGTGACATTTAAGGCTGCTATTAAGTGGTTAATGCTGATATTTGTCAAATCTGTCTAATAGTAGGTCATCAAATATATTGTTTCAACTTCGAAGATGACTTAACACCTCTTTTGATTTGGATTTTTTTTTATTGTCATTTAGTCCCTTTTGATCAAATATCCTAAATGAATATACAAAAAAAAAAAAAAAAAAAAAAAAAAAAAAAAAAACGTAATAAGCTGGATAACAGCTGCATGGCATGAGAACTGCATTTTAGCCAATCTGCAACATATGAAGTGCTAAAAACTGCAGTTCTATGGATGTCCCATTGAGACTGGCTGCAAAAACACCAGATACCACATACACACTCATTTAGAAAAGCCAATTTTTAAACAAATTAAACACTTTATATCTTTGCTCAAAAAATGATTTTAGTCCAAACAGCTGATTTCTTTATCTGCTCACATTATTCTTGGGGGTTGATAATGCAGTTTTAATTTTAAAGCAATTTAGGTTACAAATTTTGCTTGATCGGAGGCACGGCTGATTTGACCGACAGGTGGGCACACTCTCGCTGTTATTTGGGGGCGAAAGGCCTGCTTTAACTCCACCTCTTGCTTCTTGCTAGGCCAACCAAGAGTGAGTATGAGTCAGCATTTGTGTCTATTGCTGCCAATAGGCTTCAAAACTCTTCTTCAGATACCAATAGGTGATGTATTTGTACATACTTTGATGTATTTAACATTGTATAGTTTTAGCTTCACATCTTGAGTGTAATACCATATGGAAATGGTGGGTCAGTATGGTCATTGGGATGTGTGACTGAAACAGAAAGAGAAATGATGATAAAAATAAGAGCGAATGCAAAGAAAGTCAAGGGACAGGTTACACAGGCTTCGGTCTCAGCAGGGTCTCAAGAACAGGTGATTTGTCAGAGGGAGCGTCCTCAGACCGGGCTGCTGATTCATGTATCACGGCACAGCTGGGAGTTTCTCTAGCCTCGAGTTGATGGAGGCACTACACCCACTACTTCACCAACTGATTTCTAAAGAAAGGTGATTCAGGCTTTGTGTGTGAGTGGGGAACAGAGTGTCCTGACTGCAACTGGCTGTCATGAAGAGGCTTATTTTAGTTTTGATTGAGCGTTGGACTTTTCAGAATTGCAGTGATTTTTCTTATTCCTCATACTAAAACAACAAAGAGAGGGACATAGAGAGACAAAAATACACAAAATCCATACGTGCTTCTGTGCAGGCAGTCTTTTTAATTTCAGACTGACAGTGAAAAAATCCACATCAGTCACATCTTATTTCACTCACTTTGACCTGCAGGCGGAGCATGTTGGGCATTTTGACAGTAAATTGGACACAAGAGATCAGTCTTCACCAGTAATGACTCTTCAGCCTAGAGCAAAGCAACTGGTCCATTAGTAACGGAGAGAGATAGAGATGCAAGGCAGGCTCAGCCGTCTATTTATTTCTTTCATTAGTCCCTAGTTTACATTTTCTGGAACTCACAGGAGACAAAGAGGAGAGGAGGGTAAAAGGGGGAAAACAGTGAGTGTGTAAAGCTGCCGACCCTGACCTCCTACTTACTCGAAGAGCATTGTGTATTTTGCTTTTTTGCCCAGATTTCATCTTTCCCTGGCTGCAGTAGAGCTCATCTCATGTTTGCAAATCTGTATTCATGTTAGATCCTCTCCTTTTTAAGGTCTTAATACAACAGTCAATGTAATGCCACAGTTCACTAAAACTGTATCACTCATGTAGCTTACCCTGGATGAGCCAATAATTTGCTGAATACTCAATTATGACAAAAAAAGTGACAATTTCTGAGCTCTGCTTCCTCTATTTATGAGTATTAACAATGCTTCTGCTCATCTTTCTGGAGTTGATAGAAAATTAGAGTTTGATTCATAAACCAAATTAAATGAACAAACAATAGTTTTGGCAGCACTATAGGAGGTCTAAGTTGGTGTTTGAAAAAAGAAATGTTTCGTTGTGTTTTATGTCTGTCATATGTCATGAGACAAAAGAAGACAGAGGTTTCTAAGGATTCATCTCAATTCCAATTTGCAGCTTTGTGTTTGGAGAAGAAAAGGTCACCTGTTCATTCGGTTTAATCTCATGTGTGACAGGTGGGGTCGACCACAACAGGTTCCAAGGCTGCTGATGTAAAAAAATATATGTTTTAGCTTTTTCTTCCAAGAACTACCTTTTTTTAAAGAGAGTTTGCTGAGAATGCACCAAGCCATGCATGTACGAGTAATTGCTAAATGGTGCAAGATTGTCAATCCGTATCTGAGGAGGAATTAATAGCTTGAAAACAGATTGTGCCTGTCTCACAAAAACCTTGTCTCTTCACATTTTGGGAGACAGAAGAGGTTGTTTTTGACATGGCTTTAAACTTTCAGGCACTTAGATGTCAGCAAATTGTTCAATGACAATTTTAAAACTTAGATAGCTAGTATTTAATGAGATTTAAAAAATGATGATATAATCAGAAGTGACAAAAACAGCATGAGGAATAAGTGAGCAGCACAGGGATTGTTTTTTTCCTAACTGGATTTGGGCTGTTTTTGTAAGATCATCGTCATCTGTATGTGAAGTGTTGGTGTTAACTTGTCTTTAAACACCTGAGAGGGTAGCAGAGGAGCAGAGGGCATCATGGGAGATCAGCAGGGCATGTGGCTGTAGTTGAACACGAATGCTGAGTCGTGCGGGGTCTCACAGCTGCTCCCTCTCAGAGGTAGGAACACAAAGGGCCTTTTGATAGAGTGTCACTTAGCGACTGATACACTCAACCTCCCCTAAGCACATTCAAACACACACGCACACACACACACACACACACACACACACACACACACACACACACACACACACACACACACACACACACACACACACACGCTCACAACTATCTCCCACGGACCTCATAACTTCGTCCCCACACCTCTGGACTGCTCAAAACTGCAGTTTCTGGTTCACACATATAGCGTCATCACAGCCGTTTCCCAACCACTCATCACATTTCAGGACTCTTAATCCAGTTCTGCAGAGGAAATGAGAGCAAAGCATTCTGGGCTTTTAGGTGGGGTGTGCTTTTGTCTTTGTGGGCGCTGAGTAATGTGATTAAGATCCATGCTGGAGTGCAGCACATTCTGCATTATGGAAAGAGAGCTGGTAAACAAGCGCTTTCTTGCTCTCGCTGATGGAGGCTTGTGGGGCCACGCAGGGTGGGCAATCGGAGGAAATGTCTGTCTGTCTGTCTTTCTGTCTCTCCTTTCTTAATGTTTAACCACCAAACTTGGACTGCAGACTAGTTTTGGAAAAGAATCAACCTTTGTGTTGACTCGCTGAGGGCTATACAGTGGGCACGCTCAGTATGAGTAGGCTAGAATATTCATAGTCTCTTATATAATCATGCTTGTGATAAAATCAAGAAGCAAGACATTTCTACAGGCACTCTTTCTTCAGCAGTGCTTTTTCTTGGATAAAGAAGGACGAGCCAAGAACGCAATGCTGTAAATGGCCACATACTATTTTAGTTTACACTGTCTGATCACTATATTTATCCTGCTCTTCCCACAAGATAGCGGAGGAACCTCAGCACCTTCATTGTTTCTCAACAAAGCTTCCTCTTACCGTGTTTTCATTAAGCTTTAAAAATGCACCTGACAGTCGGCAAGGACAGATTCGAGTCGCTCCAGTTTTAAAAGGGGTGCGAGAAACTGGCTTCAGGGGGAGAACAGACAAAGGGCAAAGCGGTTGTCTTTGAATGATGGATGAAAAAGGCCATCAGCAAAATTGTTTGTGCTGATTTGATGTCTATTAATGTGCGTGCTGTGTATGATTGGATGATTAAATGTGATTGTTTCAGAGAGAGACAATGGGTAACATCATTAGTGTGATCCACTTCATTTGCTCAAGAAGGGTTTGTTTGATAGTTTTTGTTTGAATTTCTAACCCCACTTGGGTAACAGATGCTCACTTGCGCAGCGAATCATCAACATTTACTTATTTTAAAAGTTGGCACATTTAGGGTGTCTCCATCAGAGTTATTTTCCCCCTCCGAGGATCAGCTTGACCTATTTCAAACTTAGCACTTGTGATAATCAGCAACAACTTTGTCTTTGCTGTATAGTTTTTTCTTCAGCTTCAGCAATTTCACCAGAATAGACAGGACAACTGCTGTGCAAACCAAAACCTGCCATCCAGTTTTCCTCCAGCCCCCCTGATTGTTTCTGTGCATGAGCAGAGTGGTCACAGGTGACCAGTGGCACACCCTCCCAGCATGCATACACCTCTAGGCTGTCAGCTCTCTTCATTTGTTTCCATTTGTTAGTCCTTCTACCTGCTCATATTGATTTTCCCGTAGCTGTCTGCCAGTAAGTGCTGTCTGAGACTGGCCATATCTGAAAGCGGGCAGAGTGATCTACAGGGACAGCAGGAAGTCCAATACATTTACTGAAAGCACTTTCCCTGTTGATGCTGTCCCTGAATCGATTGTATGGAAATGAAGCTCTGTTAAAACCATCCTGATTTAACCACCCTCTGGGACATGATACGCAGACATGAATATATGGATGTGTGCCAAGAAACATCAAGATACTGAGAAGCATTTTGCCATAAACACATAAATTTAAACCCTCTTCCATTATCACGGCAGAATTGAAGATAAAACCTGGCTCTAAAATGTGTTCTCTCTTTTATGTTTAGTCTGCCGCACAGCGTCAAGGCGAGCCTGTCCCTTTCTCCATCTGGGCCCGGGCGGGTGGGCAGTGGTGGGGGCTCCCCTACGTCCAAGATGGGCTACTGTGGAGGTGTTCCTGTGGAGGACATGCAAGCCTTGGCCATCACCTCTCTGTCAGCAGCAGATGTAGCCAAACAGTATGAGCACATCCGTGAGCTGGGGAAGGGCACATACGGGAAGGTGGATCTGGTGGCTCATCGGACTCAAGGTGAGTTGGTAAAGGCACCCCGGGGGGGTTCAAAATTTGAAGATCTTTATCGTCTAGTTTTGTCTTTCTGTGTTTCTTGACCATTGATAGAGGTGTACACACAAAAAGGCATTTCAAGTGGTGCGGGTTTAGCTCTATGAGTAGGTTGTTCCCATTTACAGTGGTGATAGTTTTCAAAGCAGGCTACCCAATTCCATCGTGTCATCCCCCACTCTCTTCTTAGTTTCCTTTTCTCTAACCACTGCCCTATCCTCCCTATAGAGCCATGAAAATAACTAACAAATAATCTTTACAAAAAGAACAGCTGTTAAAGTTTCCATTACATGCTAATATCTGGACCAAAACTTCATCTTACACAGAAATAGCTTTTTAGGGCAACAGCCATTTTTAGAGACACCTAGTGTAGAGGTTAATAAAAATAGTTTTTGAAAACTTCCAGCCTGTGATTTGAGTTGACAGATGGCATCGTTTGTCAGCTTCTTTGCTAAGAGGTCCAAAAATAAAGTTAAATTTTATGTAGGTAGTGGTCAGTGTGTACAGGGGTTGCATTATGGTTGATGCTCTCTGCTCCCTTTGCATAATAAAAGCACTGTCATCCAGGGCTGTCAAAATTGCTCCTAAATGACGTTCGAATATTCTTTCTAAAAATAACTCATAGGTTTGAACATATTCGAATATCTATCTTACACAGCTTGCATATAACTTTATCTCGCTCAGCATTTTTTCCGTCTACTCTGTCTGCCCAAAATCTAAAGAATTTCCAAGCGGATCTTCTAAAGTTTGTTTGAATCCAGACCACTCTGGAATCCAACACTCCAAACATCCCGCCATCTCTCTCTGCATGTGCCACGGTTTTTGTGGAGTCTCACAGCATGTGCAACTCCTGTGACCTGTCCCTGACCCGTTGTTACAGTGCGCTCACTCGCAAAGCAGCTGCTGTTTTTCATTAGTTTTTTGGTTTTTTATTTTTAGTTTTTTTTCCCACTGTGTATTATTAATATATTCGAATATTAATTTTCACTTTCAAATCTTGTTTTTTCTTTTTTTTTTTTTTGAATATTCAAATATATATTTGAATTTAGAATATTTGTTGACAACCCTACTGTCATCCCACATACTATGGACTTCAAGTCATCTCCCCCCATCGATCCCTCAGGTTGTGAGTGTCACATCAGAGCAGATTCTGGTAAATGACTCTTATATACAAACACCAGTAAAGAGCCACATTTGTCTACAGAGCTGCCAATCATGACATCCCAGTATCCAATGACTAATTAAAAGTAAACTTCTCCAAAAAAAAAAAAAAAAAAAAAGAAACACTTGGACAGATATTTGCATAATAAGAACTGACGGTGTGACAGAAATCATGTTTGGGAAAAAATTCTAGTTTGGTTGAGCTGTCCATCTGCTTTAGTTGTGTCTATTTGTGGACATTTTTGAAGAGTGTTTTTTCTCTCTCTCTCCGTTTTGAAAGAAATACTGTCCACACTTGAGATGTTTTTGAAAAATTTCTCTGTCCACACCACAACAGTTGAAAATGCTCACATTCGCATGCCAGGCTAGTAGGTGGCAATAATGTGTAATCAGTCTGTCACGTCAAAACATTCAAGAGGAACAATGTGTCCGTGTGTATAGAGCATTCTTTTTAACAGCCTTCTTTAAACTGAAACGATTGAGCATAAAATATTAGTTTCCCCCCCACGCTGTGGTATAAAGATGAAGAACAATGAGGTTTCCTTGTTAACATGCAAATAAACCTAACAGTACCAAAACAAAAACAAACTGGTTACCTTGGTGTATGAGCAATACAACAAATGCCATGCCGAAGTGCGTCACCATTTCCCAAAACTTTCATTTTTGCCACCCACCAGTGAAGATGACCAAGAGGAGTTTTCAAATAAGCAGTCCATCTATGCTTGGTGAAATGCCGGTGTGGCATCCTTCAGACTGCACATGAAATCCAGAGCACTTCTGACACCAAAAATCTTGTTCCTCGCCTACAGAGTCTGCACTCTTTTGCAGAATCTGTTAACAGAGATTAACTTCATGCCAGCGTGCCTCACAGTTGCGGAAAGCCCGCTCGGGAAGATCAGTCTGATGTCTCAAGGCACAGAGCCTCAACACTTATTCAGAACAGTTCAAAGATTTGTGTAAGATTTTTCAGGTCTACTGTTAATCCTTGGTTGTAAGAAAATCAAAGTTATTGAGCTGGCTTAGTCTGACAGTGGTATAACTGAGCAATGCAAAGTCGTACAGAGTGAGGCTAAGAGGGCAGCAGAGATTAGTAGTACATGTAGCTCTCTGCTGAGTCTCTGTATTATGTAGCTGCGATCTTAAACAGCAGCTTTAAATGTGTAATAGAGCTAGTACAGAAACACTCTTGGGTTGTGTGTCCACACCCTGAGAGAGTCATGTGTATTCATGATGACTGTGAAATTTTGGTTACCCATACATTCTACATGTTTGCGTCTGCTTCACAGGCACAAAAATGGCACTCAAGTTTGTCACCAAGAACAAAACGAAGCTGAAGAGTTTCCTGCGGGAGTACAGCTTAACAGGCTCACTTAGCTGCAGCCCGTTCATCATCAAAATCCTGGATGTACTGTTTGAGACGGAGGACAGCTACGTGTTTGGACAAGAATACGCCCCAGCTGGGGACCTCTTCGACATCATTCCCCCACAGGTAACGCTATCATCCTTCCTTCTAACCAATCACCGTCCTCACTCATCCAGAGCTGCTCCAATCAGTCCCCATGTTCAAACACAACGGTTTTAACAAGCTCTCCCGGGATTGGAGTCTTGTCTTCGTCCTGGTTTTCTTTCTGCCTTGCGCAGAGCTCTCACTTTGCTGTAGTTCTCTTCCTGTTGATGTGTTGGGAGAGCTTCACTTCAAGGTTCTTCTGACGATTCATTAACATGGTTGCAGTGGAACTCAAAATGAGGACTTTTTCATACAGTTTTCCTATGTGGAACATATCCCACTTCACTGTGTTTCTGCATTCAGTTTAACCCTTATATTTATGATTTTCTTGCATAATCTTGTATAGACACATGAATATTGCATTATGTCACTTGGTTTGCATGATCAAAATCTTAACACTGTTCCTCCGCTCTTCCTTTTAGGTGGGTCTGCCAGAGGAAATGGTCAAACGCTGTATGCAACAACTAGGCTTGGCCCTGGACTTCATGCACAGTAAAAGTCTGGTGCATCGGGATGTCAAACCTGAGAACGTGCTCCTGTTTGACCGTGAGTGTCGCCGCATCAAACTAGCTGACTTCGGTATGACACGGCGTGTGGGCTGCCGTGTAAAAAGGGTGAGCGGCACCATTCCCTACACGGCACCAGAGGTGTGCCGGGCTAGTAGAGCTGAGGGTTTCCTTGTGACCACCAGTCTGGATGTGTGGGCGTTTGGTGTACTAGTCTTTTGTATGCTGACAGGAAATTTCCCATGGGAGGCAGCGCTGCCGGCAGACGCTTTCTATGAGGAGTTTCGGCGTTGGCAGAAAGCAGGGTGCCCAGTGGGAACGTACCCATCTCAGTGGCGTCGCTTCACTGATGATGCCTTGCGCATGTTTCAAAGGCTGCTTGCTGCTGAGCCGGAAAAACGTTGTGGAGTCAAAGACGTCTTCTGCTTTGTCAAGTATGAGCTGGTCAGCGAGCTCAGGCGCAGAGCGTCCTGCAGAGCAAAAAGAGGCGAGAGATCAAGCTCTGGAGTTTGCACCGGCAGTTGCACTTCCTCCTCGACCTCCACTACGTCCCGATCCTCCCACAGACATCCAGAGCCCTCCACCCCTCCAGGAACATCCTGCCTACGCCCAGCGCCACTCAAACGTAGTGTCCTCTCTGATCCATTATCTCCTAGAGAGGAGTCTGGACCTCACCAATCTCCGGGCCGAGACAAGAACAAGAGCCAGATGGTGATGGCGACTGCCATTGAAATCTGTGTGTGACCACGCCAATGTTAGCAGAGGAGGCTAGATGGCTTTTCACAGTAATAACAAGCTTTGAAGAGGTGTAAATGACTACCACAGAGACTCCAGTGAAACAGGAGAGGTACTTGAACATAAAAGAGAAGCTCAGGATCACATCACTGGCTGTGGAAATGCAAATCATCAATCAATGGTACACATTTGGACAGCTTATCACTGGCACATGCCATTTAGGTTTTGATTTGTGACCAAAGACTGCTAAGCTGAGAAGCTTTTGCTGGCAGTATTTAAGAGTCTGCTGATGTTGCTCCTTTAAGCAGCTCATCCCACCATCCAGACGTTTGTGTTGTTCTGCCCATATACTGTGGTGGTGCTAACGATTCTATAATTAGAAACTCCATAAAAACTGTTTATGTCATTTCTCACTCTTCACTGGTATTTCTAATAATGTCTCTTTAGTACTGTTCATTTATCTCAGATTATAACTCTGGGGAGGCCGAAACTGCTCAGTCAGGGGGCCAGTGATCCTAAGGAAATCTACGCAACCTACATCCAACTGCCATTTCTGAGACTTCCCGCCAACTTCCAATGCATCAAGTTCATCAGAGACTCTTCAAGAGAAAGTGTCACAAAGAGCAAAACAACAACAAAAAAAGAAATCTTCCTGTAGCAATTTGTATGAGACATCTTTCATGTCGGTGTCTAGACTTAGAGTTAGTCTGTCAGTGATAGGCATCACCTCAGGACACTTCAGTGGTTCCCCTCCTGTTTTATTTGTAATGGAAATCCATTGTGGAGTTGGAAACACATCTGCCACTTTTTGAACTGTTCTCAATGAGATTCATTTTCAGAGTTACTCAGTAGAATACAGGGATTGTACATTTTGTGACTGGAAACAGGTGAAAAACAAAGAAGAGAAGAAAAATGTCTTTTTATTGTTTCTTTTTCTAAACTGTGTGTGCTCGGAAATGTATGTGAGTGTGTGTGTGTGTGTGTGAGTCTCAAATGGTAAAGCACAAGATTTTTGTAAAAGAGGGGACCTCTCAAGACAATTTATGACTCTATATTGTAAATAATTTGCTATTTTTAGGAGTGTAACGTCCTATCAGGTAGTTTATCTATGTAGCGGCACTACTTTTCTACGAAAGGGAGGAGGGGTTTTGACGTTTTACAGTTACTGTGTGGGTAATGCAATGTATGTAGCATCAAAATATGACAAAGTGTACAGTATATTACAAGAAATTAAAGATAGAGACATAGTATCACGATGCATAACATGGTAGCAGCTGCTCTTCTCATTTTTCTTTCATTGTTTTAGGCTTTATCTAAACTGGACCAGGCATTACTCTCAAATTGAAAAATAAACATGGATCATTTCTGTATGTCGTCTTCATTGGCTAAGTTTAAGCAACAAATGGGTGCTTAGTGGATCAACACGTCACTGCTGAGTTAGCGTAAGGTGCTCAAATACCAGACACGTGACATGCAACATTATCAACCACTCATAGTATGTAGTGGAAAGAAAAGCCTTCCTGTCTCTTCTGGAAACTCATCTGAAGGTGTCACAGGAATAGCAGAGCCCAGGTGTTGATTGTTTAGAGAGATGACCTCTGTGTCAGCTGGTGCTGTTCTCTGAGTCGATGATCGATCCTGACCAGTGCACATGCTCATCTTCCAGACAGATACTTTTTATTATGAGAGCAGAATCACAGTTACATTGGTGCGAACGCTTCAGTGCGTACTTGTTACCATCAACTCTCTCGCTTGAATTGTTTTGCTGTTCTGTCAGTCCGGTGTGCGCGTGTCCTTGTTTCTGTTTGACTGTGTGCTTGTCTTCACTTTCCTCATTTCCCACTCCTCCCTTGACGGCCCATCAGCTCTGTCGCTATAGTGACAGTGCTGGTGCTCCTCCTGTTTGGGCTCCTGCCTTCTTCTTGAAAATCAAGTCTAATTGAGCCCAAATGATACAACCGGTCACTAACACCCCTCCCAGGCACCGACAGTTGCGTAGACAGTTGCTAAGCTTATTATTTTCAATGGCACTTTTGCTTGTATTTTTATGAGACAGTTCCCAGACTTTAGTCTTTATCCAGTCTCATCAGACATTAATGAAGTTGCTGATGCTTCCAGATCCTTTCTCATTCAAACTATACTCTTTGGTCTCAGCTAATTGAATCTGAGGACTTGTGCAGGGGGTATGTTTTACACCAAGATGCTGCCTTTCTAAAGAATCTGCCATAAGGTAATCTGGTAGTAAATTGACAATAGATGTGGTCATTTAGGAGGGAGGTTACATTATGTGTCACATCATACTGCAAATAATTATGCAATGCAACTGTATCGATACAGCCGATAGTGGATATCTGGCCCAAGGCAAGATTTTCTGTCTGCAACAATCTTGAAAAATAAATAAATAAAAAAGAATTAGGCCATCAGACAAGAGCTGATGGTTTCTATAGTTCCTTCTCAATCAGGCTTTTGTTTTCTGTTGTTTTAAAAGTGAATGTATTTTGCATGTGACTGAATCCCTCTACATGATTCATGAATAGTTAATAACACATGACATTATGTATCATACCGTTACAGATCATGTTCGTGACTTATCATGATATGAAGCATCTCAACTTGATGCGTCATGACTTGATGCTTCATGACATGATGTGTTTTTATCGTGGTGTATCATAACTTGGCATTTCATAACCTCACTTAACAATAACATAATGTATCTTAGCCTTATTCATCTTCATAATGATTTCAAAGCCTAGAATATATCACACATCATAATCTCAAGCAGAAGCTACATCACAAGAATACAAAACACAGGACAATGCAGTTTAACAAAGGCCAAACAGAGTGTACCTGTCACCACCCAAGTGTGCTCAGAAGTGGTCTGCCGAGGCTTTATTTAGAGCCATCGGCATCATAATACTTAGCTGCTGAGATGTGCAGTGTCGTTTTTCATGGACTGTTTTGACAGAGATGATCAAGTTTAAAAATGAGGTGTCAAATTATTTTGAGTTTTATTGAATCTCCAGAGAGTAGCCTTCCATAAATAAACCCAGTCTATCCTGATCCAACGATCAAAGTGTTTTCTGCCAGCAAGAATTGTTGTAGAAACATATGTAAATACTTTATGTATTGTGTCTTTAACAAAAGAAAAAAAGAACAAGCAAAATGTTAATATATGTTGAAATAAATTTATGCACCACATCTAATGGCTCCAGGGTGTTTCTGTGAACAGTGTGAAATACTGTGGTGGTATTTCTCCTGCCTGTGTATGCAAAACTAATTCATCCCAGATTTGTGCGGTCCCCAGACTGCACATTAGATGAAGGTCAGCCTGAATCACATGTGATTTCCCGAGGCTTTGGTCTGGATCGCCAGCAAACCCCAAGACTATCTGAATATGCTGACTTCCCCCTGAAAGCCCAATTAAGACATCTGGAGATAGGATTTATCTGCTGCCCTGAAAGAGTAAATGAGTTCAAGGACATTTCCAATGCAGAGCTGAAGATGAGAACATTAATCAGCCCACCTCCCTTTCATAATCAACTCATGTGTCCGAGCAGAGGAGCTGTTATCAGGCCAAGGTTTAGACAGTGACGGTAAGCTGTGGTGTATCATCCACTGTGGAAGGCTAATCAGTTCAGACAGGGCGAGAGAAAGGAAAGGTCAGCCATGACACACAGGGGTTGTGAAGTGAGTGGAAGCTTGTCCCTTGTGATAGTCTGCTCTTTGCCCTTAAAGGGCTACAGCAACCAAGTGTCAATGTACGGGTCCTAATTATTCGAGCCCAAGCATTCAGAGGAGGAGATGCAGGATTCAGACTAATCAAACAATTGCAAATTAACCTCTGCAAATATGGTCCATTTTAGGGGAAAGCATTACAAAATGACATTTTTTCAGGACATTTAACAAAGGCGTCAAAGATAATTCACAGACATTTTGCTCTTGTGTCTTAACTAAACAGAGGAGATTGAGCTGAGGTTCAATCAGGATGACTGTCTTGATACTAACTAATAATTAAAATCCTCTCTTGTTTTCTTCATCTCTCTTCCCTGCTGTCAGATCATTGGCAAACTTAATTAACCAGCTGTTTTAAATATTTGATTTTGATGGGCCAAAAAACCCATAACAATGGTAATCTAATCAATTCCTAACACCAAGGATAACCCGATCACACAAGTCGGATCAATTCAAAACAGATATGAGAGCAGCCTAAGGGGCTACTGGGCCGAACCATCCCATCTGTACAGCAAGATCCTGTCCTGCAATCTGGGCAACAACAGCATAGTCAGTGAAGGTATCCATGCTTCAAACCGCTCGTAATGCAAGGCCATGAGGTAATTGTGATATCAGCGAAAATATAACAAGTAGCCTCATTCATGTTTGAAGGTATGTCAACAGCACAGTCTTATGAAGGAGAGATGAATAACAATCCACGTTAACCCCAAACACTACTGAAGTTCCTCTTCACTTTATCTAACTTTAACTTTGATGAAAATGCTCCTTACAGATCCTAAATAGATAAAGATGATAAATGATTTACAGCTAATTTACAGCTATTTAAGGCTGCTGACTTCAGCCTCTGTCTAAGACACGTCATTTAAGCCACTGTCCCTTTAAGGCCCCAATATCATCTTAAAACCAAGCATTCTAGAAGCCCCCTTCACTGTTGCCATGCATCAAAGTTGTAGTCCCATCTTGGGAACACTCCAACACACATTAATCTTGCAATCTGAAACTTTGCTCATGTATAGTGTTGACATCCAAAGTTTTAACTTCACATTTGTCTTAAAAATATGACACCAGCTCTTTAAATTAAAATGATTCTTTACAATTTTACAACTCAAGCTTATGTAACAACAAGAAAAGACAAAGCATGCTAAGGGGATCACTTATATTGTTAGTAGACAAACTGTTTCTGTTATTACAAAATACATATGATGTTATTGTATTGTTTTAAAGCTTAAGCTACAAGAAGGTAATTTTTTTCTGAAAAAAATGAAAAACATTTCTTTCCAACAATACACTTTACAGTATCTGTAACTTACTTGAAATGTGATGCTGCCAGTCTTGGAGATTTTTTTTTCTCTGGTTACATTGAATTTCAATAAATGAATAAAAATAAATAAACACATCTTTACTTTAAACTGTTTTTTTTCTGACCTGCTACAAAACTCTAATGTAAGTGTGCCACCACTTCTGAGATCCACTCATATAATTACACTCAAAGAATAAAACCGTCACTCTCTGCTGTTGCTGTCAGATGTCATCAAAGTCAAATTCATACAACTCTCTTCTACACCATCATTATTTAGTCCCTGTCACATTCATCAGGCCAGATCTCTCTCTGACTACCTCTCGGCACCTACTTAACACCATGCTCCATCAACACTTGACTCTTTTGAAGGAAGGGGTATTGTTTTCTGGGGAATGGCCCTCTTCACTAATGATACCATGACAAACATAAAAGACTCCTGTGTTATTAGGGCCTTCCCTTTTGGAGCTCTCCACATGATTGGATACAAATAGATAGAGGAGAAAAACTTTTTTTTTTTCAGCAATCCTGGATTATCCGTTAGCTACAGCTTTGGAAAGACCATAAGCTCAACCAAATTGCCTCCCAGGACTGGAGGGATCTGTACGTTAAGCCATCAGTAGGTGGTCCTAGGATTGAAACAGCAAGAAAACCGATCTTCTTGGATGCAGCCGCCTCCAGGAGATAAAGTGTTAAATCCTCATCAGTGATGCTCCCTCAGGAACTGCTTATGCTGGCAACACAAGATGGCTGTGGGACTGGCGGAGGGGTGAGGGGGATTCACGTTAGCATATCTTGGTTGAGGTTAGCATTTTGCAGCTGTCAGTTTCAGCTTGATCTATGTGATGAAATACTTGGAGAATGGGAGTAGTTTTCAATTAGTAACAGATTTATAAAAAAAAACAAATAGGCTTGATATGATCTCAGCATGCCCAATTCGGTAAATAAATGAATAAAAAAAATTGAAGCTGCCACATTAGTGAAGCTCCACCATTAAAAAAAAGCCGAAATCAGTTGTTTTTTCAACTGTAATCCAAAAGTCCTTTTAATGAAACTTAATAATCCTTTTTGTGCGTACATAGCTTTTAATTTTAAAATAGTATGCTTATGCTATCACATCTATCTCTGTATTTAAAGCAGAGGCTTGAAAATCAGGCTGGTTTTATGTGAAGGTCTGTCCAAGCTTTTCCCCAGACATGCTTTAGAAGAACTTGTGGAGGGAGTAAAGAGGCAAAAAGCATCTAAGTACTGGGGATCAGCTGTTTGTCTGTACACAAACCACCTCATGTGCAGGAGACTCAGCTGTATATAAGAAGGCAAACAAATGTGGGTGAAGCATTTTTCGTAAGGGTGGATGCATAGTAAACAAATAACAAAGATGTTTTTTAGGGTTTCTGCAGAGTAATGTTGTGTTCTGCTCATTTTCACCCCACAGGGAACATACTGTACAGTCTTGATTTGATACCTCCTGCGTCACCTCAGATTCCTGCCTCTGCACCTAAGAGATGAATCATGCTGAAACCGTCAAGCGTGTTGTGAACTATTCTCCCGTCCCTGTTGTGTTTTACAAATACAGCTGCAGGCATGACGCTGGAAATGCAGCTGAAGATGCGAAAGCTGAACACTGAGGATGGTTGAAGCAATCACAGCAGGGATTCGCTATGCAGGGATGCAGGGATGTAGGGATGTAGGGATGTCCCCTCCCCTCAACTCTGTCAGATCTCGACTCAAGCGTCATGTGAAACGGTGTCTGATCGCAGCTGGTGAAAAAAAAAGGAAAAAGGAGGCCGGAACAGAGATGGAGAGAGGTGTAGGAGCAGGAAGGGATGTGTCAAGTAGGACAAATGTGTTTGTGTGTGTGCTACCAAAAGGAGGCACGCAGGGACAAAATGCATTTACAGCAACCACTGCGAAATCAGAACAGTGGAGTCCACCGAAAATAACCTTGTATACCCTGAATTTCTGTTTTTAGGTCGACACAAACCCAGATGTGTGTACAGCCTGAGGCATGCCACTAAATTTTGTCAGTGCCAGACAATAAAACTCTCAGACACTATGTGGTCGTCCTCCTCTATTGCTATAGCAACGAAGATGGTCCCAGTTTAGAAAGGCTCTGAAATATTTTTCTTGTTTTAGAAACCAGCGCCACATTCATTACTGTGCAGATTTTGTGAGAGGACCTACTGACTGTTTGATGATGTTTTTTTTTCTGTTGTTGTTGTTCCGTTGTGGTTCATAATTCTGAAACATTGTGTTCTTATGTTGGAGTGGGTGTTCTGTCTCCTGCACTGCCATCTTGTTAAACTGGAGGATGCCTGTTTGTGCAGCGTTTTACAATACAAAACTTCTCTTCTCCATACAGACCATAAGCTACAACACAGAGTGCATACTATGCTCTGAGAAATCTGTGTCATGCATCGGCTGTTAGATAGCATCCGTTTCCTCTGAGATGCAGACAGGACTTGCCCTCCAGACATGCATCTTTGGACTAGAATACTAACCAAAATTTTAACACATCTCAAAAACGCCTAATGAAGACAACTACTTCACAGGATTACCACGTTGAATATGCTTTGATGCATAAAGCTACATAAATCTGACGACCTTTTACCTTCCCTCCAGCATCACTTTGATGGCCAGATTATAATCGAATTTGCTGTGGATGGTTCATGGAGTATGAATCATAGCATTTTTGTTGACTTTCTGATCTCTCCTGTGGTGACACATTCAGGCCAAAACCTAGAAGGAAAAATCAAACATCAAATAAAATAAAATGTACTCGAATGATTTAGGCTCTCCACTCACTAAAAGCTTTACCTATTCTTTCACTACACCCCAAGCATAAATGTGTTCTGAACATACAAACAGGGGCGTGTCTAAAGGAGGTACACAGGGGTGGCATTGGCCCTTCTTAAAATCTATGGTCACCAAAGGTGCTAGCCAAAAACTTTAAACTATGATTGTCTAGTTTCTGAAGTCAAGTGTAGATTATTTTCCAATGTTGACTTCTCTTGGAGGAAGGATCAGTCCATCAAAACTGGAAAGAAAACTCTTGCACATTGCCTAGCATTACATTGCCCAAATGTTGTCTTAGCAAGTGTTTGTCAAGAATTTTTTAGATTAGTTTACGTCTTTGTCATTCTCAGAAATGGATCGCCACAAGGCAAAC